GCTAAGTGCAAAACTCGAAGACAGCGGGACCAATTCACGTATTTGTTTAAGTGAAACTTCTTTAGGCGCATGAGAGTAAATTTGTTACGGATAAAACGCAATAATAATAATATTAGCGTCACGAAGATGTGCAGCGTGTTTGTCGGATGAAAGCTAGATAGCGATTGAGACCGATTGAGAGAGAGTGAGAAGGGCGAATTACCTTATAAAAATTATATTTTAAAAATTTAAATATCGTAAAGAGAATTTATGAAATCTCTAACGACGTGTTTTTATTATCGAAGAATAAATAAAAATAAAAAAATTTATAATTTGTATTAATTTTCGACACTCTTAATATTTTAATGACAACTAAATTTATTAAATTCTTAACATATCTTCCTTTTTCCCTATAGGTCTCGGAAATCTAAAGTTTTAGATTTGTATAAATATGAACAAGACTTAAAAATTAATTTGCTAAAGAAGTTTCACTTTTGACATGTGTACTTTGTACGCATGCACTTTTTTTATTAAATTTATACTTGAACTCTGTGGTTAATGAGAGACTTGGAAAATGTATTTATTAAGTACATAGTTTTTATTTCCTAAAGCGAACAGTCTCTATGTGCCATATGTTGGAATGTAGCTACTAAAATGGTAGGCTAAGTAAAACAAGTTAATTAAGAGTGCCTTAGCTAGCAAAATTTATGATTTCACGCATTAGTGACAAACGCAATCACCGCGCAACGGTCGCGCATCTATACAAACTCGATGGCATTTTGAACGGTGCGTGGTATATGAAATACAATTAGATAAAATTAATATGTGATTTACTTAATGAGTGCCAGATTAAACACGAGGAAAGAGGGAGCTCTACCAAAGAAAAAGCACCGCGTATGCAAACCTACTCATCTGGCCCTAGTCAGCGTTGCCAGACGTCCCGATTTTGGCGGGACGCCACAGTGGTCCATCCAAAGGTCATAGGGCTGAAATGTCGATGGTTGAATTATGACGTCACTTATCACTACAGGGTAGACAAATAACCCTTCTACCCCCAGATATAAAAAAAATTACAATAACATGAAAGGATCATTTCATTTTGTGCAACCGAAGTGATAACATTCCAATAGTGCTAATTAGCGTTGTCTTTGTCGGCAAAATTTCTATTGTTTTAAAGTGTTGTTTTCTCGGAAATTGATAGTTTGTGATAATTTTGTGCCATGGATATTCAAATAGAAGGTATGTACGACATTTTTAATCCTATTGTGTTTACTTTAACCGTGTCGTTATCTGTAATCACCACCATCAAGAAAGACTTCCGATTTCTTTGAGTTTTACCGCTTTGCCATATTTAATTAGACTTTTACTTAGGAAGGAACGAATCCCCAAAGATGAAACATATATCAAAATAATCTCTTGTTTGTCTAGTTTTAGAATCTGTAACATCTAGGTGCGCCAAAGTGCGCCGAGGATTGCTTATAGGTCATGACAAAGACAAAGTCGTATATAGGTATATTTGATACTTTATAATTTTCATTTCTTTTATTCTGTAGGATCCATCATCAAGTGTTCTTTTCCTCGAATGCTTGTCCTAGACACGTGGTTGAATGCGACAAGTAAAGAAGATGAGGCAGATAGATCTCGTGAAGTGTTTGGAATGCTAGCAAATTCTTTACCGGACACTGAAAATATCAAGACCGATTACTTAAGAGATTTAATTTGTAATCTCTGTAAACGGTTTGCTGCATATTGGAAGAAACTGGGGAGGACAAAAGCTAAGCTGATTGCCAAATACGGCGACTGGTTAAATGAGATCGAAGTCTGCATTCTTGGGAGCTCTGACGGAGAACTACATGAAAACGACGACGAGACAAGCGAATATCTTCAATCTACAAGCAGGACGCAGCACAGGAAGGAGTTTGGAGAATGCAGCAAGAGAAGCAAACGTCGCAGGTTGGCAATTTTATCTCAAATAGACGATTCTGCTATAAATACTTTACTTAGTGATTCCAATCAATCAGCCGACAGTTTCTTAAAATTCAACTCTGATGAAATCGTTTCATTTATTACTGAAACTAAACTAACTAAACATCAATACATTTTATTAAAAAACTTGATTAATTCTAAAATACCAAATGCTTTTCCATGTTATCAAAGAGTGTTGGAAGCCAAAAAACGTTGCTACCCAACTGATATTCGCGTAACGGAATCATCTGAAGAGGCCGCCGAATCTTGTAATAAATTAGTTAAACTATTTAGACGCGATAACACTAGGAAACATTCGATTCCCGAGAAGTAACTAATATGGATCTTTTGAACAGACTTCTTCTTAATTCAGACCCACTTATTTCTAGCATAAGAAAGTTACCTTGTAAGAAGAAGTCTGTATTAGCAAAAGAAGTGTTGGATTTATTATGTACTTAAACTATATTGGCATAAAAGAAACCTGTAAATATTGTGAATTATAATGTTTTCCTGTTATGTAAAAAGACGATGTTTTATATAAATCCTATGTTCAGTTTTCTATTATCTGGTAAATTTTATTATTTATATGTAAATTAAGCTATTTTCAGAAATAATTTATAAATAAAACTTATTTTATTGCTACCTATTATTTATTAGTACGGATGGATCCTTTTTTTTTGAGAATATACATCTACCTTTTTAAAAATATATCTACTGTTTTACTTGTTATTATCATTAAAACCTTAAAACAATCATTTCTTAGATAAAAAAGTTAATATTTCATTTTTAATCCGACATACAACCTCTATGACCGCCTTTCTTAGGAACATGGACCACTGTGCCGGACGTCCCGATTTTTAAATCAAAATGAAATGTCCCGCGCGGGACAGGCTTAGTCCCGCTTTTCGGGAATAACTCGATGCAATAAGAAGTGTGTACCTACTACCACCACCGCACAATAATGGTACCAACTCTTTCAACAGTATCCAAAAATAAATACCAGGATTATCTTCAAACTTAATATAAATCAAACCATCAAACTGCTTTCCAAAACGCCTTCTTTTTGAAAGTAAATTAATTAATGTAATCAGAGTTACTCATCAAGTTTAATCAGCAGCTATCCTATGAGTTCTCTTCTTTCTTTTTTAATGAGAAGAATGAAACTTTTAAAGATGTTATATCTTCATAGAAATATTATCAATAAGTAATTCTTCAGAGTATTTTTAATTTTTTTGTTTTGTAATCAAAAGATGTATAAGAACTATTTAACGATAGGTTCAATCTGATTTAAATACATTTTCTGTGACTATTTTCGCTGTCTATTGTCACGCAAACGTGATTTGAACTCAATTAAAAACATACAAAGGTATTTAAAAACTTCTGATTATTTAAAAAAAAATACTATGTCCCGCTTTCGACAAATGAATCCCGCTTTTTTCACTTTAAGTGCCAAAATCCCGACTTGACTAAAAAGAAATCTGGCAACGCTGGCCTAAGTGTATTTACATATTTGTAATTCTCAGAGCCGAACATGATCGATACTAATAAATATTATAAAAATTTAAAGATAATATTTTTTTAGTTTGTATGTAAGATTAATACCTATAAATACTAAACCGGTTCTAGAAATATTTCGATAATGGTGACACTGTGTGTTATTTAATATATGCTAGCAAAAATTATAAGACTTTTTTTCGTCTACCATTTTTAGCCATTGTTAGTGTTTGTTGATTAACAGCGGCAAATAAAATTGTATAGGTATCATTTTGAATAAAATCATAAAGTAGCATCTGTTTAGTTATATATATACTACGCGGTTTGATTAGAAATTTCATAAAATCTTTTTTTTTAATTGAATAATTACGTATATAATATTCTTACTAATATTATATTTATTTAATATTCTTACTCGTATTTCATAGAGCAGTAGGGAAGGGTATGACGGGTCTGGGCGTTACTGCATACGATGTTTTGCATTTTCTGAGAAGATTTACTATGGTAATATATATATATATAAATTTTTACCATAGGAAAGTAGAGATTTCAACGAACTGAAAGCACACCAACTTTTTGAAAAAAACTGAAATTTTGACGTCAGAATTTTCGATTGAAAATTAGGGTGTTTTTTCGATATTAATTCAAAATAAGGTGAAAAAATAAATATTTATAATCAAATAAATTACAGTATATTTGAGACATAATAAGGTAAGTTTTCACCAAATTTCGTTAAAAAAAAAAAGAAATTTGTAAAAGATAAAAATTAAAAACAAAAAACTTGGTTTTTTGAATTTTTCACTTAAATTTTGAGGTTATGTGAAAAATGTGTGAATACAAAAGTTTTAGATCTTTTAATTACCTACAACTTTGCCATTTAACTTTCTTCGATAGGACTTTTAGTTTTGCCGGTAATCGAGATAAACCGTTTTTTACCCTTAAAACTCCCCTCAGTTCATGTGTTAGTGTTCGGGGTTAGTGTATGTGTTAGGGGTTCCGGGAAGGTAAATCATTATTTTTTGACATAATTTATTTGTTGTCTTATCAACTTTCTTTTTTTATATTACTAGCTAGACCGGTGTCCCGAATAGCAGAATAAGTATTTAAAAAAATAAAGAATCGACTGTTAGGCGGTACGATGTTCGCCAGGCCAGCTAGTATTTCATAAAATCGCTAGCAACAGCTCTCGGCCAAACTGATGTGCTGTAATTCAATTAAATTTTGACTCCTTAATACTCGCCATGATTGAATAAAAACGTAATTAGACAAAAGTTAGAGGTAACTTTGTGATTTTTTTGTATGTTTGATTTGTTTGTAATGTGTTTTTAATTAGAGTCAACCGTTGACGAAGAATGACGTTAAAGAAGAATCAATATTTATTTATTGTTTTTAATTCAAACATCACATACTTAGATCAAATCAAATCTACGATGAGTGATTTATTCGATACGGAGATAGCGGGTGCACCTAGTTTTTATAAAATTATTAATGATTTATGAGTAATAAATTCGTAAAGTAAAACAATATAATTACAATAAATATTTCATGAAATTACAATATATCTATAATTTAGATTCACGCTTCAAATATTTATGGAAAGATGAATTGACCGACTCAGCGTTGAGTGGGGTTTTTAAAGCCTCTTCCATGAGTCGTTCGTACACTCTGCCGTCGTAGGCTCCGAGGGTTGATTGCAGGATCTGAAAATAAGTGTCTAAATGTTAAAGACAATGACAAAGACGCAGTGTGAGCAGTGTTGGCCTAGGAGCTTCAGCGTGCGACTCTCATGCCTGAGGTCGTAGGTTCGATCCCCGGCTGTGCACCAATGGACTTTCTTTCTATGTGCGCATTTAAAATTTGCTCGAATGGTGAAGGAAAACATCGTGAGGAAACCGACATGTCTTAGACCCAAAAAGTTGACGGCATGTGTCAGGCACTGGAAGTTGATCACCTACTTGCCTACTTAAAAATGATCATGACACAGATTCAGAAATCTGAGGCTGATTATTGATCTGTCTGATGATCTGATTTATTTATTTTAAAAGTTAAAGACAGTGACAATGACTTTGCTGCGTGTGACTTAATTATCACTAAAGCTGTGGCGGCCACAGAGCAGGCGGAAAATAATAAGCGGCTCAAATATAAGTCTCCTCCAACTTCGATGTTCCCTTTGGAGTAGAGACGCTTGGGCCGTGGGGTTCAAGTGCACAGGCGCTTATTAAAGAGTTAAGTTGGGGCCTGGTAGATAGTACTAGTGAACCCAGAGCTGGTGCTTTCCTCAACGAATAAGTATCGCAATACAACGAGGAAATGCTGCCAGCGTTAAAGGTACACTGCCACGGGACCAAACTTTTAAAATTTGTTTTAATTTTCCAATTATTATTATTATTGAATAATAAATACAAAGATTATTAGCATTACAAAACGCTGATTTGTTTTAACGCATATCTACTGATACCTATTAAAGATTATATGATTTTGAAATAAGATATTTATAAAATCTAGATATTTTTATGTTTTATAGATATGAAAAACGTTTACAAAAACTTCGCCATGCTATCGAATTTTTCTTTAGATTTAATGATATGATTTCGCCTATAGCCATAATTTTCGGTATATTTATTTTTACATCAACATTATTGATGTATGACTTTATATTTGCTGCTAGAAGGCGAGCGACAATTATGGAAAGTATATGGCAACACTAACCTCATCACGAATGTCAAAAGCATCGACAAGTCCCACAGCATTAGGTCGTATTGAGGCTAATAAATCATCGTATCTGTTTTGCAACTCATCTATGTCCTTTTCTGATATCGGAGTATACTGAAAATGATCGCCATGGTCATTAAGACAGCTTAATAAACTTAATAGGTTCTTCGCATAATAAGCTCTGAAAGTTGAGAACCTACACAAATATCAGTAGAAGCAATTGTATTAAATTGTAAGCAGAAGGGGTGGGCATAATCGTCCATTAAATGAACTGGAAATGAACTGGTCGATTAATTGAATAAAAAAATATATATAATCTCTCATAAAAATTTATTTTTTAAATATAATTTTATATCATAACTTCAACTTAAATATTTTAATGAATTTCTGGTTGGTTATCGACTTATTGAAGCATACGCTGCCTGTAAAAGGTGCGTAAAAGAGCGTTCCAAATCTTAAAAGGCCGGCCATGCACTCGCGAGAGCTCTGACATTAAGAATATCCATGTGCGGCGGTATTCAACATCAGGTGGGCCCCATTTTCTATAAAAAGTTTTATTTGAATCTAATTGCCCCAACCATACACTCTTAATTAACCATTCTGAGAATAGTTTCATTAGACTTTTATAAAAAAAAAACTTTAAAGTTTTTTAGTCAAATACATACTCTTAATAAGTCCCCGGTTTTTTCAAGGCTCCAAAATATTATATACAGTTGAACCAATTGGTCGATAACTTTCTGTATATTTACGCTCGAGTTAGCCGTTAACCGTTTCGCTTCTTGATGATACACTTTCAGAAGAACAGCTCTACAGTGTGCCTGAAAGATACCAAGGATATATTTATTCCTTGGCGCTAGTCAGTGCTATATTGCAGTAGTTCAGTAATAAACAAAAGCCAGCTACGACCTCGAATTTCTGTATTCTACTGTTATTTTTAGAAACAAAGTACCTAATGACAAAACTTAATAAATATCCAGTCAGCCATACTAAAGATGTATAAAAAATATCACAAAGGTTTTCATTCACATTTTGTTCCTGTTAGTTATGTCTAAAGTGACACTAAAGTAGATCCTATAGTACTATCGAGTTGTTTTAATATAAATTTTTTCTGAAAAAAAGTGTCTGATATGTATCTGTCGTGCTCCTCAAAGATCCAATCTAAGGATATGATCAACCAGGCTCCAGAAGATACTTATATGAAAATTGTATTCGTTTTTACAACAAACTCCCTCGAAATTAGAGAATTATTATCACTGAATAAATTCAAAACTCTCGTTAAACGTAAATTAATCAATATAGCTTTTTATAAATTTGACGATTATTTAAATGATCTTAATCCTTGGGATTGATATGCTGCAGTTCAAATAATTTTTTATGACTCAATACATGGAGATTAAAAAGAATACATATAATTAATGAAAACAATTCTTTAATACCTCAGCTGCAGGAACCAGTTGATTTGTTGTTAGAAGCCAGGCTTCATCATAACACATTCCAGTTTTCATCTTCTCTCGGATATTTTTTACGCAATGAGATATTTTCCTGAAGAAGAAACTTTGTTTGGATACAGATTATACGTATTTATTCATAAAAGCTTGCCAACGCTCGGCACTCTAAATACATTGGTACAAGAAAAATAAAATAATTTTTTTAATCTGACAAGCACTTATAGGCAAAAATAACATACAAGAGATAATAAAAAGAAATTGAACAAAACAATTAAATTTTAAAAACTAAACGAAAATCGATTTTAAAGTGTGAAGGGAGCAACTATAAATTTCCATTGTTTATCAGAATGCTCAATCTGGACATCGGTGAGTTTTGGCTAAAGCCGCATTTATATTTATCTGACGTGTTGTGTTGTGATGCTCTCTGTCGTGATGGCTACTGTTCACATTGATATGACGTGTTATGATGCATTATGACGGTTTTTTGTATCAGTTCCGTCTTGACTCCCAGAGAGTTCACACATTTGCAATGTTTTTTCAAGAATCATCCGATTCAGATTCAGAGATTAGCTGCTCTCATAACTTGATCTTTATATTCTTTACATTTTGGATTATAAATCACTTTAAATTGTCTTAAGCCGCATTTACATTTATCTGACGTGTTGTGTTGTGATGCATCAGAACGGTATCAGTTTCATACATTTAATATGGAAGCGTTCACATTTATTCAATGCGGTGTGTTATGACGGCTTCTGATGTGTCGTGTCACAGGCGATCCCGGTCCGCGTCAGAAAGGGTGAGGTGCGGGGGGCGGTGCCGTGAGACGTCATACCGCATCAGACTAGTGTGCACGCGCCAGTGTTGTGTTATTACGCGTCAGAAATGGACGAAGACGACGCGACACATCAGAAGCCGTCATAACACACCGCATTGAATAAAGCCGCATTTATATTTATCTGACGTGTTGTGTTGTGATGCTCTCTGTCGTGATGGCTACTGTTCACATTGATATGACGTGTTATGATGCATTATGACGGTTTTTTGTATCAGTTCCGTCTTGACTCCCAGAGAGTTCACACATTTGCAATGTTTTTTCAAGAATCATCCGATTCAGATTCAGATTTTGAAGAAGAGTTGGAATTATACATTACTATTATTATTATTCTTTACATTTTGGATTATAAATCACTTTAAATTGTCTTACGTATTCAATTAGTTGCTCTTCGGCCATTTCTGACGCGTAATAACACAACACTGGCGCGTGCACACTAGTCTGATGCGGTATGACGTCTCACAGCACCGCCCCCCGCACCTCACCCTTTCTGACGCGGACCGGGATCGCCTGTGACACGACACATCAGAAGCCGTCATAACACACCGCATTGAATAAATGTGAACGCTTCCATATTAAATGTATGAAACTGATACCGTTCTGATGCATCACAACACAACACGTCAGATAAATGTAAATGCGGCTTAAAACGCGTTCTCCGGAAAGGAGGGACAAATGGAATGATGTGATGCCTGGGTTATCTAGATTTTAATAAAATTTTGGGTTTATATTTGATTTTAGATTAACCTATCACGTAAAACGCTAAGTTTTACGTAATTATTACTGTAACCGTTTTTTCATTTTGCAAAAAACAGACCACCAGTGGACTGCAACAAGAAGTCAATCTCTGTATTAACAACATAAATTTATTATGATATGTATGTGTATCATTATTGTTTGTCTGTGTTTATTTGAACGCGCTAATCTTAGGAACTACTGGTTCGGATTAAAAGCTTTTTGTGTTCCATTGTCCACTTATCCGACTATTGGCGATATAAAATACGACTACACCAAACTTGACATGGTCAGTCAGTTATTACCTTTGGAGATTTTCATACTCTACTATAATAGCTTGACTATTATTGAAGTTCCAAGCTGGTAGCAGCAAATTTAAATACAGTAAAGTAAGACTGTATTTTAATGACGCTCATACGGTTTTTGTTGACTAATCTTTATTTATTTTAAAATACAATATAATGGTTCTGCGTTTACTGAAACCAAGTTATTATATTATACAACGCCAAAGCGAAGGTCTGAGTTTGGCCAACGCTCCTTTGCATTTTAGGGGCCCTTAAAATAAAATTTCCAAATCTATGGATTCTGAGATCTTCAAACTATCCAGATACAAACTCGCAAATCACATAGAAATTATACTAGCCATATTGGATTTCAAATCTACAGAGGCCTTACACCGTATCTTGGTATGATTTTGAGGTTTCAAAAACTAACACAGACACAGTGCACGATCATAACAACTTTCAGCTACACTCTCAAATACATGCGCATACACACCTATTCACACACTCACTCATTCACTCATTCTTAATCTGTAACACAAAATTTATTATTATTTTTTAAACTGTATATGTACCATGTACCATGGAATAATTGTTTTCTAGTTACCCACAACACAGGGCCCCCCTAATGTGGGGACTAGCGATATATGAATTCTGTCATAACTCTTTCGTCGCAAATAAAGTTTTTATTATTATTATATGTCAAAAGAGTACCCCTCAGCCACGACTTCAAAAGATCGTATGAGTCCTTCCATACTGTTATCCCATACTAATTCCTTGTGTTTGTTAACCCTGTTAAGGTATGACACAGTTGGAGACACATCCACACCTGATTCAGCAAGTTCCCAAGCTTTTACTAGAAATCTGGAATAAGGAAATACTTTAAATGGTTTATCTTTTTCATTAACTCTTTTCCCTATTCCCGACGCAGAAATTTTTATTCAATTGAGACTTGCTCGTACTTAAAGGCAAATATCGAAACAGGTATGGTAAGTCAGTTTATTGCCACGTATGACTTCCGTATGTCAAATCCAATACGTTTCTGACATATTTCAGTGTCATTATTATACTAAGCGCTCGTCTCTGTCTCGACACTGAATCTGAAGTCTCATACAGCTCGACAAAATTGGAATTACATTAAAGTTCTGACTACTTGCGAGCTAGTCGCTATATTGCTATATTGGATTGGTATTGCGTAGTAAGCTGGCTTAATCGTCAACAATATTAGTTCTTATAACACTGGTACAAAATTGAAATTACTGAAAATTAGAAATATATAACGGTAGGTTACGTGGTTACCTGGCAGTCTGCAGCAAGAGTACTGTATAATCTCCTTCATAGGTCCGGGTGGCGACCACAAAACCGTATATTTGAGGCAGCCTTGATGACGTCATATACCCATGACCACCACACGCAAATCTGCATTGTTCTATCAAAAATGATGCATCCGATGTACTCACTGATTTTAGACAACTTGAAAGTGCATGGAGCTGGAATTATAAATTTATGTTAAAATGCACATTTACCCAGGTAAAATGCATAAAATATAGTTGTTTTCTTTTAATATAGTGGTTTTATAAACCTTCGTGGATTTTTAAAAATCTGTCATAAGCATGGTCACCAAAGTAAAAGTCTTTAAATTAAATATATTTTAATAAAATGCTATCATTTGAAGATTAACAAACCGATAAAAAGTAATTTCTAATGCGTGCTAGATACATAAATAAAACACAACTTTAATATTAACCTAAAACTAGCCACGTCCAAATTTTTGACTTGACATTTGACCTTCAAAGTTAAAATTAAAACATTTAATTTATTTACTCAGTATTAAACACACGTAAAAGTACACGGAGGCGGAAAATATATTACTCTAAGCTTATACCTCAGGTAAATTATCAACATTTCCCTTCCTCATTTCATTCAGGTACTTAGAAAAGGTCACCCATAGCCAGTTAGCTGTCAATTGCATCGCCAGGGCAGTTGAGATGCAGATAAAGAGTTTATGCTGCTGTGTGGGATAGTCCAGTACCTGAGATTCCGGAGCACTGGAAAAAAATACTGTGATACAATATAGTGTAATCTCCATACATACTACGTGAGAGGTAAGAAGTTTGGTCTGGAGGTTGAGTAGGCCCTTGGTCAGTGCCTCAGATTTCTGTATCTGTGAATGTTTTAAGTAGGGATAAGCCTTTTGTGACTGACACAGGCCGTCGACTTTTGGGTCATGCATGTTTCCTTCACCGTACGAGCCAGTGTGACCATACAAGTGACTAAATGCATATAAAAACAAAAGTCTTATGGTGCTCTGCTGCGATTGCAACTCAGGGTTGAGAGTCATACTCAAGGTAAGTAAAGTTGAGGATTTCCTGTGTCGTGGGCATCTAGCCTTTTCCATTTGACATACTAATGATTTTAGGTACTTTGCCTAATAAATTGTACATAACACTTACAATTTTTAAAATTACACTACTGTTGCACAAGAAGAATACTTTCCGTTTCAGCATAGAACAGGTTGAGGTGTTTTGAATCGATAGAAAATTTTGTTTTTAAGAAAGTGGTCAAAGATGAAAGAGAAAAAGCGTTGGGCCAAGAAAATGCGATTTTGGGGTAGATATTATGTGGGTTTGCGTTGTTTATGATGTGGTGTGATCAGTGTTTGGTTCCAAACAACTATACATTATTAGTTCTAGTTGGCATATTGCCATTAAGTATTTCTATTCGTCGTTTCATATTTTTTTTATTTTTATTTGGACCACAAAATTAGGACAAACACATGATAGAAATTGACATACATACATAAATATCAAAAGCGGTGCCGTCCCTATAACATGTGGACACGACCAGGCCATATTGGCAGACCATATTGGCATTTCCATAAGGAAATTAAGTTTTTACTACTTAATTATTTATTAACCGCATGACAAAAGAGGACACACAATGTTTGACTTGTTGTAGTAATAACAGTGTTGTTTTAATGTGAATTGTTTACTGATGGATGTGAAGGAAGGATGGTCTACCTCCAACCTAAAGGGAGGATCCTCGAACAGTCTAAGGGTGAGATCTATAGTGCGCACTTGGACTTTGCTCAGACTTACCTTACGAAAAACTTTGCTTAGTGTACACTAAGGTTAAACTATGATTTCGTATTTATAGACATTTTAACGGTGAGATTAAGCTAAGCCCAAGCTAAGACAGAAAATGTCAAAATACAAATTGATGTTTCATTTCATGCAATACTTTGTTTATTATCCTTTAAAAAAGTAAACAATAACAAATATTTAAACATCTAAAACGGTACACATATATCTTCAATTTATTGTTATTTATGTATTCATTTATTTTATTATTGCAATAACTAGAAATTTACGAGTAACCTTTAGAAAATGTATTAATTATTTAAAGATGACAATAATTTTATTACGTAGAACGGATCGCAATGTTTTGACAACAGCAACAAAGCACTTGTATCAACAATTGAAAATTTTAAACCACTTTTTCTCTTTTCTGTTTCTGTTTGTATGAGCTTATAAATATTAAATTTAACTTTCTTCAAAACAACGACTGGCTTTGTGACTTGGACCTGGACCAATCTGGATCGTATACCTACTTAACTCCTACGCATTCCCGAAGCACTGTGACGTTTTGTGATTTGGCTTTGTTACATGGACCGCTTGGAAATATCAATATCGAAAGTGACATGATGGAGAGAGAGAGTTCTATCTTCAATAGAAAACATTGAAAGGGTAGGAACTGCAGCCGATATGAATCCACGAATGCCTAAAGTATATGTTCGGAACTGGATGTTTTCAGGTAATATTGTGTTCATAAATATGTATGGTTTTTCAATTTGATATATTATTATACCTCTTCTCAAATGATTTTAAATACACTTTTGTCTTCTGACTTTCAGAAACATAACATATATGTGACTAATAATAATTTATTGACATTACAGATGGTGTGTGGTGATCTGAACAGCATAAGCCAATCTACAGTCTGTTTAATTATAAATAAAGTCTCTGCAGAGTTGAGTAAATTACTTCCTAGATTTGTAAATTTTCCAAGAAATATGAACACAGCCAAAACGAAGTTTGAAGAATTAGGAAGATCTAATACTCCCCATGGCCTAAACAGTATAATCGGAGCTATTGACTGCACCCATATAAAAATTAATAGACCCAAAGGTATCGCTCACTCTGAAGCATACAGAAATAAAAAAGGGTATTTTTTCTGTAAATGTGCAAGCAATAATAGGGCCTGATATGGAAATATTTGCTATAGTGACTAGGTGGCCTGGCAGTTCACACGACAGCAGGATATTTAGAAAATGCCTGTTTTAGTAGGTGACAACGGTTATCCAGCACTTAACTTCATGTTAACAACACTTTTAAATCCAATGACAAGAGCTGACAATATTTATAATTATTCTCAAATAAGAACTAGGCATATTTTTTAAAGGTTTTTCGGAGTGTGAAAAAGGAAATTTCCATGTTTACAGCTAGGACTACAGTCTAAATTGACAAATACTAGTTATATATAATTATAGCTTGTGCTGTATTGCATAATATAGGTATACAGAGAGGCGATGCTTATGATGATGGTGATCTTGCTGACAGCAGAAGTTGAGTAACACAGAAACAATGAAAGATCTCCTACAGGTCTAGCATTCCGGCAATCTGTGATTGCACAATTTAACTAGGTAATTTGTTTGGTAATAAAGAATATCAAAACAAAACTTGTTTCATTTTAATCATTTATTTTCTGATTCTTTTTTTAAGTGTAATACATATTTCTAATACTAATTTATATTTTTGTTGAAGAAATTCTATTTCTAACAGATTTTTTAATTTCATATGTTCCACTCCTATCTCAAATTTTTTAGGGTAGTCAGGTAATAAATGGTAGAAGATTCAGGGAAACGAAAATAACAGATGTGAAGCGAGAGACATCGGTTAGGTTATGGTTTGAATTTCGTTGTCACTATAATATGCCAGGGCTGCCAGGTGACATACAAAATCACACCAGTTATTTTTAAGATTTCTCAAAAATGGGGTTTGAACAATTACATAAATAATATAAATAAACAACAATAAATACCATAATAATGTGTAATTATTTTATTTCATGCATTTCATAGGTATTTATCAAGATCATTTATAATTTCTTTGAATTCAAATTCTATTTTTCCCAAAGTCTATGGAACTCCGATACAAAATGGCAACACCGTTCATTAAAAACCGACAAAAATAAAAAGTCCAGTAAAAGATATGATGGTAAAGCAAATTTTGGGCCATTATTTTTGTTAGGCTTATAGTCAAAGTTTTTGGTAAGTCGTCGATTTCGTGGACTTGAGATTAAGCTAAGCCAACACTAGGGAGAGATTCGCAGTTTGCTCTATAAATACCGACTGTGTTTTAGCTCGATAGTTAAGTCAGAGCAAAGTCTAAGTGCGCTCTATAGATCTCACCCTAACTGACTGTTTGGCCGGCCCTGCCCTATAAGATCAAGAAGTTTCAGGAGGTCATCGAAGTAATTTGCGCTGATTATAAGATACTTATATAAATTATTTACCCGGGTTTAGCCTCCGACTGCCGTCTCACAGCTGAATAGCGAACAGCAATTGTAGCAGCTTTGGCCAAGTTAAATGCGGAGTCCGATACGAGTGTAACACGAACGAATACCATTGTACCATACGTCAACTTTGCATTCGCTAGCTTTTTGTATGTCCCGTCCTGAAAATTGGTTAATAGAATATTATTTGGTGACTCAAAGATTAAGTTAAAAATTCAGAAGATAATTCTAATAATACAATAATTGATCTACCGCATTGCTTAATTTGTAAGTAATACTTTGTGCCTATTTTAGTATAGTAGTTTTATTCTAGGTGTACATTGTCTTCACATACAGATATTTAAGTAATGTATACAAAATTTTGTAAACCCTATTTTAAAAGAGTAAGTGTGGAGATTCTTGCCCATTCTTCTCCAGACGAAACTACCTTTTGGAAGGGGCAACTAGAATAATTATCATTATATTTTATTTAACGTTCAAAAGTGTTATTTTAAGTGGTCTAATTGAAATAAATGATTTGACTTGACTTGACTTGACTTGAGAAGGGCTAGTAGAACAGTCAGTCACCAAAATACCTGGAAAGTTTTGCAGAAGTTTTAAAAATTGGTCGTTTTATAGATTTTCTCTCCAACTTATTCGCTAAAACGATTTCTAATAATTCTTAGGACAAATTAATAATAATTTTAGTTTACGTAATTTAAAAATAAAGTCTCTAAAGAACCTAATCCCAACAGTGTTTCCCAACTTGTCTTATACCATGCCCCACCTCACTAAAATTCTTAGGGGCCATCCAAAGTACGTCACACGAATTTTAGGACTTTTGAACCCCTCCCCCCATCCTTGTCACAGGTTGTCACATTTTTATAAACCCCCCCTCCTGATGTGACGTCACACATTTTTTACTGCGCCGGCGCGTGAGGTAGCACTTGTCGAAGGCCTCGCAAACAACCGACGTCCGGAACGATAGAAAAGCGAGCGAGCACTTGCCGACGACTTCCTATTTAAATCCTTACCATTCAAAATTCTCGTGAATTTGAGTGTCTCACTTGCATTACAACGCCGCTCTAGAAGTTAAATGACGTTGTATGAGAGATTATCGCATAGCGAGAATGCTAAATTATTAATAATTATAGATCAAGTATAGATCAATTTTTAATTCACATCCAAACTTTGCGTTTTAGTATTTTAAATTTTAAAATGTGACGTCACAAAAGTATTGCCCCCCTATGCCCCTTGTCACACGATGTCACACTTCGGTGATACCCTCCCTCCCCATTAACGTGTGACGTACTTTATGGATGGCCCCTATATGAATCCAACAATTCAACTTTTAATAAAAAAATATCGGCAAAATAAAGAAACATAGTCATCATAGGTTTAGGAAGATATTACTAGGAAATTGGTAACGATATATATATATATACCGTAAGTAAAACATATAATGATAAACTTAGATTCTAATTCCAAATAATGTTAATAAATTTTCGCATGGCCTTTTATAATAAAATTGCCCCCCTGTGGGCACCACGTTGGGAAACATCATAACTGACAACTGACCAAATCCTTATCATTTAATGATACGAAACTCAATTTTGAAATGGAAATTGATATGAAATTGGCGGTGTAAGCCTGGTGGTTCATGATAGTCACCTTTAGTACTTGGGCGTTTTTCATCAGCATATGATCTCTTGGAATCCGATAGTTATTGAATCCAAGAAAGCCATTATCAGCCGTATTGGAACCGAGTTTAGGACCTATTTCGCCAACTTTAACTCCTGGGAGTGGCTCATGCGTTTCCAGATCGCGAATTTGAACTATAAATGTATGGACGCCATAACATTTTCCTTGTGTGTACAACTGGGCAACTACAATGCAATGATTTGCGGTTTTTCCCACTGAAAATAGGAATAGGTAATGACGTCAATCTGTTACATAGTTACCTATTACGGAAGTTACACAAATTTTGATGAAATTAACCCTAAGTATGAACTCGATATGACTTTTAGTTTCCGACATTTGCTAAACATATGTGGACCCATACATACAGGTCGTACAGTCTATACATTTTAAATTGTTTTTTATTAATTGTTTTTTAATAAATTAAAAATTGTTTATATACTACATATAGGTACTTTCATTAATATATATTCATATTTGATAGAAAATTATTAAATAAGTAAAGTACTAGAACTGATTAGTTTATTTATATGTTAAAGCCATGAAAACCCTTCTTGCTGTCGTTAAAAAAACATTTTCATCTTTGACAAATATTTTTACTTTATTTAAGTGGATAAAATAATATTTTTAATGCATGTTGTATCGAGACTAGACGAATCATATCTCAAAGGCAAATAATCTTAATATGTACAATAAATAATAAACGCATTCATAGCGATTCCTAAAGTACGATGACGTCACACTAGAGTTTTCAATCGCTGGAATATAGGCAACATCTGGACTTAAGCCACTTGGTCCTTCGAGCCGGACAGGTTCGACTGGTCGAAGATCCTACCCTAAAGTTAGAGGAACAGTGCACTGTTTCATGAATTAAACACGTTCTAATCTGGTTTTATTAATACTTACACCCTCCTATCCACCATTTGTATGCAGTAAGTGTGGGTGAATGTAAAATGAATTCTTCAGTTGACGGATCGTAGGTGGCAGTTGTTTCCAACCCTCGTATAAAGGTTCCGTGGCCTAGCTCCGTCTGAAATATTGTTTATCTCTACATATTAGTAGCTTGAAGTGGGCAACTCTCCACCCCAAGGCTATCTTTGAACGACCAATAGATTTGTTTATGTGCGACATTTAAGGTCTTAGAGCCACAAATGCCACGGGCCCCCGACCCAAGAGGGCCCCTGTCCAAGAGATATTATGTTCTATGAATGAATGTGAAGTCAATAAGTAAGTCAACGGGTTAGCGTGGGGACTACAGACCATTCCCTTTCGCCTAAGAGAGGAGGCCTATGGCGTCAATTGGTTAAGGGCGGAACAACCAAACGCGGGGCTAGATTCCGGCGGTAGGTCCGAGGTTCGGGAGGGTCTTCTAATTAGAGATTGTCACAAAAATTGGTAAGTATAAATTAGTGCACGCTCGCAGTTCCAACCTCTCTAACACATTAAGTTGTTGGTGGGATTATATTATTTCTATTTACACTATTATTTTGATACGTGAGAAATCTAAGGTACTTTCCCTCACCTGGGCATAAGCCCCGTAAATTTCAAGGTTTATAGCCGGCAGTAACCACTTCGCCTGTTGCTCTGGGGTGCATTGTCCTATAATGGTTGGTACAAACATACCAAAGTGTAGCAACATGGGTGATATGTCCACGAAAAATGCATCAGCCAGACGCCGAAGGATTGGTGTGCTAGAATAAAACGCTTTAGTTTAGTTAAATAAGTCCAGAAGACACCGAAATGTATTACCATTACTGAATATTTGCGTGAAATATAATTAATATTAATTTGATACCGTGATAATATTTTAATAATATGATATTTTATCACTACAATTATTATAACATTTGTCTATATTATATGGCTCATAATGTATGTAACTTCTATGTAAAATTTCATTTTAAGACAAATTTGCACGCCATTATGTGTGGCAGAATTTGCGAGTTTTAGATTGTACTTCTTGCAACTAAATTATTTTTGAAGTGAAACTTCTTTACGCGCATGAGGGTAAAATTTTTACAGAACGTCACGAAGATGTGCAGCGTTTTTGTCGAAGAAAAGGGAGAGAGCGAATGAGACCGATTGAGAGAGAGTGAGAAGGGTGAATTACCTTATAGAAATTCTAGTTTTAACTACGTTAAGAGAATTTATGAAATATTAGTATTTTATATTTTATGCAAAATAATTTATTGAAATCTCAAATTACGAATTGTAAATTAAAATGCCACGTGTTTTTATTATCAAAGACATGAATTTAAAAAATTAAATTTATTATTTGTATTGATTTTCGACACTTAATATTTTAATGACAATTAAATTCATTAAATTCCTAACATATCTTCCTTTTTCCCTCCTTCTAAGTCTCGGAAATCTAAAGTTTTAGATTTGTATTAATATGAACAAGAGTTAAAAATTATTTTGCCGCACGCACTTTTTGAAGTTAGGCGCGTTATGAAAAATTTATGAGAGTGAAATTTTACGATGTGCGCGCACTGTGACACAAAATTAACAGAATGAAGTTGCCCACAGAAGATACTACGGCATTGGACATAATTGAAAAACAACATTCGAATAATAATAGAATTTATGTTACACTTAATGTAAGAGAATAATAATAAATATTTATTTATTTAATTTTTCAAATGTAAACTCAACTTTTTTGACGATAATGACTCCTTTTCCAGTCTTTGACTATTTAATTGTAATTAATTATTTGCACGCAATCAAAAACTATTTTTAATAATGCCAAAGAAGTATAACTTCTTACGCGCTTACATAAGTACACGCACCCTTTTTTTTTTTAATGTCTCTCTTTCCCTTTTGTCCAGATTCTGCTTCAGAAAGAATAATACTTATATTATGGTGGAGTTTGCCTTGAATGATAGTGTCTCATCAAAATAATGTGTCGTTCTCGACATAAAAGAATCGAGATCTATATAAAATGTAATAAGGAGGGAGCTTGTAGTTTATTGTTTATCAGAATTGCAAAACGTAAAATGACTGCTTCACGACTGATTTGAGCGCGATCGCCACTGCGTAAACCGCAGTGAGAGTTTCAAATCCAAATTCAAAAATCATTTATTCACGTAGGTTACACAATGTACACTTGTGATTCGTCATTAAAGAAATACATATTAATGCTTCTAATTTTACATTTACTGCCAGTTCTCAAATCAAGGGCGTAGAACGGAAGAGAAGAACTGGCTATAAACTCTCCGCCACTCTTTTTAATCGCCATGTTTTTTTTTAGACAACGTTTGTAAGGAGCTGCAACCATTACACCATGTTCCACATGACATCTTAAGTAATTAATAATAATAACATAAATTAAAAACAAAGACTTGTCCTCTATCAGCAGGAGGCATGGTGAAATAGGAGCACGCACTTACATTCTCGTGGGAACAAAGTTCGAAAAGTGACTTAAATAAATGATATAGAAATGTTTCCTTACCCATAACTTTCAATTCCCGTAAAAGCGGCTATTTCATTTTTAACCAAATCAGAGTACGCCAGAGATTTCTTAACTGCATTCTCATAACGCTCCTTCAAACTTAAACATTCGTCAGGTACCAAGTCCTTGTGCGCGCCAGTTTTAAGGACATTCTCCTCTGAAACCAAATCGTGAAACAAATAGACGTAATCTATGGAAGCTATTATCAAAACATAATTTTGATGTTTATATTTATAAGCTAAGACGTTATCAAGGACTGCAACTGCATGAACTCAAATCCTATTGTGTTTTTTAAGATAAATGAGAGATGGCAAGTGGCCGGATGGGATGTCGTTTGGAAGATGGGACGGCCTTTTTTTTATTTATACGTTGTAAAACAATGTGTCTGCCTAACAAAATGCAAGAAAATATGACAACACAAATTTAACATACACATCAATTATATTAGAACATTAGTAGTAAAAACAAAACAAACAAACCCAAAAAGTAAAAACTAAATATTAATAATAACTAAAACTAAAAAATAAAATAAAAATTACAAAAATAACCTAAGCTAAATGAAAACTTAAACCTCATTAAGAGCGTGATTAACAAAGTTACGGTTACTTAGCAGACTGTAAAACACATCAATATTTTCATCGATGTTAGTATTAAAGTTGTAAGAGCGAGACAGCCTATTCACTGGACCATTCAAAGTAGCAGATAGGCGAGTCGTAGGTACGTATAGAAGACTTTTAGGGTGAGATCTATAGTGCGCACTTGGACTTTGCTCAGACTTACCTTACGAAAAACTTTGCTTAGTGTACACTAAGGTTAAACTATGATTTCGTATTTATAGACATTTTAACGGTGAGATTAAGCTAAGCCCAAGCTAAGACAGAAAATGTCAAAATACAAATTGATGTTTCATTTCATGCAATACTTTGTTTATTATCCTTTAAAAAAAGTTAACAATAACAAATATTTAAAAATCTAAAACGGTACACATATATCTTCAATTTATTGTTATTTATGTATTCATTTATTTTATTATTGCAATAACTAGAAATTCACGAGTAACCTTTAGAAAATGTATTAATTATTTAAAGATGACAATAATTTTATTACGTAGAACGGATCGCAATGTTTTGGTTAGGTTATAGTTTGAATTTCGTTGTCACTATAATATGCCAATTGCCAGGGCTGCCAGGTGACATACAAAATCACACCAGTTATTTTTAAGATTTCTCAAAAATGGGGTTTGAACAATTACATAAATAATATAAATAAACAACAATAAATACCATAATAATGTGTAATTATTTTATTTCATGCATTTCATAGGTATTTATCAAGATCATTTATAATTTCTTTGAATTCAAATTCTATTTTTCCCAAAGTCTATGGAACTCCGATACAAAATGGCAACACCGTTCATTAAAAACCGACAAAAATAAAAAGTCCAGTAAAAGATATGATGGTAAAGCAAATTTTGGGCCATTATTTTTGTTAGGCTTATAGTCAAAGTTTTTGGTAAGTCGTCGATTTCGTGGACTTGAGATTAAGCTAAGCCAACACTAGGGAGAGATTCGTAGTTTGCTCTATAAATACCGACTGTGTCTTAGCTCGATAGTTAAGTCAGAGCAAAGTCTAAGTGCGCACTATAGATCTCACCCTTAGTTCGAGTAACTCTAGCTTTGGTATGGGATGCTATTTGCGAGGACACGTTAGCCCCGTCTCGCCTCTCTAGGACAAGAAAAAAGCTGGGGTGGCCGTAGTGCAGGCGGTAACTAATAAACGGCTCAAATATAAGAGTCTTTCCAACCTCGGTTTTGTTTCCTTTGGAGAAGAGACTCTTGGGCCGTTGGGTTCAAGCACGCAGGCGCTAACTAATGATTTAAGTTGGCGTCTGGTAGAAAGTACCGGTGACCCCAGAGCTGGTGCTTTCCTCGCTTAACGGATAAGTATCGCAATACAGCGAGGAAATGCTGCCAGCGTTAAAGGCACACTGCCACAGGGACCAAACTTTTTAATTTTTCTTTTTATACTTAATATGTAAAATTAATACTGTAAATACAAATTTTACATTCATTAAAACAAAAATTAAGTTTGTTTCTTTGGGCTATCGAGATCGTGTACCAAGTACAAATTTTATGTTTCATGCGATTGGGCTGCCTACAATTATGTTCTTCTTATCAGCTGCCTTGCTATTCTGTAACTCATTCTGATAAGGAGGGAGCTTGTAGTTTATTGTTTATCAGAATGCCAAATCGTAAAATGACTGCTTTACGACTGATTTGAGCGCGACCGCCGCTGCGAAAACCGCTGTGCGAGTTACAGAATCGCAAGGCAGGACTGGCGATGGCCAATTGCTAACATATGTTTGAGAGTTATATAAATAAAACTATTTATATTTCTAATAGATCTGACAACTGCCTGATGTTACAGATATAGAAACACAAAGACACACGTTAAATTTGCTATGACCTTATTCGGTAAACTAATATTAATAAAAGCATTTTTTTTTTTTTTTCATTTTTTGTCTCTTCACTAAGACATAATTAAATATTACGATCTGGTCTAACTTCAGCAATAAATAATTTAAGTCTGACCTGATTTGTTTTCTATTATGACGTTTTTATATTTGTTTAACATTAATTCAATTAATTAATAACAAAAAAAAACAATAACTAACCTTAAAATATAATAACTAAAATATTATTAAAGGAGTTCCTATAGGCAAGTTTCCGAAGATACTGGCAGCATTCCCCCTTTGAATAGCTAGACTAAGTCTTTGTCCGAGGTAGTTGCCAGCTAACCTTTTTGATATTTCCTTACAAAGCCTTATAGCGCTAGGACCCCACGGACCAAGGGTTTCGACACCGAATGTGAGAAAATCATATTCAGAGCCTAGACCACTGTATTTGCATGCTTTACTAATAAGGAAATTTAAGATAGGAAAGTGTACAAAACACTACTTACAGTTTTTATTAAGGTAACACTCTGTTCTTGTGTTCTACCAATATTAAGACTAACATGCACTAACACTAATTCAAATAAAAGCATAATAGGTATACTTTATAAATATTTAATACTAGATGACCCCCGAAAACTTTTAAAACAGACCAGAGGTCGGCCCTCATACAGCAGACTACATACTAATACTATGAAACACATATTTTTAAGAATCTACAAATATGTAAATGACAACCAAGTGACAATTTTTTATTTCTAAAAAGACGTTCAATTTCCCATCTAAGAACAGTTTGTATTGGGAAATTATTCAATTGTCCTTTTTAGTATTATCTTTAATTATTATTTACGTTTCCCATCGTTTAAACCTTCCCTGATCTTCCACAAATATTTCAAGATCATAATTAGCCAAATCGGTCCAGCCGTTCCCGAGTTTTAGCGAGACTAACGAACAGCAATTCATTTTTATATATATAGATTAGACATTTATTAATCCGTGAGATATCTTAAACACCGCTATAGATTTCTTGAATATATTTATAAATTTAACTCTGATAAAACTGAAGATTTTTTAATATTTAATGTATATTCGAGAACTTTCCACGTAAAATCTAAATTACGATATAAACCATGGCTTACCAATTAATCTCCTCTGCTCGGTCTTATGTTTTCCTCCATCTATTATATATGTTAGTTCTTGAATGTCAAAATTGCACTTTCGTCTCTCTTTAGCGAGATCTTCATTAATTTTATTTACGGACATTTTAAATTCGTATAACTGACACAGAGCCACTCGATCGAGTGTAAGACATTTTAGTATTAATATTATTCTACGCAGGTCAAAAAGATCAATCAGTGTTGAAGTACACAAAAAACTTGAACGTTTTATTTTGAGGTAGATTGCTGTATTATTTACCTAAAGATAATTTTAAAAAAAGATTATTTGATAAAAAAACAATTGATTGTCAAGATTAGATACTTAATATGAATATTTGATAATTGATAATTAACAAATTTGCAGAATTCGGTGAATGGTAAATTATTATATATATACATGTATATAATCATATATCATTATATAATAATTATTTTAATTATTATTTAAAAATTGTAAATTCTGTATATTTGATTGTTATGATTAGTAATAAATTAATATATAATATAACTAGCCGTTTCGCGCCCGCTTTGCTGGACGAATTAAAATAAATTTTATGTTTCATTATTTTATTTTTTTTCACATTTTTATTATTCTTCTTTTTAACTTCCCGCTAAGAAAATTGAAATATTTCGAAAATCGAGTTTTTAACAGATGTTGACGTTTAGAGGTTCTAGGAAGCCTCCCCGAATGTTTCCGCGGTGAAGTATGGATAAATTTTCATAAAAGTAAAACAGCAATAAAAAAATGAAGGAACGAAGGAATTTAATAAATAAATAGCCATAAACCATCTAGGAAAAATTTCGCATCGAATGGTGGTAGTTTCATGTCGATACGATTTGTGTGATTTAGGCGGTTTAGTGGTTTAGGCGTGAAGGAGCCTCAAACGAAGACCATTTTTCTTTTATATATATAGATTTAAGTGATATAAATATTCTCACCGAGTTATGTACGTTATATTGAAATTCTAGGATGTTAATAAATAAATTATCGAAACGAAGGACTAATCTTCAAGTAAAGAGCGTAAGGGATCTGCAACACATAAGTAAGCCTATCGGCGTTGCAGGTGTCCGTGGGCGCTGGTTCTAGGTGCTGAAAGAACGAAACTTACCCATGTCCATTGTTAGTGTAGTCTCATTGCATATACGAGTATATATATATAAGTTTTCATTCTCTAGAAACCGTTTTAAAATGCTAGAAATAATGAGGTAGTATTTTTGTATATTTGTCAGGCGTTTTTAAGTCATAAAACGGATTTTGTTCTTGGCTATATTTTAATATATATACAGGGTGGCCAAAAAGTCGTGGATCAAACGCAAATAGAGGATAGATGAGGTCATCAGCTGCAAAAAATTGAGGAAAAAATAAGTTATAACTCTGCAGGGGTTGAGCTTAGAGACCTCCCGTAGAACAATTTTTTGCAGCTGATGACCTGATCTATCCCCTATTTGCGTTTGATCCACGACTTTTTGACCACTCTGTATACAAATAAAATTAATCATAAAAAATGTTATTGTTGGCAGCCCAATCGCATGAAACATAAAATTTGTACTAAAATATGTTGCAAAGCGCAAATCTCGAGAAATTAATTTTTAGATTTATTCCTTAAACTCTGAGAATGGTTTTTATGGAAAAGAAATGAAAAATGTGTTTTTATTCAGTACTAGCGGCCCGTCCAGGCTTCGCACGGGTGGACATTTTTTAAAGAAAAAACTTTTTACCGGATTAAAGTTATGTATTATTATAAATTTACAATTATTTAACATAATTTTAAATTTATCCGACGCTTCGACGTTTGTGTAAAGGTTTTGTTAATCAAAGACAATATTTATTTTCACCTTGGGTAACATTTTTGTAGTTTAGTAGGGATCCTTATTTTTTCTTGCAATTAAAATAGCATTAATCAGTGATAATGTAGCATTCGTTACAAACATACTTAAGTACATATAATCTTTACTCTTTATAATATTAGTAGTAGACTAAGGTTTTTATTCCGGAAAAATGAACAGACTATGGGGTATAACAAAATGTTCCATGTGTTGATATGTAGCAACTACAAAGGTAGGTTAAGTATATTAATACGAAACTAAGTTCGCGGGGGCAGCTAGTATAAAATATAACTGGACTTCAAGGTACAATATACATAGTTTACATTTACAATAATTTAAAGTGTTTGTTATTTTTTCCTAAACAAAATTGTTACTCGGTGAAGTATTGACCCCTGGTTAACGACTTATATAAGTAAACATACAAAAATTAAATACCAATGTGTAGTCTTAGGATGACGTTGTGACTCGTATGGTCTTGAGTCAAAAACTAACAACGGAACGTAACTTCCAATAGCCGTAGCCATTCCGACTTTTTTGTGTGCAATGGGTGGTTTGACGGGATTTGTGTAACCAGCTGCCCACTGAAGTATTTCCGAACCAATTCGACTTAGGGTCCTTCAAGAAAAGAGCGTACCAATTCTTGAAAGGCCGGCAACGCTCTTGCGAGCATTCTGGCATTGTGAGTGTCCATGGGCGGCGGATATCACTTAACATCAGGTGAGCCTCCTGCCCGTTTGCCTCCTATTACATAAAAAAAATACCTTTTCAGATAATTGTATATATTTTATTACTTGAATATAGAACCTAGGCAAGATGGCGTCACAGTTCCAACGACCGTGCTAACGTAAACAAACGTGAAGTTTTTTTGTACCTTTTTAAATTACACAAAATAGTATTATGATTAGTTGCAAGACAATACTTATATGCTACATTTAGACTAGTCTGTGACCGTTTTTTGTCTCAAGGTTTTTTTTTTGATAAATAAATGATTATTTACAAGTTATTACCGAAAATACTTTTTAAAGCCATGTTTTATGTGGATTCTCTCAATAACACTTTATTTTTCATGCTGTCATAGCCTATTCACAAATATACAGTAGTTACATATTGTAAGTACTTAACCTAACAGTAATTATAATAATTACAAATGGATAAATTGAACACTAAAATAAATTAAAAAATGGTTGACTGTAAAGTCGGTTTAATAGTACGGGAGGTAGCAACGTTTTCGAGAAAGAATTTTAGGTCAGCTGATTTTGTGATATGTCTTCCTTCTTGCACTTTCGGTTAGAGTCTTGGCAATCTGGCTGGCGGTAGCGGTTGCGTTCTTTAGTGCGCACCCTATCTGTCCAGGTAATATCCTGGATTTTAAAAGCATTTTAAGAAGCGTAATTTTTAATTTTTCCTTTTTAAATAAGTCTACCTGACATACTTTTTTTATTGCCAGACATTTTTCACATTGCTAACTATGTGCCAGACGCGATTTAAAAATTTTTTTTTATAAAAATTTCAAAGTATTTTAGAATGTCTGTAATTTTAATATTATGTTATTTAAATATAAGAAAATCTAAAAATGAATTTGCCAGACATTAATTCGATTGTTAAGCCTTGAATTAAAATGAAAAAGTATTGCAGTATGATGAAGCGTTGCATTTTAAGAAGCGCAATTTTTTATTTTTCCTTTTTAAATAAGTCTACCTGACATACTTTTTTTATTGCCAGACATTTTTCACATTGCTAACTATGTGCCAGACGCGATTTTAAGTTTTTTTTTTATAAAAATTTCAAAGTAAGGAAACATCCCGAACTGAGCTGTCAAGGCCCTTCAGGCCAAGAGCGATATTCCTTTCAAAACACAAAAAAAACGCTATTGCAACGTACCTACCGTACCGTAGGTCAGTAACCCGTCCATTGGTGACTCATTAAATACAATAAAGGTTAAAGTTTACTGTTCGGACTCGAACATTGTATCTAATTAAACTGTGTATGTTTAATTAAAATTGTATTTCGTCCGCGAGTATATCAGAAACTCGAACAGTATAAAAAATTGTGTTGGATTCTATTTATCGAGGATATAATGAGACAAGAATGGAATTTAAATTTAATGGCTTCCGCTGCGTGCGAACGTTACCCAATAATCAAGCTTATTATTTCCATATAATTAAGAAAAGTTTCTAACAGTACACACTATGTTTTAAGGATTTACTATAACCAATTTCTTATTCAAACGTAGACATTCGTCACAAATATTTGAATTCAATAAAAAATCCCCTGATGATTTTGATATAAATTTTAGGAAATATAAAAAAAACAGCGACAAATATGTAAGACGTGTGAGTTTACGTTACACGTTATCTTAGGAAAGAATCAAATGCTTAGTCTGGGCATAAATACTGTTACAATTGAAAATTAACAAAATGTTACATTTGAATTTTGAATCTGTCATTTTTATGTGATTGATCATTGAGTTTTCTCATTTTGGCGCCAATACATTGGGATATTAAAGTGGGCGGTGATATAAAAAAAAAGGGTGCGTGTACTTATGTACGCGCGTAAGAACTTATACTTCTGTGGCATTATTAAAAACAGTTTTTGATTGCATGCAAATAATTAAATAATCAAAGGCTGGAAAAGGAGTCATTATAGTCAATAAAGTTCAGTTTACATTTGAAAAATTAAATAAATAAATATTTATTATTATTCTCTTACATTAAGTGTAACATAAATTCTATTTTTATTCGAATGTTGTTTTTAAATTATGTCCAATGCCGTAGCATCTTCCGTGAGCAACTTCATTCTGTTAATTTTGTGTCACGGTGCGCGCGCATCGTAAAATTTCACTGTCATCAATTTTTCATAACGCGCCTAAAGAAGTATAACTTCAAAAATTGTTTTATATTTATATATTAAACGAATACACTGTATTATTATAGTACAATAGTATTATATGTTATTTGCAATAGAAAAACTATTTTATTGTTTCACTATTTATGGCAAGACTAGTTATATAGCAGTGCTGCCCTTGTAGCTTGAGCATGGCACTCACATCCCTGAGGACGTTTGGAACCCAGGCTGTGCACCAATAGACTTTCAGTCTATGCCCGTATTTAACACACGCTCATTCGATGTAGGAAAACATCATGAGGAAACCGGCATGCCTAAGATCCAGAAAGATCCAACCATCCAAAAATCTGAGTCATACATTATTTTTGAAGTGAAACCTCTTTAGAATCGCTGTGATTTCAAACCGGATGCAACGGAAAAAGTGACACTAAAAAGAGATAGTTGTATAATGCTACCTATCTCATTTTCTCCCACATTAAATTTTATGAATTTATGAGTCTGTCTATTTTTACTGTCGCTTTTTCATTTCATCAAATTTCTTATTAAAAAAGTTAAATCCTACATTTAGAAATTAAAAATTGTCTAATTTTCATATTAATTATAAAAACTTTGTTTTTGAAGTTTTCACTTCTATCACGTGTGAATTGCACACATGAGGTTTTTTTTTGTTTACAAATAAATATTTGTATTACGAATAAATACTCGTTATATAAAATCGAAAGGAATTAAAAAAAAACAAATTTAGTTTTTCCATAAAACAGTTTATTTAATACACATACTAATAAATTTATTAAATAGGTACATTATTTACAAGTACGTCTGAACATAGAAAACTTTATCTCCCTCATAACTTTCCCTGCATAAATGGCTTAAGATATTTGTGAAAACTCTGATTAACAGGTTCACCGTTGAGCGGTGATTTGAGAGCTTCTTCCATGAGTCGCTCATACACTCTACCGTCGTAGGCTCCGAGAGTTGAGTGTAGTATCTATAATAAATATTTATAAAACTATTAATTATGTGCACGTAAATACAGGCAGTGGCGTAACAATAGGCAGGGCTGGCAAAATGCCACGGGCCAAGAGATATTATGTTCTATGGATGAATGTGAAGTCTCCAATACACATTGTATAGTATAGTCTGAGAAGTTTGACAATTGACAGCTTACTACTTACACCATCCCTTATGTCAAATGCATCTACAAGGGCTACGGCGTTTGGTCGAAGTTCTACCAAAATGTCTTCATACCAACTTTTCATATCTCGTATGTCGCTCTGAGCGATTGGAGCATACTGCAACAACACATTTGTGGCTAAGTTAATAATATTTATGTATTAGTATTGTATTTACTATTATGGTTATATAATCTTTATTTCTGTAAAAAAATACACAGAAACATTTATATACCCATAATTAATCTCTTAACAGGTAAAAAACACAAAAAAAACAAGATAAAATAATACAAAGAAACAACAATAATGAATAAGAAATATAAGTAATTTAATAACACACACAAATCTATAATTTATTGTCAATCTTAAATCACGCAAAACATGTCTTAGGGTGCGTACAGACTATGTAACATATTATATAACTTGTGTTTTATAACACGTCCACATTATGTAACCTTGTTATTCAACATTATAACATAAAACAATACTGTACACATTAGAATAACAATGCAATATAACAATGTTATTTAACCATTTTAAATAACAAAAGAAAAACAAAAAAACGTAGATGCTGGGTTCGTCCTAGCATACATATCAATAACATGTTATTATAACATGTTTTATAACATTCAGTGTCCACATTATCTGAAACATGTTGTATAGCAATGTTGTATAACATGTTATGTTATATAGTATGTACGCACCGTTAAAGGCGCCAACTGTGTTGGCATGTGTAATCGCCGCAGGCTGGCTATTAAATAGTTTGTACGAATTTTTGGCAAGGCAAGATATTGCTCGCCTAGTGACCCGACTACTAATGTTTTTTTTGGTATAATTAGTATGGATTTGGTAGTGCAAGACTTTACACAAGAGAACACAGATAATATGATATTTGAACAAATTTCAAGTGGATCAGTGTAACAAAATATTCTTGCTGTTTGTGTTCTATAATTAAAGTGGAATATTTTTTTTAAATGTAATAGCAGGAAAACGGACAGGAGGCCCTTCTGATGTTAAGTGATACCGCCGCCCATGGACACTCATATTAATGATATGTTTAAGAAACGTATATAATCTATTATATTAAATTCTCGTGTCACAATGTTCCTTCCCATACTCCTCCAAAACGGCTCGACCGATTCTTATGAAATTTTATATTCATATTCAGTAAGTCTGAGAATTGGCTACTGTCTACCTTTCATACCCCTTAGTGAAAAAGGGTGTCCACCCCAAAAAAAATTTTTTTGACTAAGTTATTTTTTTACGATACAAAAATACATACAAGCCCTAATTTTCACCCCTCTACGATCAACCCCTATTTTTTATTATTGTAGATAGTTATTTTTATAGAACTAAAAAAATGTTTCCTAGAAATAATATAACATGGCAAAACAATGCAACGTTTGCCGGGTCAGTTATATTATAATTGTTTTGTAAAGTGATCTTAACTGAATAAATTTTAAAATAGCTATTCTAGCTTTTACCCACGTGTATTTCGTGTATTTTAGCAAGATTTTACGACCTCTTCGACAGTAATAATCGTTATATTTCAGTCATATAAAACCAAAATGTATAAATTATACACCGAAACCTCATAACACTATTTGTGACAAATATTTTCTATTCTTTAGACTTTATACGAAGATTGTAATAAATAGATACCTGTAACAAATCCCCAACTTTCTCCAGGGCCCAGTAAACGCAGTAAAGTTCAACTAATTTCTGCAAAACTTTACGCAACTCTGGGGACACTGTAGCCATTGCTTTATTTATCTCTTCGTAAAATGTTGACATGATGATAACACGACAATGCGCCTGAAGATAAAAACGGTGTTATTTTAGAAACAATAACTAACCTTAAAATATAATAACTAAAATATATTATTAAAAGGAGTCCCTTTAGGCAAGGTTCCAAAGATAGGCGTTCCCCGTTAGAATAGCTAAACTAATTCTTTGTCCGAGGTAGCTGCCAGCTTTTAGGTCTCCTGTGATGTCGACTAACTTTTAGCTATTTCCTTAAATTATAGCAATATGTTTCTTGCCAGTTCTCGTCGACGTCCTTGAATAGTACGTGTGGGAACGGGCTGTACATGTCCAAAAGTAAACCAATCTGAGGCCAATACCCAGGGTTATTGCGCCACTGGATTATTGATACTTATAATTAGTATGAGGAGAAAATTGTTAGCATGTTTGTGATAACTTAACTACTGAAGAAAATCTTTTAAACAGATTTGTTAAAAAGATTTACTCTTTACGTATTTAGTAACAAATATTTTTTTTGCGGCCGCAGAGCAGGCGGGAAAAATAAAGTTTTTAGTTACAATATTCATAACGACATGGTTTTAATAATTAAAAATGGATAAACCGAAAACTAAATTAAAAAAGTTTGGTCCCTGTGGCAGTGTACCTATAATGCTGTCAGCATTTCCTCACTGTATTGCGATACTTATTCGTTGAGCGAGGAAAGCACCAGCTCTGGGGTCACCGGTACTATCTACCAGGCTTAAATCTTTAATAAGCGCCTGTGCACTTGAACCCGGCCCAAGAGCCTCTACTCCAAAGGGAACAAACTCGAAGTTGGAGGTTAGACTCTTATATTAGAGCCTTTTAAGAGTAAAATATAGTTTTAAATATACCTCAGCTGCAGATACGAGTTGCACTGACGTCATGTTCCAAGCATCTTCAAGAGCCATCCCATTAGATATTCTTTGCTGCATGTGATCCACACTTGATGAAATTTTGCTAGAAAATACAGATAGTGCATGAAAATGGAAACCCATGGAAAGGGAAATAAATTTTTCTCGGGATATTTTATATGATGTGATTGAAGCGTATCGTACTATTAACACTGGTTCATTAAGATCTTACGGACTTACTACTTATCAGCACATTCTAGCAACGTCAAAATCTTTTTAAATAGAAAATAGTTTCTTTAACCAGCCTAGAAAACTACTGAGTGTATTATTTAAAAAAAAAGGTAAAAACAAACCCCATGGCAACGATTTGAAATCCTTTAATGATGCATTCGATGGAATTCTGCCATTTGTCAATAAACCCTTTCGATCTAGTGATCTTTAGATACTCCACAGTTGGTGTTAACTTCGCTGTGTCAACATTCTGCCATGTCTTTACCAAAAACCTAAAAAAAATAATTATCTATTATTAGTCACGTCACGTCAGCCGTTATGATCCCCATCTGGGCACATACTCTGTAAATACTAAGTTTCTGTTCCGCGCGACCCAAGGTTTCGACATCTGAGATCTACATCGAACTTGCTAACAAAAACTACGTACATACTTAAATAAATTGTCTTTGTTCTGAACTTTTAAAATGTAAAACAAGCTAAACAAGCAATACTCTATCGCAGTGTGTCCCAACCCCAAAGGGAGCCAATTCGATTATGTTGGGCAGTTTTTCATTATTTTGAAAATTAACTTACTGTTTTTCGTTCACAATTTCCTTTCTTCCACATACCTATCATTTAAGTTTATTAAGTGTACAATTTTTTAATATCAAAAATTATGTTACGCAGGGGGGCATAATAATTTTAGAAAGGCTATGGGGATGGTACAAAAATGGGTTGCGAAACACTCTATCGTCTTTCGAGTCGTAATAAAATTCAACACAGGCACCTAGTCTGTAACTTCCAGTGACGTTTTGGAAAATTTGAAAAAAAGGGCGGGATCAATTAAACTTTTTTTGACACTTAAAATTTATGAAATGTGTTTTGGCTTCGGTGAATATAGGTCAAATGAACGAAGGAGTAACTTAATCTATAACAAATGGAATTAAAATAATTCTAGGCTTCAAGGACGTCGCCAGGCCAGGACTAAGTCGCGGCTGGGGGGCTTTTTTTTTCAAATAATTAATTTGAGTATTTTTTGTTATTACGTAATATATCTTTCAGTTACATGTTTACATGTTTTATTGAAGTTATACTTCTTTTGGCGCGATGGAGAAAAATGATGAGAGCGAATTTTTACATTCCGCGCGCACACCGACACCTAAATTCTACATCGTAAAGTTAATTCTAGGTGGCATGAAAATCGATAATAACTATGTTCAAGTTGTATATTCCAGTATTTTTAAATTTAGAACACGTGTTTCGTAACAGTACAATTAAACAGTGTGAATAAATAAATATTATTTTGGTGTTTTTATTAAATCAATTTCATATACGACGGTGATAGTATTTACTAATAATTTATTATTTATTAGTATATCTATATATTATATTGAATATTTGTGATAAAAGTGATTTGAACAAACTGTTGTGAGTGCATTTATAGATTTGAGGTTAATTGTCGGTATGTATAATTTTTATTTAAATAAAATCTTTTTGATTAATTTTAGTATTTATCGTTAATCACTACTGCATTTTAGTTATTTTTTTTCCATACGCCAAAGAAGTATAACTTCTAACGCGTGTAAGTGTAACTACACACACTTTTTATGTTATCCTCTGTACATACTTTTACCAACTTGCAATCGGTTAACAACATTCTTGGTATGCCCAAAAAAAAAATCATTAAAATAAAATACCTAGCAGTCTGCAGTAACAGAACCGTATTCTCCCCTTCATATGTGCAAGCGGCAGTGACCAGACCATACGTCAGGGGCAGATTTGAAGACTGCATATACCCGTGTCCACCGCATGCTAAACGACATCGTTCTACGCAATTCGCAGTATCTGCTGTACTCACAGCTTTAAGACAACAGGCCAAAGCATGTAGCTGAAATCATTATTAAATTGTTCGATAATCACAATTTAAATTACACAGTTAATTATAATTTTTATCTCTGGCTTAGTTAATAAGAAACAGCTGTCTTAAAAATAAATTTCATAAAAATAAAATCATGAAACCCTTCTCCATAACTTTTACCATTATTATCGTACATTTGCATGTCTTGGAAAATACTTGCAATAAAGTTTTTTAGTATTATTTTAGCTTATTTCATGATTTTTATAATATTATCTATATGTGCGTCAAATTTAAAGCTTCTAAATGAACACTATCTATATAGTTTAATTAATTAAAATTGAAAATATGTATGTAATATAAACCGAAACGCCGATAGTAAAATAACGCGGGACGTATCAGGGGCCTTAGTCAAGACGCCTTAACAGTAGTGTATGTAGAAAGTCAAAAATTAATTTTGTATGAAAACTTTTCGACACGAACTGTCATTTCCATACAAATTTAGTTTTCGACTTTCTACATACACTACTGTTAAGGCATCTTGACTAAGGCCCCAGGTGACGTAAGCAAAAGTCGGCGCGGGCGTTTGAGGTGCTCAAATTTATTCAAAGTATTAAATTTAATTTTTAAGTATTAATTTAAATAATCCTAACCTATTTTTTCTACGTTATTCAGATGTGATTATAATAAATTGATGATATATATATATATATATATATATATAGCAAAAAATACATGAAGATTTCCTATTTTTTCTGGTAGGTGAAAAATGAAACTAAAATAGTTTCCTCATGTATAGATTAATTAATAAATGATTCTAATAGTAAAACCCAAAATTGGTTAACGTAAAGCATAATTACTTCGATAATAAAATCAATAGGTAATTATAATTACACAGTTGTGTTACCTACTTCCGGTAGTCGGTTAAGATTTCCTCCACCCAGCTCTTCAGTCACAGCATTGAACGTGTCCCATAATTTGTTAGCTGTCACTCGCAATGCGTGCGTAGTCGCAATAGAAATGAAGACCTTGTGTTGTTGCGTTAAATAGTCTAGAATCTGTGTTTCAGGCGCTCTGAAAATATGTCAATTGTCAACTGTATATGATATTTGGCCGCGAAATAATTAAAAGGTTATAATGCATTTATTATAATTGTACAACGGTATTTATTAAAGTCAAATGTATGATTTAGTATTATTTTGATTCCCTAAAACTTACCGAGATCTCTGGGAACACTTATAATGTCTGTGATGAAATTCGTTAGTTCCTGAATATAATAAATAATAGTTTATGTGCTTGCTTTGATGTGCGTTGATGTGCTTTTAAAGCGTGTTTTTTTAGTTTTTTTTAACTATTATTTTATTTTTATTTTTTAGTTATTTTTTTATTTTTTTTTTCGGATTATTGCATTGTCATCGATCTTTGACAGGTGCGCAAAATTTTAATTAAATCTGTCCGTTAAAAGTGGGTCAAAATCGAGTCCGAAGGAGTCGGTTACATACATACATACATACAAACATACATACATACAGGTGAAGCTAATATAAAGCGTGTAAAAAAGGGCGTTTATAATGTTAAACTGTACAACTACTCACCCTTCCTTCATGTGACACTGCCGCCTAACCGCCGAATATCTAACAGCAATCGTCGAAGCCTTTGACAGATAGTTTACCATATCGAATACAATAACAACTCTTACAAACACCATAGCTCCATAATTAAGTTTACTATTCTTCGACTTCACATACGTTCCATCTTCCAAAACCTGGGCGTGCTTCATCAACATATGATTTCTCGGTATCCTTACATTATCTAACCCTAAGAAGCCATTATCAACCGAATTTAAACCCAGCTTAGCGCCAATGTCTCCTACTTTGATACCAGGCAACGGTGCGTGAGTTTCTTCGTCTCGTACTTGAAGAATAAATGAATGTATTCCGTGGCATTGTCCTTTTGAATATAACTGTGCTACCACGATGCAGTAGTTAACCGTATGGCCCACTGAAAATTGTATAGAATAAATGCGAAAGTAAGTTTTTGTCTATGACGCGTTTCGTTTTACTGTGATTGATCAAATGGGGTCGTGTGTCAAGTCTGTGATTGTCATTTGAACTCGTGAACGGGCGCTTCTTTTGGTGTGGCGGACTTGAATTCGTGTATGATGGTGATGTTAGTTATTTTTTTTATTTTTTTTTATGGCTCTGGCATGGTTTGTGCATTAGCCAGCGTCAAGTATGAGATTTTTATCATTCGTGCTTTTTGCCATAGAAATTCGATCATGTCCTCCATGTACGGTTTAGGCCGAGAACAAATTTTAATTAAATTAAAATTTGTCCTCGAACCGGGAATCGAACCCGGTACCCCTCACCTAGCTGCCACTTAATAAGACCGCTAGGCTATGAGGCCCCCATGTTAGTTATTTCGACTATGTATTTGCGTGTTGTTCCCACAAAAATGTAAGTGCGTGCTCCCATTTCACCATGCCTCCTACTGATAGAGCACAAATCTTTGTTTTTAATTTATTTTATTATTATTAATTACTTAATATGTCATGTGGAACATGGTGTAATGGTCACAACAAGCATTGTGTAAAACAAAAAGTTTATTGCCAATTCTTCTCTTCCGTTCTACGCCCTTGATTTGAGAACTGGCGGTAAATGTAAATTTAGAAGCAATTGATATATATATTATCATTGATATACAAAAAACCCAAGATGCACACTCAACGTCTAAAAAACGTCCTCAAAAAATGAGCGCAACATTCTAAATTGTGCGCTCATTTCAAATAGTCTCGCGTCTAATAAGTGGAGTCGATGTTATTTATTTGTGTTTTTTTTATAAATAAATTTATGTACTTTTGAACTTTTTTGTGTGTAGTTTTTGACAAATATATTTACGCTATATAAAGTGTAGGTCAGGAGGTAGCAAATTTAACATTTTTTTTTAATTTAAAGAAAAAACTTTTTAACCGGATTAAAGTTATGTATTATTATAAATTTACAACTATTTAACATCCAACACCTTTTGTCTTCAGTCACCGTGACCACTCACGCTGTAAAGCACCCGAAAAGTCGGATAAATTTAAAATTATGTTCAGTAGAACCTCTATAAGTCGAACATCAAGGGAGACGCCAAAAAATTCGAGTTATAGAGTTTTCAACTTTTGGAGGATTTCGACTTAGGCGGATTTTGATTCGACATAAAGAGTTTGAGGTTTATTCTTATAAATTTTGAGTTAGAGAGGTAAAATAAATAAAAATTCAACTTGCAGAGGTGACAAACATATTTTTATTTAATACATATAAATCAACATTATTTCAAATCATTTTAAAATAAAAAATATGGCATTAATAAAAGTCAGTATTTTTTTTTTTGCTTTAGATAATTTGGTTGTTCTCTATCTATAGCATTGTCTAATCTATAAAGAGCAGAAAATTCTTCTTCTTCAGAGTTACTGGTTTGCTCTATAAAATTACGTAAGGTATTCAATGCGGCTCGCGCCTCTTTGATGGAAACCCATGGAGCGCATGTACTATTCACGTCTTCACTTTTCCATTTGTTACAGGTTTCAATGTTGACACTTGCACTTTCCCCACAAACTTTTTTAAAAACAAGTTCCTGTCTTCTTTTGAATTTTTCTAACCATCCATTACTGGCTCTGAAATTAACGAGTCCCAATGATTTAGAGAATATTTGGGCTTTTTCTTGTAACAGTGGTCCACTAACACAAATATTTTGGCTGCGACACTGCTCAAACCATTTAAGTAAGCACTCCTCCAAGCCCGGATATTCTGCAATTCGTCGTCTTTTGCAGGACAAACTTTGACCGTTTTGTATTTTTCTCATGATGTCTGATTCATTTTTTATTATTGTTGAAAGAGTACTCATTGGCAGGCCAAATTGTTCAGCAACATCTTTCTTTTTTTTGACAGCTCTTCACAGCTTCGAGCACTTCTAATTTTTCAGCAAGACTCAAAGTTTTTAGTTTACGTTTCACAGCACTCATGTTAACTGTTGTACTAATTGATGTGTATTGCAGTAGAACCAAACTACTTCTGACAGTATTTAAGTCGAAAACAAATGACTGGCTTAGCTAAATTTCACAGGGAATCAAAATTGAACACCTGACACAAAGCAAGCAAACACGTGTTTCCATGAGTCATAAATTTATTATTGTATACTCCTAAAATGTTTTCTAAGAAACAATAGTGTACTCACATTGTCGGCAAGTTCTTAAAGTCGGTAACTTATTTTTGTTCGAACAATAGAGATAATAAATTCCAAATGATCAAGTTGTAAAGTTTGTAAAATAAAACGTTCCTATGTTCGAGATACAGAGGTCAAATTTAATTTTTTGAGCTATAGAGTGAAAATATGTACTAAAATGGCTTGGAGGGACTCGGTGATTATTTCGATTAACAGAGGGTCAAGATTTCAAGTAATGGAGGTTTTGGTGTTTTAAGGGAAGGGAACAAAACATTTTTTCGAGATTTGGAGGTTTTTGACTTATCGAGGTTCGACTTAACGAGGTTCTACTAGTTGTAAATAAAAAAGTCATGTTCGACTCCACTCAATACCTTGTCCTGCGTTGTAATAACAACTTTAAGCAATTCGCGTAAGGTTGATTTAAGGTTGTAACATATTCTGTTATAGACATACTGTTATAGTAAGGGACAGAAATAGTGTTTCGGGACACTTTCGAGCGTTACTTTTATTCGAGACTGTGCATCTTGGGTTTTTTGTACATATCAATGATATATTATATTAATTTTTTGACGTTCATAAGTGTACATTTTTGAATTTTGAATTTTATACCAGAAATGACCAATCGCAATAAAAAGAAACGCGCCGTTCTGTCACCTTTCATTTTACGTTTCATTATATAGACCAGTGCCGATAATTTAAGAAACCTAAAACAATAATAGTAGGATGAAACCTATAGGAAAAGGAGGAGAATATTATAAAAATTAAAGGAAAAATAATTTAATTAAAATAATAAAATATATATATATATTAATTAAAAAAATAAAATAATAAAAAATTGTAAAAGATAAAAATTAAAAACCAAAAAGCTGGTTTTATGAATTTTTCACATAAATTTTGAGGTTATGTGAAAAATGTGTGAATACAAAAGTTTTAGATCTTTTTATTACCTACAACTTTGCCATTTAACTTTCTTCGATAGGGCTTTTAGTTTTTCCGGAAATCGAGATAAACCGTTTTTTACCCTTAAAACTCCCCCCTTCCCCTTCCCCTTCCCGACCTCAGATCGCCCGTAAATTATTTTTCCTTTAATTTTTATAATATTATCCTCCCTTTCCAATAGGTTTCATCCTACTATTATTTTTTTTCACTTTTTATTTTTTTTAAAGGCTATCTGCACTGGTCTAATAGGGGAAGTCGAATATTGCATGCCAAACTTTTACTATCATACTCACATCCTCCAGGCCACCACTTGTACGAGGTGAGAGTGGGTGTGTTGAGAACAAACTCTTTGGTGGATGGATCGTACGTAGCTGTCGTTTCCAGTCCGCGGATGAATGTACCGTGGCCCAACTCGGTCTATAATATATAAAATATTTAAACGTCTTGTTCATATATTTTATGCAAATTTAAAAGTTTAGATTTCCGAGAGTTAGTAGGAGGGAAAAAGGAAGATATGGGAATTTAATGAATTTAATTGTCATTAAAATATTAAAAATATTTTTTATTTATTTCTTTGATAATAAAAACACGTGGCATTTTAATTTACAATTGGTCATGTGAGATTTCAATAACTATAAATAAATAAAATACTAACATTTCATAAATTCTCTTTACGAAATTTTAATTTAAAAAAAAGGGTGCGTGTACTTATGTACGCGCGTAAGAAGTTATACTTCTTTCGCATTTTTAAAAATAGTTTTTGATTGCATGCAAATAATTAATTACAATTAAATAATCAAAGACTGGAAAAGGAGTCATTATAGTCAATAAAGTTCAGCTTACATTTGAAAAATTAAATAAATCAAAATTTATTATTATTCTCTTACATTAAGTGTAACATAAATTCTTTTATTATTCGAATATTGTTATTAAATTATGTCCAATGCCGTAGCATCTTCCGTGGGCAACTTCATACTGATAATTTTGTGTCACGGTGCGCGCGCATCGTAAAATTTCACTCTCATCAATTTTTCATAACGCGCCTAAAGAAATATAACTTCAAAAATAAGCAAAATAGGGAGTTTCTTATTTACGTACAACAACAAATTTATGGCCTAAAGTTCTAAGCGAATAACTTTAAATTAAATTTGGAGATGTGTGATAGATCATGTTCTATTGATTTGTTTTCTAATTTAAATACCCTTCTGATCGACAAGACTTTACTTAAATTACCTGAGCGTAAGTTCCAATTATGCTGGAGTTCCACGCTCGAGGCATCCATTGGGCTTGCTGTTCTTCCGTTCCTTGGTTGAGAATAGCTGGCATGAACATGATGTAGTGGACACCCATGGGTGAACCATCGCGGGTCTGCGCTGATGCCAATAGTGAAGTAATCACGTCTCTGAATAAAATTTAATTTATTAAATGAAAGAGATAGGAACTCAGCTTACACAATGTTAGCTTTAATTATATGGAATGATATAAAAATTTATAAAAGAGATGTAAATATAGATTTAAACCATATTTTTATGTATGAATATAAATATAATAATATCTGATATATAAATTCTCGTGTCACAATGTTTATTCCCATTCTCCTCCGAAACAGCTCGACGGATTCTCATTAATTTTTTTATGCATATTCAGTAAGTTTGAGAATCGGCTACTATCTATTTTTCAAACCCCTAAGTGATAAGGGGTGTCCACCCCATATCACTATATACATTTTTTATTATGTGGCATTAAAAAATACATACAACCGTTAATTTTCACCCCTCTACGATTAACCCCTATTTTTACTATGGTAGATAGTTATGTTTATTGAAAAAAAATGTTTCCTAGAAATAATAAACATGGCAAAACAACGTTTGCCGGGTTTGCAAATTTATAATATTATAACGCTGAAGAGTTGGGTCTAGCGTAGTATAAGGACTGGATCAAAACGAAGGAGAGTTAAAGGATCAGAAGGTTATTTCCCAATCAGTGAACACGCTCATATAAATGAGACAGACACATAATAATAATGTATGTGTCTTGGCGCCGTCTCCGCAGACTTTATTACTAGGTATATTAATAGTTATACTAGGTACTAGGTATATTACTAGTCTGTTACACTAGGTACTTGGTGTATTACTAGTTATACTAGGTACTAGGTATATTACTAGTTATACTAGGTACTAGGTATATTACTAGTTATACTAGGTACTTGGTGTATTACTAGTTAATAGAATTAACAAATAAAGAATGCAGGTGCGGAATCTAAAACACAATAATTGTTGCAAACTAAAGAATTCTCTAAGGTGTACAAATCGATTGTTGTTTCAGTTAACAACAAAACTATACACAAAAACAGTTATTAAAAAAATACAATTCTTGATAAATGCTTGTGTGGGAATTTGGTGTTAAATAAAAACATTGTCATTATACAGTACCCAACAGTTAATAAAAACGTTATTATTCAATAATTTACATTTGTGTGGAAACCTGTTTTCATAATACCTAAAGATATATATAATTCAATAAGAATAAACTCCAAACATGACATCATCCGCATTTTAATTTGACTTTTTTGTCCTATGCAAAAAAATAATCCAGACAGAATCACATCAATTGCTGAAAAACAACCGGTTTTATTTTAAAGACTATAACATTTTTTTTTAATTACGGCGCTCAATAATTACATTGCCACGATTCAAAGACATGGGGAAAACTAAAAATAAACGTGTGGTACTCGGGGATTGCTCGGTAAAGCTATTGCATAGCGTTTTTTATCAACTTATGCAATTTTAATTATTTATTTATGCAGTATTTTTTCTTTAATATTAATTCAATCTACCTCTCTATCAGACTCAGACTAACACGCCTATATAGTCTGCCTCACTCTAACGCGTACCAGCTGCACCGGCCGCGCTTACGCTACGTCACCGATCTCGTCAGAGAGATGTGAATACGCAGTATGCGTTCCGTCCCACTCTAGCGCACCTGCGCTACGTCACCGATCACGCCACACCGATGTGAGACGCAGTAAGCGTTCTGTCCCGCTCTAACGCGTATTGGCCGCACCTATATAACGTCATAACGGTTAACAATTGATGTTATGCGTTAACTCTCTTTCACTCTATCCTAAATATTTATCGTCTTTAACAGCAGGTTACCATTATTTGCGGCCAGATTTAACTAAGCACCCTTATACGATAATAAATAGAAAAAACTTAGCTTCGATTTGATATATAATTAATAAATGTACCTTATGAACGTATAAATGTATCGAAATTATACCTGTACACACCTGGCTACCTAAGAAGTACGGCCAGGTGATCAACGGCACCCGTGATTTTTTAAAATCTTTATGTAAATTACCGTGATGTAGACGATATTTTATATAAATAACAAGTGAATGAAATGTTTTCCCAAAAATCAATTCAAAAAGCTCTTTTCTTGAAGGTGCAGTGTTGGCTTCAGCGTGCGACTCTCATCCCTGAGGTCGTAGGTTCAATCCCCGGATGTGCACCAATAGACTTTCTTTCTATGTACGCATTTAACATTCGCTCGATCGGTGAAGGAAAACATCGTAAGAAATCCGGCTCCTTAGACCCAAAAAGTCGACGGCGTGTCTCAGGCACAGGAGGCTGATCACCCACTTGCCTATTAGATTGACAAACGAATATGAAACAGATACATTAATGAGGCCTAGACTTTAAAAGGTTGTAGCGCCACTGATTTCTTTTCTTGAAGGACCCTAAGTGTAATTGGTTCGGAAATACTTCAGTATCGCTTTCGGTTTTGCTATGGGAAGTTACACAAAGTAAGGGTCAAGAGCCTACTAAGAGTAGGTACCTACCGGTTTTAACCAAGCTCCCTAGCCATATAATAAAAAACTAATACGATCCTTGTTAACAATTCAAAATTAATTACCTGTAATCAGTAACTGATGTTTTCCCTTCTTCTTGCATTTGCCGAACTATACCAAATAGTATCACAGAATTTTTTATAGCGCTCTCATACTTCTCTTTGTGACTCAAATATTCTTCCGGGACGCCGTGGAGGTCTTTAGTCCTACTCAGTAAAACTTTTTCTGAAAATATACGTGAGGCATGTTTTATTTACGCCCTAACCCAATAATTAATCCACAATTTGACACACAGATTGTTTTCAATCTGAGATTGTGGAAAATCGATTATCAGACCGTGACAGTCGATCGATCTCCTATCTGCATCCCAATAACGTTACCCTACGAAGACAATCCATTTTTGGCGACGAATAAAATGTTCTTTGTCGTTCCATTTTAATCAGTTTTCACTCATATTTAATAATCAATGAACCTAAACCAATTTAAGTAAATAAAACCGTACAAATAACATTAAAATATACCTGTGTATGTTTAAAACATAACAAATAGTTTTTTTTCATTATTTAAAAAACTGGTGTACCTAAGTTAAAATCTGTTAAAATAATTAACTTTTGAAATCGAGCTTTCGTCAACTGTCATTTTCATACAAAGGTCTATCCACAGACACCGATACGACCTCCCATTGATAGCAAGTATGACAGATGGCTATTACAATCCGTCGATTGGTTATTGGCACACTCGTTACAACATTTGCCTTAAGATTAATAAGTAATATAACTTCACCTTTGACCTCCTATTGAAATACCTGGTATTTTTTATTAAACGTTAAAACATTTTGTGGACGCGCCTATATTTAAAAAAGTTTGGTCCCTGACCTCTAACTCCGGCGGCATTTTGTCGCTGTATTGCGATAATTATTCGTTGGGCGAGGAAAGCACCAGCTCTGAGGTCACCAGTGCTATCTACCAGGCGCCAACTTAAATCTTTAATGAGCGCCTGTGCGCGAACCCCACGGCCCAAGAGTCTCTACTCCAAAGGGAACAAAATCGAAGTTGGAGGAAAGACTCTTATATTTAAGCCGATATTATTTATTAGGTATACGAATATTTGGTAGATTCCATATGTGATTAGGGTGTCCCTATCCTTTTTTTATGTATCGCATAACTTCTGCGATTTATTAAAGCAGGACTCAGCTAGTACAAATAGATACGATAATTTAATTGACATTTATTAAAAGATATAAAAAATATCTGGTTTATAAATTATTATATAGCGTTATAATGCTCAACATATTAACATAGAGGTATATATCTTGCTATGAGAACTAAATATGATAATAAGTGTCAGTCACCTCTCTCCCTTCTAGCGTCAGTTCTGTCCCGTCCACCGTCGATCAAAGTTGTCAATTCTGCAATTTTAAACGTACACTTATCGCGTTCTCTTTGCAAATCTTCATTTATTTTTGCCATTTTGACACACGACAACCCAACGCTCTAGCGCACAACTAACTGTACACTGAGATTTGAGAAGCAAGTTTCACCGATGTATAACATACATGAAGCGTATTTATCATTTATGACTAACATATGTAAATGTACTGATTTAATTATTTATTTAACTCATTACTAACAGAAAACTTAATTAAGGCAACGACCTTATCGCTTAGAAGTCAAAACATAATAGACTTAGTATATTAATATATTTTTTGTAATTAATCGTACATATATATTCGTAGACGATCGTACAGATGGCGTGGTAAGGAATATTAATATTGAAGCGTGCACACTGCGCCAGTGGGTTCTTAGACACTGATGCAATTTATCGTAACTTGGCTGGACCGGATCATTTCGCATTATATTAAACCTAACCCATTTGATTGCCAGTCATGGCTCATTAACTCTAATTATATAACAAGGTCATAACTTAAAATGCTGGAGTGTTTAGAGTTAAATGAACTAATACAGATACTAGCTGACCCGACAAACGTTGTTTTGCCATGTATATTATTTCTAGAACAATTTTTGTGTTTAATAAAAATAACTATCTACTACAATAAAAATAGGGGTTGATCTTAGAGGGGAGAAAATTAAGGGTTGTATGTATATTTGTATGCTGTATCGTAAAAAATAAAAACAAAATGTTTTATCAAAAAAAATAAAAATTTAGTGGACCACCCTTAACATTTAAGGGAATTAAAAATAGATGTTGTCCGATTCTTAGACTTACTAAATATGCATAAATTTCATAAGAATCGGTCGAGCCGTTTCAGAGGAGAATGGGAACGAACATTGTGACATGAGAATTTTATATATTAGAAAAGATAAACCTAGAAGTCGCGCGGTGCTCTGGGCCGGCGAGATAGCTGTGTAGGAGGTTACCATATTTCCATTGAATTGGAAAACCTCACATTCTCTAATGGAAGGTGAAAATTCCGCAAATACCTGTTAAGTTTGAAATGCTTAATCAAATGACTTCTGCCTAAAATAAGGATCCTTGACTAAGGATTTGAAGTCGTATTGCAAAATAAATCATATCTTTTAAATATTTTTTAAACAACGCCCCAAGTTTCTCATCAGTTTCCATACCCACATTACTATTTCACCGTTTCCGTCGAATTTTAAGTATGGACACATCAATTTTAAGTTCGATCGCGAGTGAAACACCAAAGTCGCTCTTGTTGGCGGCCATCTTTTTTGACCATGTTGAGGATTTACCAATTATTGCTCAAGGTTTTCTACAACTTTTGTTAAAACATCTCAATTCGATCACATACGGTTTTGTCAGGCCGTTTCTATGGAAGATAGAAAGTTCCAGATTTCATAAATTTTCCTATATCCCCCCCAACAGTCAATCTAGTAGTTCTAAACCATAGGTCGCATTTTTTCAGCATAGCGCCGGTTATTTCAATTCAGTTTGTTTCGACACCGCTAAGGCAGGCAGGCAAAAATTTTGAATCTTCAGAACCCGAAATTTAGACATTTTATCTACTTGATTTTGAAGTCTCTATACGAAAACATTCAAAAAGAAATGGTTACTGAACCAATCTAACATAATGGTGTCCACCTTACGGAAAGCGTGGTAGAGGACAACCACATAAGTGATGGAACATATTATTTACAACCGAATTTATGGCGTTGCGTCGCGCGCAATGAAAGCGAATGGAGAAGAGTGGGGGAGGCCTATGCCACTTGTCAAGCGGATTAGGAGCAGCTGCCAGATATGCCTTTCGAATCAAGGCTAATATTGTAATACTTATTATCTGAATAAAAGGCTTTATTATTATTATTTTACATAAACATCAAAAGAACCCCTCAACCTCGATATTAAAGGGCGTCACTCAACTATATAATATATACTATCATAAATAGCTAAAAATCCATTACAATTTTCTCTCATTTGATATAAAAAACAACAATTTGGGTCCAATATTTAATTGCTTATATTACAAATTACTTCTTAGCAGTAACGGCGGCCTCGTCTTCCCTCGCGAAGGTTTGCAGGAGCTCCTCTTTTTTAGCGGCAATACGTTCTTCACGCCGCTTGCGCGCTTCCTTGACCTTGTTACGACGAGCTTCAGCCTGGTCACTGTGGAGAATTGTGAAAATTTAAATATACAGAGAAGAATTAGTCCTGGCATCTTATTTGTGTAGCTACTAATCTTTATAGTGGGGCGCATGTAGTTTTTAATTTTCATGATGTTTTTCAGTATTTATTAATGACTACTGAATTTTGTCACAGTAAACAAAAAAAAATATCAATAAATTAATTTTTTTACACTGTACATTAATAATTATAATAAGTGTTGAATGAGTAAAATAAATGCACTGTAAAACATGTATGTACTGCCATAACTATAGCTAGGGTAAATATTCCTTGAATACAGTAAATCTACACATACAGTGTAAACTCCATGTAATATCCCTTGATTTAACTACAAACCCTATAAAACGTCGAAATCACTCAGCTTTGGTTGGTTTAGCTTGTCTTCCATACAATGATACACTCTACATAGCATTACACCCACTCTCAATAACAACAACATTTAAATACCAAAAAGTACTTTTTAAGTTGCCAAGAAATCCATTCTTTTTTACAAATTGTGCATGCTTGCATGAAGATGCCTCGATATCGTAAGAATAAGTAAAAAATACAACCTAACTACTGGTACAGTACAGAACTAACAGGCAACACAATAGCGTTCAAATACGAATTGTTTTTATGTTATTACTAACACAAGTCTACAATAAAATTTCTTTTTCTAATACAGATTTTTCATTCCATTTGACCACAAATCTTTTTAACGTCAAAATAGGCCGTCAATATAGAGTTTACACTGTACATGTGTGCATTATTTTTTATATGCAGTTTTAAAACTAAATATTTGCAATATTATAAACTTAAAATATCTATGAACTGCTCTCCTACCAACCTGTCTCATCTAGCAAAATCTTATAATCACATGTTAATGTGTAAATATAAATGGCAGTTATAATAAAGTGAATTATTATACAAATATAATTTTTACACCATTATTGACAAAATTTTCTTCAACATAAATAAATTTGATAAGAAGTCCCAACATACCAAAATAGCTATTAGAAGATCAATTACCCTAATCCTGTAGTAATTAGCAGTGCAATATTTCAATAGCAAACACTTTACCTCAACATCTTAGTCCTAGCCTTTTCAGCCTTCTTCCTGTGGATGTACTCCATCAGTACACGCTTGTTCTTGAAGACATTACCCTTCGCCTTCATGTACAAGGCATGGTACAGATGCCTGTCAATCTTCTTAGCTGTTCTGTACTTGAGCAACAACTTTCGGAGTACCCTTTGTCTTTGTACCCACAGTTCCTAAAATGATACAATATTTATAAAAAATTATAAACTACTCAGAATCCTTTATTTAAAGCACACTTAAACATATTGAGTTTAGTTTGTAACATATTAGGTTATATAATTGACTAAGAAAATATAACAGACAAACTTTAGTGACATTCAAATCTTATTTATTGGTCATTTGTTTTGATTTCTTAGAGCTTAAGTTACAAAAGTAATGCAAATATTGGTGACCCTATGACATTTTTCCTAATATTTAATTTTTGAAAATGAGCAATTATTATTTAATGGAAGGGACTGCAATACTCACTTTCTGTGGCATCCGGGCATTAGCTGTACCTCTTCTTTTACCCATTCCACAATGACGACCTTTCCTACGGGCCTCTGTGTTCTTACGGACACGGGCACGGGAATGAACCGCTACAGGCTTCTTGATGACCAGACCATCCTTGATCATCTTACGGATGTTCTGTCCTATAATAAAAGTTTCAAAATAAGCATAATTGTGCAAGCGAAGAGAAAATATTAATCACACAAATGAGGCCTAAACAAGATTTTTAGTTTTGCATAAAACAGAAGGTTTTAATAATATTAACAAAACCTATACTTACTGGAATTAGTGTTGGCGATTTCATTGATTTCATTTGGATCTAACCACACTTTCTTTTTACCACATCGCATAACAGAGGCTGCAAGCCTCTTCTGTAATTTGAGGGAACTGAAACAGAAAAATTTGTGTGTGAGAACCACATGGCTTCTCGGACCGACGTTGTTGACAACGTGAACACTATGTATAGTAATAATCAAATGATGCAAAAATTATGCCAACGTAACATTTGCGCGTCTTTCCATTCGATTTTATTGTAAAACAGCCAAAAAACCTTTAAAATTAAATAAATACAATAAATCTAACCTCATCCTGATTCGGTGAGATCCAACGCACACAAGAAAGAAATATGGCGTCTTTTAGATTTGGCAACTGCGCATAAAAGTTACCATGATCAAAATTTTTAACTTTACGGAAATTACAGAAAGTAATCTGTGGAGACAATAAGTACTTGAACATAGTTGCCATTGTCACCATTTGATAATTTACTGTTTGACATTGAATGGCAATTGATAAAAGTGTAAACAGTAATGACTAATGACTGAGTAAACTCATTGTCTGATGTGTCATGTTGATGTGAGATGTCTCACAAAAACAAAAAAAGCAATCATTGTCAGTTGTCACACAAGTCACAATTTATTAAATATTAATCATAAATAACACTTAAAAGGTGTTTCAATAAAAATGTTTAAAATAAACTCTTATATTAATTATTGTTACATTATTATATAAAATAAGAATAAAATATTTTTAATTACTTTCGACGTCAATTATACTTATTCCAATTATACTATTAAGTTTCCAACAGTGAAACTGATACAAATAATGTATAATTAAATACTATTTATTTTCTCTATAAATAATAGAATTGCAAGAACTTTATAATAATCTAGGTGGAAACACAAAGTTCTAGTATTATTTCATATTAATTTTACGTCCAAGTCATCAGATAAGACTTCGCTTTTGCCAATCACTTTATTCTTATTTCTTATAACCAGTTTCGACTTGGTAGTCGTCGCGTGTAGAGTGGGATTTTACGTTGTAACGTCACTCATAACTTTTTACGATTTCGCAACTATTGCGAAGTACGTAACCATTAATTAGTTTTAAAAGTTATACCTTCGTCAATTCGCCAAAATGTACGTGACAAAAGTGAATACAGATTTACAAAGAGAAAGAGATAATTGCACGTTCAATATAACGGAGTTAACAAACATTTTGGATGGAGGTGCTCAAAAGACTGCTGAGAGAAAATTGCGAGGTAAATAGGTTTTTTACTGAAGATTTTATTAGTGAACAGAGATTTGTTTGCACAGAAATTATGTTTGTGACTAAAACTTAGCATTTTTATTTTATAAATATATGAAATCACAAAGGTTTGAGTATTAGGTACAGAGATCATTATGTTATCAGTATAAAGTGCAATCACTCCTAAATGTCTGTCTATGCCTAATTTTACTCAGAAATAAGCGTTGCTTATTTTTCTGCATTTACATTTAAAAATAGTTCATTACAAGACAAATAAGTAATTTATGATAGATTTGTAAGAATAGTTTAGTAAGAAAGAGCTTATATGTATAAATCAATTAAAGTCCAATGATAGAGATTTTTTTACACTATGAAATTTTTAGAGGACACAGTACTAAAACAGTTGTACAACACCACTGATGTACCAGCCATATACTTGAGTCACAAAGAGAAATATGAAGCTGCTGTCAAGAAAGCATGTGCAATGTTTCAAATGATTAGAAAGTTACAGGAAGAGGAAAATGCAGGAATGGAAAATTATCAGTGAGTTATATGTATAAAATAAATACCATTGTGCCTATTTTAAACCTTCGTGTCTCCATAGCTTAATTAGATACTTTTATTACAAGTAAACAATAAAAAAAAACTTCATGTAGAAAATATACAAGCCCACCATTCTGGTTATCCATATCACAGGTTCTAACCTAGTTTGGAAACCAGTCTCCCAATACCTTCTCAAGTGTAATCTTGTTGTTTGTTGTAAATGTTATATGGGAGAAAATAAATTATTATTATTAATATTGTAATAGTCGGTTATGGAGACATATTAGACGTATGAATGTTTTAAATTAAAACTTCTTGAAACTTACAATAAATTTTGCAAGTAAAATTAACATAGCAATTGTTTATAGAGTACAATAAGTACATAATAAAAGTTATATGTATTTAATATAAAAACTTTACATAATTATTTACGATCACAACTTAAATACAGTTTGATTATTTATTTTATACAGTTTGATATTACTATTACAATATTAATTTTTAGTTAAGATTTGTTTTAACTATAAAAATTATTAAACCATGTGGATTGTGGGTGTACGCTTCCCTGTACATACTGCAACTGTTATAATTATAAATTAGTAACATGATGTTTATTCGACGGATTTTTTTTATATTTATATATGTTTTGTAGGGCTCTTCTGGGTGGGTCTCTAGGTTCAGCTATCCTGGGCGATGGCAACCCTATCACATTGCATTATGTCATGTTTATACCCACTGTTATGGGTCAAGGAACTGTGGAACAGCAAGCATATTGGATTGGAAGGGCCTTCAACCTCAGCATTATTGGAACCTATGCCCAGGTACTATGATTCGTAGTTACTTGACTCGGTCCCATAGATATTTTTTTTGTACTAGCAGACTCGGCCAAGCGTTGCAGTGGCAAGTTTCTTGGTACATTGGTTACATAGTAGTAAATTATTACTACTAACGATAGGAGAACACTAGTCATGAGGCCTACCATGCTTTTTTGGTGGTTATGCCATTAAATTGTAGCTTATGTGAAACGTTGGTACTTTCAACACAGCGCCATCTGTTAGAGTTGTGACTGTCAAATAATAAACAAATAATTTGCAATAAAATAATATTGCGGGTATAAATTAAGATATAAGGTATCCTATCTTTTAAGTTAGATCAAACTGCACACGGTGTGCTAATTTGATTGAAATCGGTTAAGTAGTTTAGGAGTCCTTAGCGGACAAACAACGTGACGCATAATTTATACATATTAAGATATACCAACATGGCTAGATTTCTTTTTTTAGAACAGGGGGCAAACGGGCAGGAGGCTCACCTGATGTTAAGTGATACCGCCGCCCATGGACACTTGCACTGCCAGAAGGCTCGCAAGCGCCCTGCTGGCCTTTTAATAATTGGTACGCTCTTTTCTTCGGAAATACTTCAGTGGGCAGCTGGCTCCACATAGTAGATGATTAGATTGTTTAAAAACAAGCCGCACAGATATTATAATTACTATAACAACTTGTTAAAATAATCACTTTCTTCTGTTAAATACATATATGTATAAAAGACCATATGACATTATTAGTTCATAATATGTTTCTCATATTTATTTTCATTATAGATTTTGTATTATTAGGTCAGTACTGTCTGTCGTCCGCGCAATTTGATTTTGCAGAACGGAAACTCAATATTAATTGTGTGAATAACAGTTCAAAAATAATTTTAAGAGACTAAACTTATTATAGACCGAGTTGGGCCACGGTACATTCATCCGCGGACTGGAAACGACAGCTACGTACGATCCATCCACCAAAGAGTTTGTTCTCAACTCACCCACACTCACCTCGTACAAGTGGTGGCCTGGAGGATGTAAGTATTTTTAAGGTTCCTATTTTGTAACTATAACCGGATTCTATTTTAAATTTAAAGTATTACTAGCTGACCCAGCAAACATTGTTTTGCCATGTATATTATTTCTAGGAAACATTTTATTAGTTCAATAAAAATAACTATCTACTGTCTACTATCTATTGAGGTGGACATCCCTTATCACTCAGAGGTTGAAAGATAGATAGTAGCCGATTTTCAGACTTATTTTTTATTTGATGCATTCGCGTCGGTATGGCGGGCTGTATGTAATTCACATCGGAAAAGTATGGCATGACATTCCCGCTCTTATTTTTTATGGACTATCGGAAAATACTAGAATTTTTCTGGAACAAATCGTTTGACACACTAATTGATCCGACGAGTTCGACTAACGCCCACGCGACTGGGCTGCCGATACCAGCGCTATGACCGTCATTTTTCTTTTTTTCATTGCGTAATAAGACCCCTGAAGAACCTGCATACTGGTACAAATGAACCACTATTTTGTGTCACTATCTCCCGTCCTATAGGGGTTGTATACAATAAGCTAGAAACCAGAAGGGACTTGCTACAACGTTGTTAAAGTACGGAAATTATTTGTAATCGTAGTGTTCAGCAAAAAGTCAATTTATTTGTACCAAACCGCTATTTGAGGCAGAGGAAACTTGTTTGTGTTCAAGATTGTCTATGGTCCTAGGAGCAGAACTAATTTAACCAGGCCCTTTAACCTTTGTGTGTTTACATTGCGCGTGCTAAATACGCTATACTAATTACGACATATAAATTATGTATGACTCAATTATAAAGTTGTAGTGTTATATGTTTAGGTTGTAAATATTTGGTGTTCATAGTGCATATGTCTAACTTTTACATATTTATGTTCTTTCAAATATAATTGTATCTTAAGATCAACAACTATTGCTTTGGTTATTAAGTGTTAAAATAAATCAGTGGCGCTACAACCTTCTTAGGTCTGGGCCTCAGATTTCTTTATCTGTTTTATCATCATTTTTGAATCTAATAGGCAAGTAATACATATGAGATGTGTTGGTAAGTATGAACTTCCCAATGCCGGAAACCCGTATGGAAGAAAGGATCAGCCTAGCAGTTTGACCGAATTATTATTTAGTAATAGTTGTGGCAAACGAGGTTCCAAAGAGTCCAGAAGGACGATCGCAGGCACGGGGAAAAGGCTTTGCTGTTATCCCTGCATGCGAGTAAAACGGGGTATAGTTCGGATATAGCCAACCGCTTCTCGGAGCAGTGTTGCCAGATCAGAGGATTTTCCTCTAGATTTAGGGGTTTCTAAACCAAGTTAGGGGAAGAATAGGGGGAAAGATTATTTGGGGGTTTTTTTAGGGAAAATTTCAAAAACACGCCAAATATAGTTTTTTTGCTATTGTATATCACGTTCCTAATTTTGGAACTAAATTGATGTACGAACATAAAAATTCATTAATAACACTACACAAGAATTTTTTTTTGTATTTCAAGGCATCCTAGGGGGGGTAAATCAAATTAGTCTAGGGGTACGTCGCCGAGACCATCTGGCAACACTGTCTCGGGGCCTCAGTTTCACTCCCTGCGCCATTTCACAGCCCCAGCAAAGAAAGCCATAAAGGATTTCCCCTCTTTGAAAAAAAAGGAACTTTAATTTTAAGGGTAAGATTCGGAAACGAGAGTTAGCGCGAACTTACTCCTTAGTCAAAATTTAATACGTTTTTGACATACGGGAGTCACACTTAGCAGTAAGTCGCGCTAAATATCACCATAACTTGCAGCTAGTCTTAATGTGATGCACGTGTACCACAAGAATTAAGGATTTGTTTTTCAAATAATAAGAAACATATTTTTTTAATTATTTTGTGTGATTGATAAAAACTATTTATTAAATATGTTTGCCGGAACCGTGATAACTTATCAAAGTTAATGCCCTTGTTGTTCAATTGGTATTTTATTGTTGTTTTGGATTTATGACCTTATTATTAATCAAATTAGCTACCGTCCATTATGCATTTGGGATGTGAATCCAAAACGAGACTTAGAGCAACGAAGAGCGATTCGCATCGTCAACGACCAGTCACTTTCCGAGATCTCTCTGCATCTTCTACCGCATTTACGATGGAGAGTGTTCAGAGGTGTTGTTCGGACTAATACCTGCAGCTGAGTTTCATCATCGGAATACAAAATACAATTCGTACCACCTCGGCGTCTGTCGTTCCACAACTGAGCATTTCTTAATGCAAATTTTGCCGCGCACCACCACTATGTAGAACCAGCTGCCCACTATTTCCGAATCAATTCGACTTAGGATCCTTCAAGAAAAGTGCGTAACGATTCTTGAAAGGCCGGCAGTGCGCTTGCGAGCCTTCTGGCAGTGTGAGTTCCATGGATGGCGGTATCGCTTAACATACTAACAACTCCCGTTTGTCATAATCCAATGTATTTTAGGCGTACGGGAAGCAGACTTAGCGCAAAGTCAGACTACATCCTAAATTATTGGATTGTCCTAGTAACTTATGCAGAATATAACAAGCTCTCAGATATTATTCGGTTTTAGAGGCAGCATTAATTTTATACTCTTATCTTCGCCGTATCAAAATGTTTTTTCTTTACTAAGCACAGTTTACGTATATCCTAGAACAGTTCTTAATATTGACATAATTAAACTCATAAGGACAGTGATACTGTGCCTACATGATTAATATAAATGCATCAATGTTTTAATATAGTTTTAGTATTGTACCAACACTCATATCAAATAGTCGTGTCCTAAAGAGCCTCGTTTCATTACAATACTCAGTACCTTATAAGGACATACTTATACCAAATCAGGTACAATACCAACTTGGGGCTTTTCTCCCCTAATTTAGGGCGAATCAAAATGTCCAGAGGGAACTTTATTCAAGATTTTTTTATTCGCACGATACACTCTGTATTACGCCTCGAATCTAATCAAATATAAACTTCAAGCGTGGCTATAAATGAAATATGAAAAAGCTATAATAATCCAAGATCGAAATAACTGCTATTTTATAGTACTTGAATGCATTTTTAATGTATATTTGAAATTACCTCTCAAACTGAGTGTACAACACTAGAGGTTTTTAATAGATTCTTAGGGGCATTTGAAGTTGGTTGGGGAGTTGACATCACTGCATAAAAGTACAAAGAATAGTTTGCCAGTCAATATGAGTCACTGCTAAGGCCAAGGTTTTGCATACGTGGACACGGTCGCGTATTTTTTTGTTACTAGCTGTTGTTTTAAAGTCCATGCAGAAAATGACATGGCATTATAAATTAATGTATTTCGTTTAAATTGTTGTAAAAATGATTTTTTACCTTATTTTAAATTTTTTGAGAAATTTATTTTATTATCAACATAATTTAATTATTTCAAAATAATTTTATCAATTTAAAATTGAATATTTTATCTAACCTTGCATAACAGATAAATCACAATCGATTAGTAATTACATTTAAAGCTAAAATAATTAGGACTTTCCATAGACTTTGTCTATGAAGATAAAACGCTTTAAATAATCTTATTTTATCTGTGATTAATTTTTTTTGGTATGTTGTAGGTATTTTCTGTTAGGTACTATACCCAGAGGTTGTACGAATGTCAATGGATCTATATATCTGTCTAGTTATTACCAAAGCAAACACCGTGTTTAAACCGGCAATTTAAAATACAAACTTTGACGACATCTTAGTTGTATAAAAAATTAAATTATCAAATAAAAAATCTATGGCTATATACGGTTGCCACTAGATTATAAAATAATGTATTAAAATGATCTCCACATTTTTAAAAAGGAAAAAAAGCACGCTTTTTAAGGACAGTAATACTTCATCTCTTTCTGTCAAAATGTATTTGCACTGTAAATAAAAGTGACGGATGAGTAATTATGTTAAACAATTTAAGAGATAATGTAAAAATATTATGTATACGTATATTATAGGAAGTGTACAAAAACCAGTTTGTTACAAAAAAATTTAAACTTAAGATAATTTAACTTGTTAACATACATTAATTGAAGGTTAAATAATAATGTGTGTGTGTTTCTGTTGATTTTTGGCATTTAGACAATATTTAAAGAGTTTAATAACTTATAATAATGATCGAATCTGTTAATCAACGAGTTCTACCCCGTACGGGATTGGGATCCTGATTATTATATCAACTTGACACAAAGATTTGTTAGGTTACGATTTAGTATGGACAGCGTACTGCTTACAATTTAACGTATTATTATTCGGTATAGATTGTAATATATCGAAGTGAAACCGTCAAATTGTGAAACGGTTATTTTCTACTATTCTATTGGTTATAAGAGATGTGACATTCTCGTTTTCTATTGGTTATAAGTGATGTGACATTCTCGGTAAATTAATCGAATCGATTATTTCCTCATTGTTAATTTTAAATTTAAACCTATATAGATTACAAACTAACTGTGTCTACAATTTTACGGTGACATATATAACACACGCCCGTCCGGTGATGTAAAACGTCGTGAGGAAATTCCGGTTTCCTCGGTTTTCCGGTCGACAATTTCACTGTTTTCGATATGTATATAACATTTCACATTCTTAACAAGTTATTTCATGCACATAGTGTTATTATCGAAATAAATATATATATGTACTGCACACATTAATTGCTCAAACGTGACAATATATTTTATTAAAAAAATCGAACATAAAACTTTTCCTGTCGTTTACAGCCTGACAAACTACGTACTAAGGCATTTCCACAGAATAATCTTAAATTGATAACCGATATTAGTAGATGGTACTAGAAACTATAATGTCGTGGAAAAGATTTATTCCACGATCTTGAAACGATATTTTATATGTCACGGTATATTCAACTTATTACTTCTTTATATTCGAAGTGGAAATGTTCTTTTAAAGCCTCGTTATATACCTAGAAGCAGTCCTGACTGTAAAAAAATATCCAAAATTATTCAAAACATTTTAAGAAACTTGCCTGTACCGAAGAATCGAACACGGCTGTGAGTGCCGGCTGTTGTACCATGTATTTAATTCAATTTTTACGCCATGGCTATTAGTATTTAACCACCTTCCCAAAAGTTACAGTTCACTGCCGTGTAACGCTTTCAATGAGAATGTGATTAAATTTGAAAGGGCTAGGTGCTTTTATGTGGGAGAGTTTTTAGATCATAAGTTTTGACAACAATTATATATATCTAACTGTTCTTATTATTATGACATTATGATTATTATTAATATAACGATATTTGCAAACCATTTAGCTTGTCTCAACCTCGGACCTCCTCTAGTTCTTCATAAACTTACTTTATCAAATATTTAGTTAAGTTATAATAGTAATATAGCCTTTAAATTCCGAAACTCTGTGATTTTATATATATGAACTTTAATATATTTTCACTCCAGTATATCTCGGAGTTCGGTGTCCCTCTTGGCAATGGCCTCCTCTAACCCTTTCCACTGTTCTCTATCTTTTTCGACTCTTCTCCAGTTGTAACCTGCTGTTAGTTTCAGTTCGTCCTCCCATCTCTTGCGTGGTCGGCCTCTTCTTCGTTTTACGTCTCTAGGGTACCATTCCTTCAATATTTTGCTCCATTTTCATGGGAGCTTCGTAGCATATGACCCGTCCATCTCCATTTCATTTGGTCTATATTCGTCTTATGTCTGCGTTTATTTGTTTGTCTAATTTTCTTATTTGATAATAGAACAATTTTTTACCGGATTGAAGTTATGTATTTACAATTATTTTTCATAATTTAACCGACGTTTCGCGTGCTTTACAGCGTGTGTGGTCACGGTGACAACAAAATATTGTAAATACATAACTTCAATCCGGTAAAAAATTGTTTTATTATCAAATGTGTAAAAGTTATGTGTCAATAAAAGAATACTAACTTTCTTATGTTTAGTCAAGTTACTTATTGTAATTTAGGTCCGCATTAAAATTTTGTTTACGTTTTCCAGTGGCCCACACGGCAAATTACTGCATCGTAATGGCGCAGTTATACACACAGGGCAAATGTCATGGCATTCATCCGTTCATAGTACAACTGAGAGATGAAGAAACGCACATGCCTCTACCTGGTATTAAGGTCGGGGAGATTGGTGCAAAACTTGGCATGAACGGCACGAATAACGGGTTTTTGGGGTTCGAACATGTCAGGATACCAAGAGATTTTATGTTGATGAAGAATTCTAAGGTTTTGGAGGTAGGTTTTTTAATTACATTCACGTTTAGGAGATAGCGGGAAAATGGCGTCGGGGGATTTTAGGTGCTGTGCTAAATTACCTTTTGTACTATGTTGACAATATTGTTACGTCATTATAGTACGACAGTAATCATCTTGATACTTAACAAAAAAGTATATAATTTTTGTCAATAAATGAAATTACATTCTTATTTGCTACAGCAAATAAGAATGGGCTAATTACGGTGTGATAAATAAAGTGTTATTGAGAGTAATCAATTTATACGTCGATCACGTGACACAAAATGGTCACAGATTTATGACGAACCGTGCCTTGCCAGTCAAATCCTAATACTATCTTGTATTTTAATTCGTCGGAGACTATTCTTGGCCGAAAAATAATATCCGGCCAATCTACACATTGCAAGAATTACCATCAAGCTGAAACTGAGTAAACTTGTTCAAATCACAATTAAAACAACTTTTCGAAATTCCCCATCGTTACGACCCATGGAGAAAAATTTATTCAAAGTCAAAGGTCAAAAAATGGGTTTTTCGCTATTTTCTTCAAAACAGCAAGTTTTATCGTAAATTACCTCAGACAAAAATTGTAGCTAGCTAGCTAGCTTCTGAGATAAAACGATTCTTGAAATTTAATAACTATAATTAACACGTAACAATGAATGGCTGCCAAAATTTACAATTTTATAATTACCATGAGAATACAAATATTTTATACATGTGTGGGTTACAAGTAATTAATTTTTTAAGGACGGCACGTACGTGAACGCACCCAGTTCGAAATTAACTTACGGCACAATGATGTTCGTACGAGTGATGTTGGTGAATGACATGTGCAATTATATAGCAAAGGCGGTTACCATAGCAACCAGGTACTCGGCTATTAGGAGACAATCGCAGCCTAAACCAAAGTGAGTCAAATAATAATCTTTATACTTTTTAACTCCTCCGAAACGGCTTGACCGATTCTCATGAAATTTTGTGTGCATATTGGGTATGTCTGAGAATCGGACAACATCTATTTTCCATCCCCCTAAATGTTAAGTGTAGTCCCCTAACCCCTAATTTTTTTTTTAAATTTAAGATATTTTTTTTTATGATACAGCATTAAAAAATTCATACAACCCCTAACCCCTCTACGATCAACCCCTAATATTTATTATAAATGATATACATGGCAAACGACGTTTGCCAGGTCAGCTAGTGGTTTTAAATAAGTACGACTCGACTTGTACTATGAAACCAACCATATTTAACCTTTCATCGAGTGATTTACAGGTTAGATAGTTCTAGGTCCCTCTATTACTGACGTAGTTAAAATTAGTAATAATAATTTAATTGAATGTAACAGTTAAAAATCTAAATAGTAGACGAGGATACGATTACTATATATAACTGGATATTCTCTAAACTGTAATCTGTTCGATAATCTGTGCATTACGTAATTATAGCAAACCTTATCCTGTGTTGCCATATGTAAGAATCCTGCCATTTTTACAATTTGTTTTTTATGACAGAACTTATGGTTCATAAGGGTCGTAATTGATGCATTGAATGCACTAATATTGTCTTTGATCAGACTAATGGGTAGGCAACCGACCCCGATTTTGATTGTCACAATAAAATTTTTTTTCAGTGAACCCGAACCACAGATCCTAGACTATCTAACACAACAGCATAAGTTGTTGGTAGGTATTGCGTCTGTACACGCATTTAAGACGAACGCCGACTGGATATGGAATATGTATAATAATGTAACCTCTGAGATGGAGAGTGGAGATATGGAAAGATTGCCTGAGGTAAAAAAAAATTCAATAACTTCATCAATACACACATATATATATATACTTTTTAGGGTTAACATATAAACAGTTTTCCTTTTTCGATAGTCTACTTTTAAAGAAAGGTTTGCAAACGGGCATTACGATGAATTCTTACATTTTTAAAGTGGAAAACACAGCTTGCTTCGTACTTAATAACTTTTTACTTACTGATTAATACATAATAATACATAAAAAGCAAAGTTTAAATAAAAATAAAAGCAATTTGCATTTAAAAAAATACTTATAGAAAATATTATAAAATAAATTGTATCAAAAGACAATACAATGTCCTACATGCAATTATGTGTTTGTCACAAATATGATGTTAAAACGTATTGTATACCAACCTAGTGACTGAGACAAGAAATCTATGTTTTATTTTTATTTTTCTTAAATAGTATAAATATTTATAGTCTGTGTACGAATGTATATTCTATGAAAGCACCCGCACACACCTTGCATGCGATCTGACATCACCTACTAGATAGAGACAATCGATGACAGGTGTCAACAGACTTTTTGATGGTCGTTATGAAAACTGAGTTATCATTATATTTGTTCTAGCTGCATGCTCTATCCTGCTGTCTTAAAGCAATCGTGACAGCAGATGCGGCAGAGTGCGTAGAACGATGCCGTTTAGCGTGTGGCGGACACGGATATATGCTCGCCTCGAATCTGCCGGTTATGTATGGCCTGGTCACTGCTGCTTGCACTTATGAGGGAGAGAATACCGTGCTGTTACTGCAAACTGCTAGGTAATATTTAGTGTATATACATACAGCCAATAATGAAATACACTACATATCATACCGAATGGGGAAGTGTTATAATTTAAATCTAGAAGTAGTTGTTATATGTACTTAGTAAAAATTATATGATTCAGTATCAGTTTGGCATATGGTGTTCTAAGAAACAGAATTGGCAATATTGAAAAAAGAAAGATAAAAAATTAAGTTTTTATTCGGTTTTAATTTTTATCTGTTATTAACACCTTGTGACATAAAACATACATGATTATCTGTGGTACTGTTTTGACGTTTTCATTTATGTTAATCATAATATTCCTTAATTTTAGAATTTAAATTTATATTTGGTCATGCGTTTTTAATTTATATTTAAGAGATAAAATATAATTTACATTTAAAGTAAACGACATGAAAATAAGCAATAGTTTGAAAAAGTTACCGTCCTCTATACGCGATATCTAGGATTTTTTGAAGAGTTATTCGTAAAATATAATGTATAATTTGTGGTTACCAGGTACCTAGTAAAATCGTGGCAACAGGCGTCTTCAGGCAACACCTTAACCCCCACCGTGTCTTACATCTCTCGAGTGGGGAACGGACGTCGTTCTCCACCCTGGGACAACACTATCGAAGGAATCGTCGAGGGATTCTTCAATGTGTCTGCGGGGTGAGTAATTTGATTAAAATTTTTAAATTTAATTTAAAATTATAATAATCTAGTTGTCAATGAGTATGTGTAAAAAAAAACCAAAGACTTCATGTAGTAGACAAAGTTTTGCTATGGAAAACTAAACTAAACAAATTATGACGTTGGATGTCACAGACTGTTTAAAAATTTATTTGTCTTGCGCTAAGTCTGACTTTCGTATAACTACAACAAGTCTTACATTACATAGCGCTGAGTTCTTAATAATATTCTAATTTTAAATTGACAGAAAAATCGGTTTGTGCGTCGCGCAGATAGAGAAACGTCAGAAGAGTGGCATGTCGTATGAAGACGCGTGGAATATGACTTCTGTTCAGCTCATATCAGCTTCTGAGGTGATTCCTCATTATTTTTTTGTATTAATTATTATACAGGAACGGACAAAACGGACAAGTGATTTAATCAAATGCTTTATTTTTCTTTAAGAAACCAAAATAAGCAATGGTGGCAAACAACCCCAGTTCTAGTATTAATCTTGGTTAGGTTTAAACCAGGTTTTGACGCAAATCACAACCAAACACTTGAAACCTTGCACCTGATCTTACTCTACTCCAGTCCTGCCATCCGTCCGATTGCAGTATTGGAATTACGGAATAGAGTCCACTTCTCTCCATGAACTGTCTCAATAGAGAACTTTTAGAAATATCCTAGGAGCCCACGACGGCCAGACCTTCGTCATTTAATAAAAGCTGAAAGTTCTTCTGTGCGTGTCCCCTATACAGGTAAGAACGACCAGGGACTATTGAGTTTGGGTAGTGGTTACTTCGGCAGGTAACAGCTAGTATAGGTGTATAAAATAGTACCTTAAATTCGTTAAAGTATAAAGCTCCATTTTATTTTATTAGGGATAACTTAAGGAATCTCGTCATGCATTGCCAGACACTTATGATAGTTGTTACCCCCTGCCAGACACCCCTAAACTTTAATAAATTATAATTATACTTTCGTTAGAGTATAAAAGCTAAATTTTATACTCTTAACGAAAAATATATATTACTTGGGGGACCTATGAAAAAATGTTACCTCAAAAGCCGGACAGTTTGAATGGTTTGAACACCTAGCCAGACACATTGAAAGTCTGCTGTAGGTCCGAGCGCGAGCGCTTAGTCGATTGCGATCTCTAGTCCCTGGTCGTTCTTACCTGTATAGGGGACACGCACAGAAGAACTTTCAGATTTTATTAAATGACGAAGGTCTGGCCGTCCTGGGCTCTTGATCTAAAATACATTTATGTTTTAGGCGCACTGCCGAGCAATAATCTTATCCACATACTACAAGGAGACGCAAGAATTAGTGAAGACAGTGTCTGCTGAGTTAAAAACAGTGCTATTGCAGCTAGTTGACTTGTACGTTGTGTACTGGGCGTTAGCCAGATTGGGAGATTTGCTTAGGGTAAGTTTTTAAAACCAAGATTCATTTAAATACTCGTCAATAACTAAACAACTGTTTTTTCTAATGTTGAATAGACTTTAATTTAAAGACCATACCGCATTTTCTCAGTATATTTTTCTACTCTAAAATTTCCAATCTCGTTTATTGATTTAGCAAAGTCTAGCGTCAGCTAGCCATTCTAAATTCAAATCATTTTTAATCTGGAGACATTAAAGCTATTTAAGAGACCCAAGACGAAACGTTGCGGTCGATTGTCATCTGTCAACGTCAAACGGACGCATGTCAACGCCTATTGTTACGATTGCATTGTATTTTAGTTCACATCGATATCGGAGCGCGATATTGAACAATTGCAGAACTGGTACGAGAATACAATGAGCAAATTGCGTACGAATGCCGTTGGACTTGTCGACGCTTTCGATATTAGAGACGAGGTAATATACTTATTTTCTTTTATTAAATTATTTAAAAAGCAATTGCTAGTAAATCTTATTTTTTCATAGATTTTAAATTCAACACTTGGATCGTACGATGGTAGAGCGTACGAGCGACTTATGGAAGAAGCGATGAAGAGTCCACTTAACGCTCAACCGGTTAATGAAAGTTTTCACAAATATCTAAAACCATTGATGCAAGGAAAACTTTGATTGCACCAGAAATAATAAGCCCAAATACAGTAGATTTTAAACTTTTTACATGATAGTTCTTACAAACCTCGCTAATTATGATGTACTCTTAACTATTAAAAGCCCCTTCAATAAGACTTAGCTGACAGTTATCATAGAATACTGAATAGGTACTAATTCTACCTGTTTCCCGCGCTTTCATTGAACGATTGACAGGAGTTGTAATGTAATGTGACGTAAAACCCCAAACATATATCATCGATTTCCCGCCAAAAATTATACTTTACATAGACAAGTAAATAACCAACTCCTTAAAAATAAACCAGACGCAAAAATGTGTCTGCTCTATGACCTTTTTACGAGACATCAATAACAATTTGATATTATATGATTGGGGTACAACAAAATCATCAAAGATTATAATTGTTGTTATAGTAATTTTTGTAGAGAATGTCCTGTAAAAAGTTAAGTGTAATCTACTGATATTTCTTCATATTGTACTCTATCTTTCAAAAAACAAGTTGATTCCTTTCATTAAATTATAAGCATTGTGATGATATTTTTCAAACAGATTTTTTTATATTATTGTGTTATGTACTAGAGTATTTGGGATTTAAGAATTGTAGAAGACTGTTAACTTTTCTATATGGTGCAGAGATTATATATTGGAGTTAAATTAAATTAATTCTAGCGACCAGTGACTTTTTATCTAGGGTTGCCAGAAAGATAATATTTTTTAAAGATATCAATTAATATTTTTTTACAAAGTTATACCTTTGTTATGATTTTGCATTCCATCCCTTTTTTAAATACTATAATATAAGTTAATGCCATTAGGTGGTGGTTATTACATTGTGATTTATTTCATGGTATTTGTATCGTATTGTATAGCATAGAGATCTAAAACATGAGATTTTAATTTTTACAATAAATTTTATATTTCGTTAATAGTTATTTTATTAATGTTTAAACCTAATGTGCCTACTAAAATTAATATGTATACCAACTAGGGTCGTTGGCCATGACATTGCAACAATTCTATTAACACAAACAGGTTTATAGAGACACGAGTGTGAGCTACTCGTCAAATAACATCGTACTGCCGTTGTCAACAACTCAACAATATGATTAGGACGTTAAAACATTTTAGTGCTCTCGTATTAACGCAGTGGGCATTTTTTTTTAGAACACAGACTAAAATATTTCTTCTAGGAACTTCAGTTCAATAGCGAGATGCAACTCCAAAAAAATCTTGAACTTGTCAAGTATGAGTGGTAAATTTTTGGTATATGTTTACCTTTCAAACGTCAAATTAACAAATTCTGAAATAGTCGTAGCGTGCCGTAGGCCGTAGCTATAAGCTAGTAGCTACAGAATTTGAAGTTACAATAGCTATTAGGAATGAAATGGATTTTAATGAATTATGTCGCGCTTGCCTACTAACAATTGATGGCTCAAATAAAATTATCTTGTTTAAAGATGTTTCAGCTTATACTTATTGGTTTTGCACTTCAATACAGGTAAAATGAAATAATAAACAAACAGTTAAGCGTAATTTTATTGTATTATAATATATTGTGTTTAGATTTTAGAAACTGAAGATTTACCAAAAATATTATGCTCTTCGTGCTACGATTTGTTATCAAAATTTGCCGCATTCAAACAAAAATGTATCGATGCACAGCAATATTTGTTGAATTTAAAGTGTAATATTAAGAAAAAAACTGAATGTTCAGTATTTTACAAAACCAGAGAGAAAAAAAATTCAGGTGATATTTCAACATTGAGTATTGGTGGATCAAAGCATGTAATTCAAGGCGAGATAAAGCTAGAACCCAGTTATGAAGAAATTGGTAAATGGATTATTTTGATTTAATTAAAAATAAACTCTTAATTTGTGAAAGGAATATGGATTTTGTAAAAAGGAATTGTTTTTAACAAAACACAGTCTACCAGAACATACTTAAAATATGTTTTAGTCATTAAGGTAGTGAAATTCTAAAGAAAACAGACTATTATTATTTAATAATATTAATTTTAATTATTGACTAAAACATATTGTCAGTAGACAATTCGTATGTAAAATTTTCAGAAGGCACTTATAGTATTGATGCTATGGAAAAGCAAAATTTTAAAAATGACATGCCACATACAGAGTAAGTATTACCTTGTAAAGCCTTATTATATCTTTACACATAAGTTTCATAATAAAGTAATGTTTTTTAATTATTTTTAGGATTCACAGTTCAAAGAAAATAGATTTTTTCTGTGATGTGTGTAAAAAGGTTTATAGGACCAGGAAGACCTTCAATAATCACAAAAAGATTCATGTAAGTAATAAATATTTGAACTCAATTCCTTTTAGTCATAAACATACAAGACTCAATAACTATTGAATGTTTTGTCTGTCAATGACTATTCTAGAAAATCACTGTCTGTTTTAATAAATAAATGTGACATAAACACACATCCAATTTTTCAATATGTTTGTTGTCTAAAATGTGTTTAAAATTGTGTGACCAAATCAGGTCTAATGTAATCCAGAATTACTTCCAAACAAATTACTTACAAGGAACAATCTAAAAAAAGCAGACCACATTTGTGCTAACTCAAATTTTATTACACAAGCTTAGTAAGCTAAGTATCCGTGGGTTTTCATAGTATATGAAGAATTATACTGAGTTCATTTACAAGAAATAATTATTTTAGTTTTCAAAAACTTGGTGTTAAAGTTTTAAATTTTAGAAGAAATTAAATATGATTTCAGAAGAACAGATTATGCATACCCTGTAATAAATCATTTAAATCACAGCCTGCATTTTATCAACATAAAAAATTGAAGCACTCACAGTGGACTTTCAAAGACACAAAGTGCAAGAAATGTGGGAAAGTGTGCAAAACTGTTAAAACACTTCACTTACACATGAAGACAAAACATAGTGAAACCAACAAGTACATTTGTGATGTCTGTGGTAAAATTAGCAATTCCAGAGGAAATTTAAAGGTATATGTATAGCCATATTGTTATAAATTAATAAAAGTAAAACTAAACTTAAGACGAAAACTACTAAAACAATTTGAATGGAAGTTATACATACAAAATAAGATATCTGTTGCAGTTTTATAAAAAAAAATATGAAGAGATATTATAAAAGAAATAAAAAAAAGCAGTTTCCATTTTAAAATTATTTGTTTTAGCTTCACATTGACCGACATATTGATAATAAAGATTACACCTATAACTGTGAACAATGCAACAAACAGTTTAAATCTAAAGTAGCACTACAAGGCCATTTCTATCGATCACACACTGGCAAACAATATATTTGTCATTATTGCAATTTCTCCTACAAATACAGAGATAACTTAATCAAACATTTATTAACCCACGAGGGAAAGAAATTGCACAAATGTACTCTTTGTAATAAGTCATTTTCAACGCGCTCGTATTATATAGAACATCAGAGATTGCACTCCGGAGAGAGACCGTTCAGCTGTTTGTACTGTTCAAAGACTTTTGTATCCAAACGTCGCTTGAATGACCATCACATGATACATACAGGGGAGAGAAAACACAAATGTACGATTTGTGAACAGAGCTTTACACAAAAGGGTAGTGTAAAGAGGCACATGAAGATACATAATAAAGTACAGCCTGTTTGAAAAGATGGTCTATAGTTCCTTTTTGGTTTAAATTTTGGCGCTATTTAATTCATATAACATGAAAATATTTAACCAAAGAAAAGAGTACTATACCCAGAACAATAATAAGCACTGGTTTACTACTTAACCCTTCATACCCTTTCTTTGAATCATCAAGCAGGATAGAGGCAGAAGAACTACTATAACTTAGTCAATAGAGATTTATATGAGTTGAAATATTGTATAGAATGTTTTTGTTTTTTTATGTTAATTAAAATATTACACACATTTTTCGTTGTCCGAATTTTTTTTCAATTAATAAAACACTGCACTGCCCTGCTCAGAATTGCGAGCGACTCAAGCGTGAAGCGACTCAAACCCGAAGTGCGAATCACGGCTAGACAATAGTTTTTTAATGGACGCAATTTTAAAAGATGTTCGCCGAAAGCAAATATTATCGTAAGGAAATGCTAGTCCTAAGGGGACTTAGACCCAATAAAGCGTTCTGTGTCTGCTACAGAACACTAATCAAGACCATGATTGATTCTGTCAATTAAGATGAAATATCCAGATCACACAAATTAGAGGTCAGGTTTAGACCTCAAATAATTTGGAAATTTATGGTGATAGGTACACCATATTTTTTTTGCAATAATATCCTGCAAATGTTTTATCTCCTTTATACATTTGTAAAATATATGTTATAAAGACCAAATATGTATGCAGTTCGAGTTCTTTGTGAAACAAGGGGTTTGGTTGGCGGACTCAGTTTCCGCACTTTGACGCTCATTAGTTCCGTTGTGCGTATAGTGAAATAATGGGATAAAATAACCAACAAATAATACATATTATTTTGACTCATTTAATCATATCATTTACAAAATTTACACCTTAATATACAACAAAACTCTTCATATATTTTTTATAAATCATACACAAAGATCAAATATTTAACATAGATTTTTGTCGCTTGAATAAATAACCGATACGATTTTAAAACATGCAAAAATATTTGCTTTACACCAACGAGAAATAGAAAAATGAAAAATCGATTATTGAAAAAGGAACGCAATCATTTCAATTTATTTTTTATTCAAAGGTGGCCATTATTATAGCAAGGAGATAAAAACTTTTTGTCATGAGACAACAACAATTTAATGATTACCACAATCGCTCCAGACGCGCTCTTCATTTCTGAAGGTCGTGTTAGACGCACAACTTTCTCCACTCTACCCTCTCTTTGGCAAGCTTCTGCGCATGCGTGAACCTGTAAGGTTCTTTACTTGATCGGCCAGCGAATAGCGGATCGACCTCAAATCTGGTGCCCTCCACTCTGCCAGTCACGATAAGCTTTTCTTTTTTTCTGGATCTGTGTTGCATGTCAAAAAAACTCAGGATCTGTTGGTGTTGATAGACGATTTATTAACTGTAACCGTCTTACTATGCACATGTTTGTATCTTTAACTATCGCTATAGCTACACCACATTTCCAGAGATTATTTTCCTTCTTTCAGATGTTCGTATTGTCCTGGATTCAGTGCCATAAAGGAAAATCGGAAATACCAGAGTCCCAACCAATTTTATCTTTGTTTTTAACCACAATAAAAGATTCCACTCTCAACTTTCGCTTTTGTCATACAATTTGAAAACTGGGGGTTCTAGGTTTGTTTGTCGAAGAGAAGAAACTACTTTTCGATTTAAAACAAATATATATATTTTTTTAATCAATGTAATCACAAATATGGATAACCAATTTGCGGTGTATTGTCGATCGGTATCTCCCTGATCAAATCAGGTTTACTATGTCCCTTCATATGCCGGTTCAACGCACATTTTTGTATGAACGCCTGATTGCATAGCTGACATTTGTGGGGTTTCTCGCCAGTATGGATCATTCTGTGATTGCGTAAGTCTTTTCGTGCCATGAACTTTTTAGGACATATATCGCAGGCGTACGGACGTTCACCTAAAATTTATACAATGTCATTAGATAAAGTAATGAAGAAAAACACTTTTTTAACGGATTTGAAGTTATGTTTTATTATAAATTTACAATTATTTTACATAATTTTAAATTTAACCGACGTTTCGCATGCTTTACAGCGTGCGTAGTCACGGTGACTGAAGACAAAAGGTGTTTCGTCAATGTTCATTAAAATATTATTATTTGCTTTTGTCAATAGTTTTAGATGGTAAAAATTGTTGTTAAAAATAAGTCCTTACTTCATTAGATTATACCAGTTAAATGACATAAGAGTCTAAGAATAAAAAATAAATGCTTTTTTGACATACGAGTTTATCATTTACAGTGACGATATATATAGCAACGGCGCTACAACCTTTTAGGCTGAATTTAGTGTCACACCGACCACACGCGCACCGTCGGCGCTGATGGTCAAGATATATGAACTTCCAGAAAGCGTTTTTGAATGACGCGTAGCTATAAGCGCGCACGGTGGTCAGCGCTGATGGCTGCGCGGCCGTACGCGGCGCCGACGCGCGTTTTTATTTTTTTGAGATAGGTAGTACAAAGCAGCAATAACTAATACACTCCGCATTTTTGTCTTCGTCGGTACAGTAAGGCGGTCAGTACGATACTAAAACGAACCACGCTGAGCGTCAGCGCTGACGTACTACGCGCTGATCTATGAGCGCTGACGGTGAGCGTGACTAAATTCAGCCTAAGGTTTGGGCCTCAGATTTCTGTATCCTGTATCATTTCTAATAGGCACGTGATCAACACTCTGTGCCTCACACACAACGTGGACTTTTGAGGTTAAGGCCGGTTTCCTCACCATGTTTCCCCTTAACTGTACGAGCCAGTGTTACATAGATAGAGAGTCCATTGGGGGCACTGCCGGGGATCGAACCTACGACTCCAGGGATGAAAGTCGCACAGAGAAGCCACTAGGCCAACACTGCTGAATTTGTCCACAACTAGGTATTAAATATTGATAATACTACTCTCAGCACATGGCCAGATTTTTTGTAGTGGGATTAGGTTCGTGCAAAAAATGGCCTGTAAATTCCTGCCCACCTTTTTGTACGTTATACATAGCTCAAAAACTACTAAACCAATTTTGATGAAAACTAGAACTATTTCGTTGGCTTTCATTTTAAATAAATATATTCTCGACTTAGTTTCCAACAATTTCACCCACATACACAATATAGGTATTACTATAACTATTCTCATAATGGATTGAAGCCAATAATTAGTCAAAGGTAATAAAAGTATACAAATATAAACGCAAAGCGAAAGTGGCCACAGATAAGAAAAAATAAAATAGACTATAGAAATTGGGTTGCGCTTGGTAGTTGGTGGCACAAATTTCAAAAAACCTAAAGAGGTGGTTATCAATTCGATTTGTAATTTTTTAAAATAAATATTAATACAGAACAAAAATCCAATGGAACTTTGATATTCTGTGTAACGTCATTTACAATATGACGTTCGTTGGCCTAAAGGTCTATCTAGACCCTTTAGGTTTAGGACCGTTTGGTATCTACCAGGCCATAGACTCCAAAAACTATGACGAAAATGTGACGTTCGTAATTCAAATAATTCGAAAAAGATACCTGTATGAGTCCTCATATGTATTGACAGAAAACTTCTACTTTTAAAAGTCTTATCGCACATGTGACAGGAGAACGGCTTCTCAGCGGAATGTGACCGCATGTGTTTAACTAAATCTGCCTAAAATTGAATATACTGTTAATATATATCAGCAATATCAGATTTAAAATGTAAGAATATATTATTACCTTAATATAAAATCTCATATCACAAGCGGAACAGGCGTAATTCTTGATCCCGGAATGTCTCACAAGGTGGGTCTTAAGGTTCCCGGGCTGAGCAAACTGCTTCCCACATTCACCACAACTGTACTTTTTCTCGTTGTTATGTGTGTCAATGTGCATCTATATTAGGAAATGTATGTAAATGGCTTGCTTTTATATAAAGGGTTTAACTTTGTTTTATTTTTTACTTAAAAATAACATAGAAAAAAATTCACATCTCTTGTCTAGTGAGACCAGCCAGTTCAACCAGACTCAGACTAACACGCCTATATAGACTATATAGGCGTGTTAGTCTGAGTCTGGTTGAAAAAACTTAATTAATATTCAAGACAAAAATTACTGCATAAATAAATAATTATAGTTGCATAAGTAAATAAAAAAAATGCTATGCAATAGCTTTACCGCGGCAGTCCCGAGTGCCACACGTTTTTTTTTTTAAATTAATCATAATACTTTTTTTTAATGTTATTAACATAAAATCACATATTTGATTAGAGTACCTTTAAGTTATACGCCTGCACAAACTTAGCATCGCACATATGGCACTCATGTTTCTTAACACCTGCATGTATCAGTTCGTGGTTCTTCAAAACGTTGAGATATGCAAAACTCTTGCCGCAAGATAGGCATTGGTATTTTCGTACTGCGCTGTGAATGCGAATATGGCTACTCAGACTTCGTAGTGAGAGAAACGTCTTGTCACAATGCTTGCATTTTATATCTGGCTGGAAGATGAAAGTTCTTTATTGACACCCTTTCCAGTTGTTTAAAGTATTTATTTATTCTATTGACCTTTAGTATATTTCACAAATCGTAATAAACCATAGACAAACGACTCAGGCCGCCATTTTTTTTCACTAAAAAGGGTTAATATCCAAGATGTGATATGCATGTCTTGTGTGCCTAATTGTGAATATTTCTAGATAAACATATATATAGACAAGACGAGATGGTCTATAGTTAAGCCTGGCTAAGGCGAATAATAAAATAAAAACAATAGCTCAAAATAGAAATATCTAGGTTGTAACTTGTAGCATATTGACTATATGAATGAAGTTTAAAAAGAATTAGAAGGAAGTCCATTACAACAAAAAAAAAAATAGCCAGCTAAAGTGTCTAAGAGCCCCCCGGGGTTGGTCTAGGCCATTTAGCACAAGTCCGGTGAACTTAGCTACAGCGCACTTAATACATGTTTGGAGTTTATAAATTTATTTATACACAGAGATAAATCATATTTGAATACAAAATATATATTCCCAATGTTACTACACACAGCCGACAGGTACTAAAACAACTGAAAAATGTTATACCTGTTTTCCAAAATGTCCTCTCATATGTGCCTCAAAGTTCTCATACTTTTGGAAACTTTTGCCACACTTGACGCACTTCATACGCTCGGAGCGGCGTTGGGCCCCACCCGGTTCTTTTGGCGGTCGCCCTGGACCTCTTCGCCTGCGACGGGCGAGTATTTGACTGTAAAATAAGGTTGTTTTATTTTATAAATTATTTGACCAAAATAATAAAATAAGTCGAGTCTGTGCTGACAATGTATAATGCCTGTGTCATAAATTTATTTAAGAAAAATTATATACTTTTGACTTTTTTTTTCATATTAAGTATGAAGACTGTCAATTTATAAAGATGTCACAAGAAAAGATTACTGAGTACTGCAGTAACTTCAAATCCCATGACGGTTCTCTTTCTGCACAGACTATTTATTAATTCATAATTTTTGTAGTTTTTAACTACAAGGCGACAAGAGACGTAAGTAGTTGGCGCAAGTTTTAACCATCATCTCTGAGATAATATGCTGAAAACTATCCCCTAAGACAAAAACATTTTGTGCCAAGATTGATCCATAGGAGTAATTCTAGAAATTAGATACAAAAGTTACATTTGAAATTGTACACATTCTTCATTAAAGTTCATTAAAAGTGAACCTTTAAATTTAATGATTTAAATGCGAATTACTACTACACATAATCTGAAGGCAGTATACCTTATAAGACTAGCTGTGTCATATGGTTTGTCACTACAATTTTGTGTCATATTTTCTGATGTATTTTCTAATACATCATCACTTGTTTCTGTAATATTCACATCTAGGAAACTGTTTTCATTGTTCTCTGTAAGGTGAGATTCGGGTTTGACCTGAAATTCACAAGATGAAATGTTTATGAATTCCTGGTATAATTTTTTTTTATTATTACAAGTAAATATTTTCAATTAATTAATATATTAATTTTTTTTGCTTATTTTAAATTGGATTTCTAAGTACATATTATTAAAACTTGTTTAGCAGTTTAACCACTGAGACAAAATAAACAAACTAGAGTCAAATCTATTGTCATCAGACAATATAATCAAGATTAAGCATAATAATATTTATTTATACATAATTAACAGAGAGGAACTTACTGTAGTTTTGACATGACTACTGACTAATAGAAAAAAAATATTTCACTAGAGTATCCCTGAGAAAATAAATGTCTAGCCATGCAAACACAAGATAGGGCTCAGTATGTCAAATAAATGTAATAAATCCATGTTTATATACAATATAAAGTTTCATTTAAACACTACATAATTGGAGAGTAATATATAAGGAGGTGAGTTTTAAATTTTAATGATTTATTGGTGTAACGGTATCAGACTTTTAATAACTCTTTTACCTGTAACTTCCATTGTTGTTTCAATATTACATTTGATCTCACAACCACTTGCTTGAAGTTATAGAGCTTGTTTAGAAGATCTAGACACTTTTGACAGATTAACTTAGGCATACAATCACTATCAGAAATCTGGAAACCAATCAAAAATAATTTACTCAATAGTTATTCTCTAGACCTGGAACCAACTATCTAATTTTTTATATAACAATATTAATAATTCTAGAAATCTTTTTACATTTACCTCAACAGATGTGCAATATTTAAATATTCCTGATGTTGAAACAGTAAACAAATCGCTTAATGGACCAGCGTCAGATAAACAAGCCCGACATATTTTCTTAAAATCTAGCATATGCGACATTTTTATGCAGTTTCAAAACATTTTAACAATTATTATAAATAAGGATTAAGTCTTAAGATAGTCACAAAAACTATTGTAATCAATTTGTTTTTGTTTTCCTTGATGATTTTGATTTTTTACTTTTCTTCTATTCCCTTTCGATGTTGACACTTGACATATTATCAAGAAATGAAACGTCAAACAGAATTAACAATGACCCCATGAAGTACATAACAAAAGTTAAAACTATTGCCATAATATTAAAAAAAAGTACATATTATCACAGAGTCCGGAAAAAGGGTCCGTGTACTAATGTGCGTTTTCCAATTACAGCACTAGAGCGCAGCGCATTATGCGGCATAATGCTCAACGTTGAATGTTCCAACTACAGCAACGCTTCGCACAATTGAGCACTCTCAAAAGTAGTGCTCTCGCGTGGTGCTCGCAATCAATACCAACACAGTGACAGAAAATTAACTAGTGTTTTTTGTCTTTAAGTTGGCATTGATCGAAATTTCAAATTATCGTTAGTAAATAATATATCGTCGTAGTATTTCAAACTGCTAAAAAAATAAATATAAGTATGGACGAAGGTATAAATAATTACTTTTTTTTATATTCCACATTTAAAATATGAATACAATTTCATTTTAAAATTCGGATCTGTCAACAAATTTATTTTACAGGATTTTACTTACTTATTAAAAATAAAGAAAACTGGCTCAAATAAGTCATCTGTTTCATTATTATATATATTTTCAATAAATATATCACTTGATAATGAACTAATTGATTGATTTAAACTCGGAGCACTCGATAAATCATCGTCATCACTATCATCTGGATAAGATGATTCAGTAAAAAAGTATATAATTTTTTTAGAAATCATTTCAAATATTACTCAAAATAAGCACAAATAGTTTTCAACCAATTATTATTGTTTACCACATTATTTATACATTAATGAGGTTGCTAACTCCATGAATTTTTTTTTCACAGACAGCGCACTCTGCTGATGCATTTGAAAACAATTAAGCTTCAGCATAATGCGGCATTGTGCGGCACTCTGTAATTGGAAAACGCACTATGTACGCGCGTAAGAAGTTATACTTCTTTGACTTTCTTTATTTTTTTAAATATTAAATTTTTAACGTTAATAATATTTAATAATTAGTATATTATTCAATTATTAATTAATATTAATAATTAAAATTATTATTATATTATTCATTCAATTTAATGGTATAATGGTATGGTTTTTAATTTTTTTTAAAGAATCAAATATAATTTTTTTTATATTATGGCAGTAAATAAATATTTAAATATCATTCATTGAACATTCACAAACTCATTTTCAGTTCAGTCCACCTTGTTTTGTTTTTGTTTTAAAAAATAATAAGTATTCCTTAAAAACATACACATAAGCTTAAAATAAAATATATATGAATAAGATTTTTTTAAATACTTATAATATCTATAAAAGTTCTAGTATCCTATGAACAGCTATGGTTTAAATTCTAAATATGAAATTTAATAATGTTCTATTCAAGTAACTTAGGTTAACAACAACTCTTGGTGACAATAAACTGCAATTAAGTGATAAGATATTAGATAACTAGGTATCAATGGGCATATTAGGGCTAAGGATAAGTGGCTATAGGATAATTGATATCTTTTATTAAGAGCATTTCAATAAGGTTAAATTAATATAATATTGTTAGTTTATAGACCAAGGCATTTCTAATCTTATCAATAAAGCGCCAGGTTTACATTTTAGTGAAAGATCTTGTTAGGCCAGTTTAAAAATGCGCCACCTACCTATATTTATTATGAACTTAGCATAGAACTTAGATTCATGTGTTTGCTTCGTCTGCTAATAACTGTTATACTTTTCTGACATATAATTATAACTCTTAATATGTTAAGGATAAAGGTGAAATTGATAAAACGCTACTTCCCCATAACATTGGCCGTATGCGTCATTTCAATGCTTCACAAACACAATTATTCACATCAGTCGCGGTGGCATTATTATTCATGCACGACGTTCCTTTACATAGTTTTTATTTTAAACTTTAAGGTACGAAGACATCCCGAAGCTTTTTAAGCTTAATACAAGTGCTTAAAATGTATATATAATCCATTATAAATGAGTTATACGTCATAGTGCAATTAATAACTAAAATAAGACACCGGAGAGAACCGAACGGTGGAGTGTTTGTAAATATTAACTATTTTATTAAAGTTGATAACAATCCATTCTGATAACAACTGAATACGTGGGACGTACATTTTCCTGCCAGTGGTTACAAAGTAGCGCTTGTAATTAGCCGTGTTTTTAGAATTACTCGAAAAATGACCACAACAAATGGAAATAGTGACACGGTACCAATAAAAGGCGTTCCATGTAATAACAGAATTGAAGCTCTCTCTAAACATTTTTACGACGAATTTGGATGCAAACCTACATATTTTGTTCGAATACCAGGCCGAGTTAATATTATTGGTGAACATATTGATTACTGCGGCTATCCAGTGTTGCCCATGGCATTGGAACAAGATATTTTAGTTGCTGCCGATCTTACAAAAGATTCAAAACTGTATCTACGAAACATAAATAGTAAATATGAAAAGTTTGACCTTAAAATTAACCTGTTTGAAGACATCGATATTAAACCGGATTCTAATGGAAAACCATTTTGGTATAATTATGTCCTTTGTGGTATAAAGGGAGGTTTGGAGTTTATAAATAATGAAATGATTCACGGAATACGTTTATTTGTTGACGGAATAATTCCTCCAGCATCAGGATTGTCCAGCTCTTCGGCTTTAGTCAGTGCAGCCTGTTTAGCGTTTTTGTACGCGCAAGGAGCAGGTTTAAATAAAATAGAAATAGCAACTCTATGCGCAAAGAGTGAACGATATATTGGAACACAAGGAGGTGGTATGGACCAAGCTATAGCATTTTTAGCAGAAAAATATAGTGCGCAGTACATTACATGGCAGCCTTTGAAAGCTACACCTGTAGCTTTACCAGAAGAGGCATCCTTTGTCGTTGCGCATAGCTTAGCTGAAGCAAACAAAGCAGCCACTAACGACTATAATCGGAGAGTTATAGAGTGTAGATTAGCTGCTCGAATCCTTTTAACTTCCTCTGATGCCACTGCAAATCAAAAGGTCATAACGCTATGTCAAGCGCAGAACATTTTGGGCAAAACATTAAATGAAATGGTAGATTTAGTGCACGACTTTTTACCCAAAGAAATGTACACTAAGAGTGAAGTGTGTAGTATATTAAATATAGATGAAAATACAATGAATAATTTATATTTAACACCGAATACGAGTCATTTAAACGAATTTAAATTGAAACAAAGAGCTCTTCACGTCTTTGAAGAAGCCTTGAGAGTTGAAGATTTTCGCAAGACGTGTACGCAAACTACTGTTAATGGAAAAACTGCTCATTCTAATGGATCAAATGGCGTAACTAAAGATGCCACTGAGACTACTATAGTCAAGCTCGGTAAGCTAATGTGCAGTAGTCATGATAGCCTGAAAAATCTTTACGAATGCTCGCATGAAAATTTAGATCGACTCGTAGACATTTCGCGTAAAATGAATGTACATTGCAGACTAACTGGAGCAGGGTGGGGAGGCTGTGTTGTCGCTTTATGTCCCAATGACAAAGTTAATGAATACATTGAAATGCTAAAAGATGAGTTTTACGTAAAACATTGCGATATCGAAAAAAGCAAAGCCAATGCCTACGTTTTCGCAACAACGCCAAATTACGGGGCTATCATTTACGATATTAGATATTAAGTAATTTTCATTGTATTATTCATGAATTTGTTAATAATTAAGTGCCGTTATTGGCGTAGTTATATTTATTGTTTATATATTTTATAACGCTGGCATAGGTAATTACCGATACTGTTGTCATGAATTTGCATTTGAATTAAATATTAATATATAACCATTGTGGTTTAATTTGAAATGAAGCGCTCTGTAACTTCCAATAGCGAGCCCGATCACAATAATATCCACTCATTACTTCTCTACTTATACTCAAGAATAGTAGTTACCTACTATATATATGTAGTATTGAATTTTATATAACAATTATTATTATATAATTTGCGTGTAGTAATTTTTTTTATTTTTTTCAATCAATATTTTTAATCAGGGTAGTATTATATATGTATCACTATAACTTTATTTTTTACTAAAGATGTATATATACTTTAGTGTCACATAAAAAATATACACATAAATAATTAATTGATTAAAAACAACCTAACGTTTGCATATTCTATGGGCTTCATACTTTCAATTGGTATAGAATTTATCTAATAATCATACCGGTGAAATATTAAAAAAAAAAATTTTTAATATTAATTAAAATACTCTGGGGCCTTAGTCAAGATGCCTTAACAGTAGTGTATGTAGAAAGTCGAAAACTTAATTTGTATGGAAATGACAGTTCATGTCGAAAAGTTTTCATACAAATTTAGTTTTTGACGTTCTACATACACTACTGTTAAGGCATCTTGACTAAGGCCCCAGGACTGAAATTTGCTAGGCAACCCATATGGATTATATTTATTGACATATTAAATTAAATATAAAATACGTTTCATTAAATAAGCATCTCGGTGAAGGTCGTTGTATATCGGGATCTTAGACCAACATAATATAAATAATTACTTACACTTATATTTTGATTCATTATTTTATTTCGATTTATTCATCTGGATCGATAGATGTCAAGTCAAACCATAAATATGTCAACTGTCAGATAGCAAGAAAAAACATTAGTACGAGAAAGTAGAAAACAGAACTATATCAAGAAGTAAAAATAAAATATCCCTCGTTCAACGTTTACTTTTATTTCTTGCCGTTTTTAAACGTTTTTTAATTTACCTAATGCACCCACTATATTTTTTATTATTAGGCAAACTTACATTATACATATAATTGCATCTAACCTGTGTACATTTGGATAGGTATTAAAAGGTTTAATTGCCAACTCAGTAAGTACTATTTTATTCCCATATTTATGACATACCATAATGAGCTTAAATTATTTAAAGCAGATTTTTTCATTTATTAGTTTGCAATGGATACAATGGAGGTAAGTTTATCCGTAGCTTTTGTCCATTTAAGGTTACAATATTGCATCATTATTTTTATAACTAACCTGTTGAATAGATCCTCTCAGGTTCAACTATATTTACTTCACTTTAAAAAAAAAAAGACTTCAAAAATATAAGGAAATTTATTTTAGGTTTATTAAGGACAAACAACCATATTTCCTTTTAGCTATTATTTTTATTTTTACAGGTTCATACAGACAGACTGACAACGTCGCAAAGAAGAAGGTTACGTCGCAAAACATTAAAAAACATAAAAAATCCAACTAAAACAGAGCAATATATTGAGAAGGCAAATTTACCAGAGATTTATACACTTGAACAGGGGTGTACTATAAATAAACCATCCTTAAATTTAAGTGATAAAGGGGACACTGTATTTGAAAAGTTAAATAACTGTGTGCAATCCTGTAAAGAGGATAGAAATAACATAAAAATGGATACTAAATCTGATGTTGACTCAATTCAAAAGGCTCGTGATGGAGTAAAAGCTGCAAGGGATGCTAAAAAACTAGCTAAGCAAGCCAAAAAGAAAGGTCTATCTGATACTAAAACTACAGAAGTACATATAGATAGCAAAGTATCAAATAAAACTATAGAAAGTACTACTGAACATGAAAAAACAGTTGGCAAAAGTAGCATTGATGAAGTTGACCGTGCTGAAATAGGGAGTATGCAAGACACCCTTCAATTGTTAAATTTATTAAAAACAAAGTTAAAGAGTGCCTCACCAAATGATCAAGACATAGGAAATGTACCAGTAGGTGAGAATTTGACAGTTAATGATGTTGTAAATACATTAAAGGATATTGTCAATGTCGCAAAGGATGTAGAGAATGTCACGGCCATCGTCCAATCAATGAATGTTCAAAAGGTAATACTCAATTAAAAAAATAGAATTTGAAAATGCTTTATTTACATATTAATAGAGTGATAAAATTTGTTCAATATCTGAGCACTTTTCCAAAATTTTAACTATTATAACAGATTATCTCATTTTTGTGTTATCTATAGTAAACATACATTCTATATATCTTCTAGTTTCTTTGTTTATAAGATAAGTATTGCCACTTAACAAAATATTAATGAATTTGTTTTTCTATAATTTTGACTACAGTCTGGAAATGAGAAAGTTGAAAGTAACATTAACACACCAGTACAAAAAGAAAAGAAACCTCAAATAGAAGAAAAACCTGACATCAAAGGAGAGGATGACAAAAAAGGTGTAGGAGAGGGAAAAAGTAAGGCTGAATTAAAGGCGGAGAGGAGGGCTAAACAAGAGGCCCAGAGAGCAGCCAAATTAGCACAAACACAGGAAAAGGAACAGAAACCAATTATTAAACCTAAAATAGCACCAGAAAAAGCTAAAGAGGTTGATATTAAAAAGGTATTTTTTAGAAATTAAGTAACAAACTTTCCTCCTTGAATAAATTTCTGTATAAGAAAATTAAAATCATACTAAAAACTTAGACCTGTTTTAGTGAAAATAAATTAATTTGTAAAAATATTTGTTGTTATTAAATTTTGTGTATATTTGTTTACAACTTTTAATTATTATTTTGAAGTGGTAATATATTTATTTTTGGAACCCATATGTGAAATTGGACTTATGACTTAAAGATTTGTGAAATTAGACGTATTACTAAAGAAAAAATTAATGTTATCGCTCTGTTTTAAAGTACTCACCTATCTCCTTTCATCACAGTGGAAACACAATTTGAGACAAAAAGTTTAAACACTGACAATGTGTTTATACATAAATCGTTTAAAAACATAATTTTAAATATAAATATGTTAATTTACAGGAAAAGTCACCAAAACCGAAAACATTTGAGAAGCCGAAAAAGTCTCAAACAACACAGAAATGCAACTGGTTTCAACATCTTCACACTGTACATGACAAGGAGGCTCTCAAACAAGTTGCTATCAATTCTAAGTATGTATTATGATTATAAAGAAAATATTCATTATATGTATTATGTATATGTCGCAGCCAACTAGCTTAATAAGCCGTTCAACTAACAGCCTAGCCTTTTAACTAAACAGCGCCGTTAAACTGGCGGCCCCATGACCTGGTGCTAGTATTTGCAAGGGATAAAACATTACTTGACCATTTTCGATATTTAGAAGAACCCTACTTTGACGCATCTTAAAAAAATTGTTTTTTTGTATAAATTATTATATTATAAATTAATGTTATTATTTTATAGTTTACACCCGGCAGTGATAAAATTGGGGGTTCAGCTCGCATCGCGTGTTGTGATCGGATCCAATGCAAGGTGTATAGCACTGTTGGACGCACTTAAAAAGGTACGTTTTAGTTTAAATTTAAACATTTTATAAAAAAATAGCTATACCTTTTTTTATTCAGTGTTTTTAAATCAAAAACATATTGTAATATTATGACAAGTTATTTTTGTATTTCACTAGATTGAATCCATTCATTGTTATATGTCTATTTTATTTACTACTATCTGCCGTTTCGTTACTAACTTCGTTCCTCCTTAATACCTTCCTCAGAGTTAGGATAGATAGAGTCTAGGATAAAATTTAAAAACGAGATTTATGACTCCCGATTGTCAAAAGTCAATGCAGTTTTGACGTACCGGTGTCATAAATTGTAAATTACAGCCATAGAGTGTGATAAATACTAGAATCTATACTGAAAAAGAATCGTGGCAGTAATTGTTATTTTCTACGCGTCATTTAATTAATTCACAATAAATGTAAATTTTTAATATCCAGTATTAAGATGATTGTGACTGTCGCACTACAGTGACGTAATAACGTGCGACACAATATTATTATATTGTAATAACAAATATGCAATTTAGCATTGCTGCTATTTCAAATCCTTCGACGGTTCTCTTTCCACACAGACCATGGCAACACTTATATCATTAAAATTGTCTATTAATTTAAATTTTTCTATAAACAGATGGTCCGTGACTATACCCTTCCAGCCAAGACAGAGTTCGCTCGAGGCTTAGAAGCTCAGTTGGCAGCGAGTTTAGCTTTTCTATGGAAAATGAGAGCTCCTTCAGCCTCTCAAGTTAACGCTATCAAGCACTTTAGACACCAACTCACCCAATTACCGAACAATGTTGATGAGTTTGATGTAAGTATAATATAATGTGTACACCACTGTATGGAAAAATAAAGTGTAGCAACATTACAAAAAAAAGGGTGCGTGTACGCGCGTAAGAAGTTATACTTCTTTGGCTTTCTTTATTTTTTTAAAATATTAAATAATTAATAACAAATATTTAACGTTAATAATTTAATAATATCTAATATTTAGTATATTATTCAATTATTAATTAATATTAATAATAATAATTATTATTTTATTGTATTATTCATTCAATTTAATAACTACGTATGTTTCATAACCTTTTAACTAAGTAACAATAGGTCTTTGTGAAAAAGCATTGCTAAATTTCTTTGAAAAAATAATTAAAACTCCTTTATTTGTTTAAAAGGTAAATGTCATTATGTCCATTCAAAATTCTTTTTAAAGCTGCTAACTTCACGCATATTATATTTCTTTTTACTTGTAGATTGTCTTATTCCCATCTCGCTCGCGCACACTATAATCACACTGACAACTTTGTGTCTCAAGTGCGCGCGCATCGTAAAATTTCACTCTCGTCAATTTTTCATAACGCGCCTAAAGAAGTATAACTTCAATAATATGCAAAAACTTAAACATATATATATTTATTTATAAAATATCATGATTTCGAGTTCAATGTATTAAATACATATTGAAATCTAAATAGGTTGCCAAGTTCTACAGCATATAAAACTAATGAAGGTATTTAATAATAATCCAAAAATTTAATCTGACATATTTTTATAATTTATTATTTAGATTATAGTTGTATTTTTCATCTACACGTATTTAAGTGTAGTTGTTGCTTAGAGTAGTTGAGATCTAAATAGGTATCAAATTCTATACAAAAATTTCTAGTAAAAAACTTGCTATTTCGCACTTTAACATACCATATTGGTGAGTTTTTTTTCTCAAAGTGTAAAAAGTTAATACTGATCACAAGAAAAGTAATTAACACATTTTAAAGATTGATCACATAGTTATTATTATGTGTTACATATAGGAAATTAGCAGACCGGCCAAGCGTCGCTGTAGTAAGGTTTTAGTTATATTACATAGTAGTAACCTATTCAAGGAAAACGGTAGGAGAACACCAGTCATGGGGACCACCATGCTTTTTTGGTGGTTATGCCATTAAATTGTAGCTTATTGGAAACGTTGGTACTTTCAACACAGCGCCATCTGTTAGAATTATGACTATCAAATAATAAACAAATATTTTGCAATAAAATAATATTGCGGATATAAATTAAGATGTAAGCTATCCTATCTTTTAAGTCAGATCAAATTGCACACGCTGAGCAAATTTGATTGAAATCGGTTCGGTAGTTTAGGAGTCCATAGCGGACAAACAACGTGACACGTAATTTATATATATTAAGATTTGTACATATACTCTATAAGAAAGTTTAAACAACGTTAAATTTTTTTATCAATTACTTGAATTCATCAGCTTACTAAGATCAATTGACTGACTATGGGTAAGATTCAGAAATGAGGCTTAGGGGGCGTGTGTGTTGCGTAAGCAGATTTATCCCCCTACGAAAGTAATTTCCTACTTAAGGAAGAGGTAAGGTCTCAAAAATAATAGTACATATACAAAAAATTAATACGCTACTGCCTAGTAGACAGTGTGTGGGTAATATGTGTAAAAAAATTACTGTTGACGTATTCACCAAATAAGAAAATGGACCCCCCTCCCCTGATAGTGCTTACGTAATACTTGAACGGCCCCTTAGCACTAAGCTAGACTCTTGTACGTCATAAGTGTATTAGATTTTGACATACGTGAGTAAATTATTCTAAATCTTATCTATGTCTAGACTGCTTTCTTCATTAAATTTATCTTTACCATTGAAGCAAAAAATGTTGGTATTATAAGGAAAAATATATGAGCGCAAATACACTTAATACTCAAAATGTTAGTTATAACGTTGCTGTCTGAACGTATACATTTTATTTTAGGCAAAGAAGAAACTTCAAGAGGAAATAGACAGATATATTCGTGAACAAATCGATATGGCGGGTGAAGCTATTAGTATCGCTGTGAGAAATAAAATATCGAACGGTGATAATATCCTCACTTATGGGTGGTAAGTTAATTTTGCGATATTGGAGAGTGTTCAGAGGAGTTGTTCGGTCTAATACCTGTAGCTGACTTTCACTATCGGACGTCAAGGCAAAATACAAAATACCATCCGTATCACCTCGACGTCCGTCGTTCCACAACTGAGCGTTTTCTAAGGCAGTTTTTGCCGCGCAGCGCCACTATGTGGAACCAGCTGCCCACTGAAGTATTTCCAAACCAATTCGACTTAGGGTGCCAGTTCTTGAAAAGCCGGCATCGCACTTGCCTTCTGGCAGTGTGAGTGTCCATGGGCGGCGGGGCGGTATCACTTAACATTAGGTAAGCCTCCTATTACATAAAAAAACTATAATAATATAAACGACAGTAATATGTGTGCTAGGCTGCACACTTATGTCGAATTTAAAAAAAAACCAGCGGCGCTACAACCCTATACAGTATTGGCCGCAGATTGCATTATTCGATCATTATGTATAATGTAGAATATAGAGTATGTGATCAGCTTTCTGTGCTTGACACGTGTCGAAGATTTTTGGGTTTAAAGACATGTTTCCTCAGTGCCTTCATCGTAGCAAGTGTTAATCGCACATAGAAAGATAACTCCAATGGCGTAACAATAGGATGGCAGGGCTGGCAAAATGCCACGGGCCCCCGACCAAGAGATATTATGTTCTCTGGATGAATGTGAAGTCTCCAATACGCATTGGGCTAGCGTGGGGACTATAGACCATTCCCTCTCGCATAAGAGAGGAGGCCTATGACCATTAGTCGGACATATACACGTAGGTCGATTTTTACTGATAGGGCCCCATCAAAAGAATTTGCCACGGGCCCCAGATAGTATAGTTACGCCACTGGATAACTCCATTGTTGTACAGTGATTCAAACTCGGGCTTAGTGATTTAAATCACTAGATATATTATATATTCTTTACATATTTTAGTTCATCGTTAATCGAACGAATCCTAAGAGAAAGTCACGAAGCGGGGGTGCAATATCGTGCGGTCATTGTTGGGAACAGAGTGAGTCATTCAGCGCGAGAAATGCTTCGACGACTTGTATCTGCGGGTGTGGCCTGTACTTATGTCGATATCTCGGCGCTTAGCTATGTTATGAAGTCGGTATGTGGGATTTTTAAAGAAATTATTTATTTATAAAAACACTCCTGCCCTAACAGTCGAGCCTAAATTGACATGAGAACAATAAGTGAATAAAATTTACAGACGAAACAAAAAAAAAACAAACATACGAAATTAATTAGGAAAATCAAAATAACATAAAAAATACAAGAAACTAACTACTATAGGCACTAACAAATAATAGAACTTTTAACCAATTGTATTATTGTTATTTTGTATAAAAATATATGATAAGAGCCCATTACATCAGATATATTATATGGAACAGTTTTCTCATTAACTTTTCGAAGCAAACTAGGGCTTTAGTGACTAAGATAAGATACCAAATAATATGACAGGTCTCGACTAGATCTATGATTGATAATGAACCAATAACTTAAAATTTCAGATTAACAAAGTCCTTTTAGGAGCTAACGCATTGCTGGTAAACGGTTCAGTCCTTGGTGCAGTGGGTACGCTGCAGGTGGCTTTAGTTGCGCGTGCGCACAACGTTCCCGTTTTGGTGGCATGTGAGACGCACAAATTTTCAGATCGCGTGCAAACTGACGCATTTGTCGATAATGAAATTGGTAAGTTGAAATATATTTATTATTTTTGCACTATAGATATATATAAATGTTTTAAAGTTATAATGAAAAAGAATTTGATTTTATGCTGAATTATTTCAATAACCACAGGTGACGCTGATGCACTAATTGACAAGTCAGACGAGAACTCCCCTCTAAAGGACTGGCGTTCAAATCCCAACTTAAATCTTCTGAACTTGACATATGACGTCACGCCAGCTAGCCTCGTTACTGCAGTGGTCACTGAATTGGCAATATTACCTTGTACAAGTGCACCAGTCATTCTTAGATTTAAAACTTCTGAATATGGAATGTAATTTAATGTTATGTAAATAAATTTAATTAAATTTCTTATAAATGTATATACTATAATTTGAAGTTTTATTCATTGTAATATCTAGAAGTAGGAAAGCCTTAAATGATTAACACTAAAAATATGATTAAAACACTCTTACTTTTCTGTATTTATTATATAATAAAAATTTAATTATGCTTTTGTATTAGAATTGATAATACCCAATTGAACACGAAATTATACTTCAATAAATTATGAAATCACAACAATCAATACAAGCAGTATATTAGATATAATCAATTCAAAATACAGAAATTAGTCCTTATGGGCATGTTCTGGCTTATGAATAGAAAAGTCTAATCTTACATAAATAATAACACAAAGGAATAGAGCATATAGTGAACCAACTACTATTAATGGTTCCCTCAACATGATGATTGTTGGGAATGTGTACCGTAGTTGAAAATCTTGAATATGATTTTCAACAATATTTTTCTTGGTAAATGAAATCACTGGACGTCCTTGAGTATCCAAATAAGTGTAGTGTAAAGTATCAGGCAGTTTTGTTATTGAATAGGGAAAGTTAATTTTGATATTATGAACTCCTTCTGGTAAAATCACCTTGGTAACTAATTCATCGACTTGCATGTCATCTACAATGTGATCAATTACACGCATCTTTAAAAGATATTCATTTCCAGAATGGTAAACATATTCATAACTTGGGACATTGTAACCTAGAGTGTAGTGAGTCTTCCATCCTCCGAAGAGAGGGTATCGAGGTCTTAAATCCAATTCTACCGAATCCTTTTTCACCTTCATGTTGGATGTAGAGATGTTGCCATTAGTATCCCGATAATATACATCAGCAGCAGAAGCAGGCAATAATGTTTTGTATGAGCGGACACTAGCAGGGCCACTGTGGTGATCCTGTTGATAGTGGTAGCGAGAGAATGGTCCACTTAACTTAGCACCTGTATGCTCAATTTCAATCTTTTCTTCGACTGCTATATTGCCCCAGTGTGATACTTCAATAAGACGCTCAACGCGAGTGACAGTTAAGAATGGAGAGTTGTTCTTGAAATGTACACTCAATTCCTTTTCAGTGAATGGTCCAATATTGGAATAAGTCCCAAATATAAGTGTACCATCAAGCTGGCTGAATGGTTTTACTTTCGTGAAGGATTCAACACTCTTTGTATTCAAAATTACATTGGTTTTCTGTGATATGACATAGTAGGGAGAAAAGAAGTATAGGTTACCATTAAACTTGACCAATTGGTCTTCCTGCTGAGTGATGGCGGTAGGATATGGTTGCAGGGCTTTAGTGAAAACGGATTCCGCAGTAAGAATTGATGAAGAACCTGCATTAATTGCATCTTTTAGCTCGACACGATAAAACTTGATATAGTCATAACCCTTTACTGTTGTTTCTATTAAGCGTAGATCTTTATTGTGGCTATCCTTAACTCCCAGGAATGATATGTGGTCTTTTAGAACATTTTCTATAGCCAATAAGAAACTTTTTATTGGTGCTTTGCCTGAGTTTTCCAAAGTAATTTTAGATGTTGTTTTTACGAGTTGAGAAGAACAATCGATTATTCTATCAACATTCTTAATTTTAATATCACTTGATACTGTGTCTACATTGGTAGAGCCACATATTGTGAAAATAAATAGTAGATATACAACACAAATCCGCATTTTGTTCCTCGCCGGTATTTCACTTGACATTTTAACAATCATCGACGCAGCCGGAAGTACACGCCATCAATTTATCGTTAGTAAAACTTACCGGAAGTTCTTAGTCTGTAGTAACAAAATTGTCTATAGATTTTTAGCAATAAGAATAACCCAATCTTGATATACTCCCATATCATATAGATAAATAACCTACTGGTTATTTACTATATGCTAAGGACCTAATAATGATAGCAGTCTTTGTCCTTAATATTCTTTTTCGTATAATTATCGCTATAAAAAATGTATCCCACGTGAGCAAATGATGTAGATATTTTGCTAATCGGCGCCCTAGCTACAATATCACGGCACACAACTCACGAGGGGTCTTTTTGTATCAAAGGATTCACATGGGTATGCCAATCATGCACGGATAGACAATGTAAATACATAAATAGCAATTAGGTAGTTATATAACAAAACCAAATATGAAATATTAGTAAATAATTAACTATGCTAAAACGACTCGCGCGAAGTTACTGAAAATGTCCACCTAGTTATTTTTCATCACAGTTTCATTGTTAACCCGATACAATCTACTAACAAGACCATTAAACGATGTGATACAAACACAAACGTGAGACAGGCGTGAAATTATATTATGGATATTTGTTTCTAATTAAATGTGTACTGCAGTGAATAGGGATTTAAGCAAGCATTTCTGTATGTATATTATTATGTATTATCTTGTAAAGATACACTACATCCATGACACGTTACGTCGCAATTCAAGTGAAACGAGTTCAAACCCTTTAAAGCGAGAGTCGTTGGATTAAAGTGAGTCCTTTAAGTAAAGACAATGTTGAGTAAGTCCCTAATGCAATATCTTCGAGATATTACAATATTACCGAAAGCATACTGGAAATGTAGTGGATTTCTTTTGATTTAATTGTGTTGTTTGCGTTATTTGTAAGTTTTAACCTTGGACTTATTTTAGTCTGTGTTGTTTGTCATTTATGCAGTATGTTTGTCATCTGAGTTGTCAAATGTCAATTGTCTTCAATGCATGTGCTTGAAGTCACGGTAAATATAGTTTTGTATTACCAAAATTTCAATTGAAATTTGGAAGTTGTGCTATTAGCTATAAAGTATAACTATAACAGGGGCCTTAGTCAAGATGCCTTAACAGTAGTGTATGTTGAAAGTCAGAAACGAAATTTGTATGAAAACTTTTCGACACGAACTGTCATTTCCATACAAATTTAGTTTTCGACTTTCTACATACACTACTGTTAAGGCATCTTGACTAACCCCCCCTGGTTATTTTACAGTATCAGTTACATACTCAAAAGTAACATAATTTCATTATCGGTGGCTTTTATGTTCAAATAGTGTAAAACTACAGAATTGTTGGCTTGCTAAACGTTTTAATTAAAACAGGCAAAAATATATAGAAGTTTGAGTGCATTAGTTCGGCTATTACTTTAAAATCATGTACAGCTTTGCAATTAGATTCTTTTTCATTTGTTTTGGTGAGTGCTTGTTTATATGTTATATTTTCTATTCTCTGCATAAACTATATATTTTAGTTCACTAGATTATTTTAATCTTTTCCATATATCAGTATAATTTTCTATAAATATTTCAGTTGTGAACCTCATGGTATCATCCAGTTATGGATTCCGGAACAGAGGTTATGGAAATAAACACAGTAAGGAACTCCAAGTAAATCAGGCTGCACCTATGGGCACAGGGAATGATGTATCTCCATCTAGTCCCGCTACAATTAAAAGAGGTCTTGGAATCTCTGCTTGGGGTCTAATCACACTTATTATTTCTATTATATTAGCAATGGCTGGAATGTATTATTTTTCAATTTGTTACCCTGTACTTTGTAAGAAGCCTAGAAAGTATGACATAATTGGATCACCAACTATAGCCTAACATTAAGTAGAACTATTAGTTATAACTAAAGAGTTATTGTGTGAACCTGACAGCCACACCCAGATTTTTCTAATTTAGAGATAACTCCCTAATGGTATAAGTATTTGAACACTGGTGCTTGGCTATTATAGCATTCAATTCCAATCAAATCTATGGTGAACTTAATTAAATCTATCATAAGTAGCTAATTACAATAATATAGGTAACTGTGAGTATGGCTGTTAATCTACAATTCATTTAGGTTAAGATTAATTACTAAAGTACCATTTGCACAAATATATAAGATATGGAAATTGATCTGTTTTGTAATGAACATATTAGCAATGTTTATAAATTTGTGGAAATATAAGACTGAATCATCTTCATATATCGCATTTATTAACCAAATCATGTTCATAATAATTCCATTGAGGTTGTGAGTACAAATATTTGTCATATTTTATAAATCATACATATCTCTATTGTCTGAGATGTCCTAATTGTAATGTTTGTATTTTACTTCATTAAGATTATAAATGTAATTATTATCACTTTGTTGATAACATACACAAATACAGTTAGTCTATTGTGAAAAAGAATTCTTTGTAATTAATTATATCAGTATTAACACATATATTTTTATATAATTATTAATTGGAATGCTCAAAATAAAGCCTGTAATAAGTATATATAGCATTTTCTTTATCTCTGGTATAATGAAATTGTAAATATTTTTAATAATCAGTCTTAAATAGTCAGTTATTCAAAATGACAAGAAATAATGCTTGCATGTTACTAAAAACTATCCTAATGGATATATTTAAGGATCCATCACTGTCAGGGAATTTACAAAATAGTTTTTGTTATATTAAGTCACACAAAGAGGTGTCTTTGTGCTAACTATGACTCCCGTTTGCCAAAAATGTATTGGTTTTGATCGGGCTATGTCATTACTGAATCTTACCTAGAGTTGTGTTCTGAAAGTTCTTCATTGGCTTGTTATTTAACATCTTTAACGTGATTATTCAGAGCGGAACGAAAAACGGACTAATGTTGCAATTTGCAAATTATGCAAACTAAAATAAATCCTCTTTGCTATGCCTCATTTCAATTATTCACAATGGTTCTGTTTCTACAGACCACACTAATGGTAGGGGAGCCCAAGAATAATGAAAAATATATAATCTGACGATTTCCGCAAGCCGAAATAACAAAAATTCGTCGATAAAGTTAAATGCGTGCAGCTGCGTGATGCCTACATTTCCTTAAACCGATCGGAATCTACTAAACGACGTTCTAAATATTTCCCTAAAAATTACATTTCCTGTGAATTTGAACCGATTCGGACCGATAGATTTTGAAAAATCTTAAAAAAATAAGAAATATTTTTTTTTTAAGTGGTGACTTTATCGATCAACTTCAAAAACTAATCCGCCTTTGAGCTTGAAAAACCACGTCGATCGCCACCAAGCTGGTCAAAAGCGGTTGATTAGTTCGAGAGATATCGTGAACGAAAGAAACCCGAAAAAGTGTTTTTTCGGGATTACTCCGAAATTTGTGGTTCGATCAATTACAATTCAAAATTACTTATGATGATGATAACACTGCGTCGAATGCCGCCAACCGCGTGAAAATTGCTTGATCCATTCAAAAGTTATTGCGGTTTGAAAATTCCAAAAATAGTGTTCTATGAAATTTCTATCAGACTTTCGAGCTGGGAAAGCTCAAATGCATAGAAATGTTATTTCTTTGAACTCAGCGAGCTCAAAATATCAATTTTAAGAACCCAGGAATGGAATTAGCGGGAAGTTGCAGGGATGGCCCTTTAGGTGAACCGTTTTTCTAAATTTTTTTTGTCAGATCAGGCGAATCCCTCTAGATAATCGTCAGATTATGAGACAGTACGTTTAGAACATAAAGATGAACCACATATATCTTAATCTGATGCGCTTGAGTATTTCAAAATTGCGATTTTTTTTTTGCAAATTATGAAAATGGCCGTGGGTTTGCGTCCCATCGAAATCGTCAGATTAGTGAATGAGAGCTTTTTTTTGGTGCACTTAACACTCCCTTAGAAAATCTGACGCGCTCGATAATTTTTATTTTTTTTTCATTTTCAACCCTTAAATACAACCACCCGCATCATGCAAACGATCAGATTAACATACGTACATTATTAAAAATACGTAGGGCATTGATGCTATCAATATCTGACGCGCTCGAGGATGTCCATGCAACAGTTTTTTTTTACATATTTAACAATCTATAGGCGCTTCCCCCACCGATGAAAAGGTATATATCATATAACATTTTTTTCTTATTATCTAAGCTTTGCATCCCAATAGGTCTCTACGACGCTCGAGTAAATCCCCATTTAGCATCGTGGGCTCCCCTACCATAATAGATGAAAGTGGTTTAGTAAATTTAAAGGTGAAATTATTAATCTAATATATACAATTCTTGTGTCACAATGTTCGTTCCTATACTCCTCCGAATTTTTTTAATGCATATTCAGTTAGTCTGAGAATCGGCTACTATCTGTCTTTTAAACCCCTAAGTGATTAGGGGTGTCCACCCTAAAAAATTACTTGTTTATGATACAGCATACAAAAATACATACAATCCTTAATTTTCATCTACCCTCTACGATCAACCCCTATTTTTTATTTGTTAGTTAAGAACTTGATATAGAGAAAAATCACAGAAAATCCTAAAAAGTTTTCATTCCGGAAAACCGAACAGTCTCTGGGGTAGCATTGCAAAATGTTCCATGTTGGTTTGTAATAAAAAGGTAGGCTAAGCATTAAGGAGAAACGAAATTCGCGGGGGCAGCTAGTATTTTTATATAATATTATGGTACATTTTACATAACTCGGCATCCTGAGTGCTTTAATTAAGGAAATATATAATTAAATAAGGAAAAGGGGTCAAGGAGCCTCAACTGATTCATTATGTGTCAGCTAAATACTGAGGTGAAAATCAAACAAAAAAGTTAAATCATAATTTATTACATAAATAAATTTCACTGTAAATGCATCTTCTTAGTCAGAATGGAAGCTTTATTATAAAATGTAACATTAAGATTATAATTATTTTAAAACTAGTATTTATGGTGTTACATTTTGATTAGATTCGGCAAAAGGGATGAGTAAATTCTAACAACATTTATCCCCTTAAGATATGTTAATTTGTACACAAAATTATCGAAAATAAATTTGGCAGTGTTTAAAAATATTTATAAAAACAGCAATCACTTATTATTTAAGTATTTCCATTATTATGAGAGTTCATTTTAAAAATTATTTTTTAGTACAAATTTAGTAAGTACTTATATAAAAAATCTAAACAGATTTTTGAAAGACGATTTTATGTCATAGAACTTAGTCTAATCAGTTCTGTGGAGTAATGTTACACTTATTAGCAGTATTTTATTGATTTTTTGAACTGCTGAACTTTACTACTCAGAGACATAATAGGACCTTTGTTTAGACTACAAGAGTTATGATACAATGATACAATGATACAACAGTTACGATTTATTTTATCATATCCACAATTACAAAAATTATAGCATTTTTTTTTAAATTTACTTAGATCAAACGACTTTACAAGCATATATATCGTAATGCAATAACTAGACCATGATTATTATTTAAAATATCGATACAATTAAAATCAATATAATAATTACTTCATGGTTTTCAGTAAAAAAAATATTTTTGTTACTACAATTTATGAAGTACACCATTATGGTGGCAGATAACAAAATATGCACTGAGAAAAACTTAATTTTGCTCTATGGCAGATGTTAATAAAAAAAACAAAATACTGCTAAAAGGTTAATAACCCCTGGCACATTATAGCTCATCCTTCTCGAGATCAATGTCCGAGAGGTCAATGTCCTCTTCTGGCGGTAATTCGCCATCTTTGCCGTCCCAAGGCTCAGTCTTGGAGATTTTAGGCATTTCAGCGCCTCTTACTGGCGCTGTCTGGCCACGACCGAAAGATAGATCTCTGTAAAATAATAATATTATTATTCACAAAAGTATTTAAGGGAGCGTTCAAGTATTACGTCACGCAATTTTTGAAGATTAGTGAAAGAAAAAACGTGTGGTGTAAAGTACTGGAAAGTCGAAAATAATATTAACAATAACGCGTAATTAAATCCCCGCCCCGCATCGTAACGTTTTACAAAACGACCCCCCCCCCCAAATTCGTTACCCAATACTTGAACGCCAAGTTTGGTATTGAGATCCAGCTGCAAGGTCATACCTGAACACCTAATTGATTAAAAACCATGACGGACAGAAATCTCTCTTCGTGCTATGATGTTGAATAACAACCAAATTTAATACCAATTTAAGTATTTAAATGCGGGATTTTGTATAAAATGCGGGAAAGCATACCTTAAGAATTCATTGATACCGGTTTCAGAGAATGATCCACGTAGAGTAGAGAACTTGAGTTTCTTAGCATTGACGACGGCCATGGCTGGGTAACCGAAGCCTCCCATTTCCAGAGATTCTTCAAGCGATGGCTGTGCACCAGCTTCTGACCAGACCCAGCTGGGAAATTAAAACAATATTTTATTTATCTTTAGCTTTACTTTAAGTCAGACTTCTTTAACATATAGAATGGCAAATTTATTACATCATAAGACATTGCAGTTGTAAATTGTCGTTCGACCGAAATCTTCGCCAAAGAATATTTTTGCTAATTAATACGCGAGGCTACCTACCTAACTAGTGTTTTATGCACCCGTTTCAAATGATTTTTTACTAAGCCTACCGTTTAGTACAGTTTTGAGTTTTGCAATGCAACTCCTTACTCCATAGAGAATGTTCGCTATTCCGGAGTTAAAACAGAAGTAACAGAACTTAATATTTTAACTCTATTTTCCCAATTTTTCTAAAGAATACTATTCGAATTGGTCCAGCCGTCTTCGACGTGTTGGATTATAATACCCTAATTATTATTTTGTTTGTGTAGTTTCTGCTTCGGTCTTCAAAAAACGACAAATATTAGGACTGGCCTAATATTTGTCTAGAAGGATAATATGTACGTTTAAAACATGGGTCTATTCACGAAATAAGCTCTGTCGAACGACACGACACTTTCTTGAGAAAATGTGTTGTATTGAATTTGTTTATAAAATCTTTCAAGTTTTTGGAGTCTATATTATAGTCCAATGTCAATGTTATTAAATTGAAATAAAATCAAATGCATTTTTGCAAAGGTTTTTTAAAAACAAATCCATATCCAAATACGCCAATACCATTGTGATGTAATCATGACAAAAATTTAATTTTAAACAAAATTACCCTTAACTTAATTTTTTTTTAAATATTAGAATAAAAATGTCTCCACAACAAAAGAATAGCAAAATAAGACGCGCGCTATGATGTGCACGGGTCTTTCATCATCGCGGCTAAAAGCGCGGGAAACCGTTTACCATAGCTGTCACTTGTATAATAGACCACAGAGTATACATGTTTTATAAAATATCGAACAGGCTAACTTACCCCCACATCTTGCTCTTGTATTTATCTCCAAGGCGCTTCAATATCGCGATGTAGTCATTTCTGCACGCGGCATTACAATCAAGGATGTGAGGCAAAATTGATACCACACAGAGTGGCTTATCACTACAACCTTTCATCACTTCTTCATCTGTTACCTGAAAAAATATTGGAATTATTTTGCCATCCAGTGAAGTCCGGCGAAGCATAATATTTAAAGGTTTAAAAGCATCACTAAATTTGTATTGAAAATTATTTCATCACTACTTCACTGCGCTTTTATTGTTTTGTATTAATTAATACACATAGCATTTTTTATTTTCTGTAATATTGTAAACATCATTTAACCTTTTTTGATGAATGTAGAAATTACGAAATTTTACGTAAGAAGAAGGTTAAATAAGGCACGCATTTTTTAATTTTACAAATTAAAAAACACAAACTGCACGATTTCAAACGCATACAAACTATTAAATCTAGCTTTAAAGTATTTTCAAATATAATTTCATATTTATATAAAGAACGTAAAGAACTTTATGATGTAGTACGTTACGTAATATATGATATCCGACATGTTTGAAAATGGAACTGAGAAGCGGAATAAATAAGATTTATATAACATAAGAACAATGAATGTTTATATTATAAATATCCCATTGTCTATGTTTTTATTGTGTGATGTTAAATTGCGTCTTTGAAATTTGAATCAGTCTTAATTCGGATAAAGGTGGGTTGAGTCAAAGTTGTGTGAATATATTTTTAACCTTATATTAATATAAAGTGTTTTCATTCAGAATATTTGCTTCAAGTGTAGTAAAGTGTGCATGAGAAATAAATTTTAAAACCATTTCTTTGTCCAAACCGATACTAATAAATCCCTAAGTTATTGATTCAGGCTTAGCCCCAAGTACGACTCCCGTAAGGCAAAAACATATCGCATTTTGCTATATAACGACATATGTGATGAAATATATACAAAGGATTGTTATGACCTGATCTCATAGTAAAGTTTTCCATAGAAATCTAGCAATCAATAATTATTATAAAATTATATTTTTAATGATTAGAAAACAATAGCAAAACAAATCCAATAGTCCCTAGTAACGAAAGAAGAAAATTTATCAGTGTTAGGGTCTTCTAATGGAGTCCCCAAAAATATCTGAGTGGCTTCCCTATATAAATTAGTATAAATTTTAGGAATAATTATTTTATTTAAGTACAAGTAATGATCACATAAATTTGCTATCTTTTAAAGTGAAGTAGCCTGGTTTCTTGTGCTGATATATTTATGTGTCTATTTCAAGAAAAACCTGTTTGTTTGTTTCAGCAAAGAAATAACCAACCCTAATGAAATAGCCGTTTCAATAAGACTACATACCTCCAATACTTCAGGTGCTGGTACATTTTCAGCAAGCTTTTCAAGGGCCCAGCTGACGATATCGCTGGAAGTTCTGCCTCCATTATAGTCTTCTACACTGTCACTGGTCTTCTTACCACCAGCGAAGAACTTGATGGTTGGGTATCCTTGCACTTGGTAGCGGGAAGCCATCATTTGATCAACTGTGGCATCAACGGCTCCGAGTTTTACCTGTATTTATTGTATCACAATTATTATAATATATATTAATTAACAAAAAAAATAAAATAAATAAAGAATGAGGATAACAATTCAAAATAACGGATTGTGGCAATCTTTGTTGGACTAGAGAGGCTGTGACATACAATTATATAACAATTAAACAACATATGCCTTCGTTTCGTCTCATGTTTAGCATTGTTAGCCGTCTGTCATAATGGCGTGAAAGAAAATTAAAAAAAAGTATTATTGCTTATGATTAGTATTATAACTTTGAAATTTTTTTCCCAGATGTGTCAATAAAAGATTTACATAGATTATCCCCAAATTTTCGTAGACACAATTATTACAGAGAGTTGTCAATTATGCATTTCTGTCAACAAATTAAAAATAGATAACATATTATTTAAATAAACTTTATCAATTTACCTTTCCTTTAAGCTCGGTTGCGGCCTTTGCCCAGTGGGGTTCCAGATTCTTGCAATGTCCACACCATGGAGCATAGAACTCAACAAGCCACATGTCATCACTATCCAGAACCATCTCCTTGAAATTGCTGTCTGTTAGAGTGATAACATCCGACTGAAATAGAAAAATGTATTAAATATAAATATATTGAAATGTGAGGTTGGTTTAGCCAACTATTTAATATTTATTTAAACATTTGAGTTGTAAATATTACTTTTTAGTTAAAATAAGGGATGTTGGAAAAATATTGATTTCAAAATAAGATATATAAAAATGTATGTTTGCATATGATAGAGACTAAGACTACACATTGTTTAGTGTTTTTAATAGAACATTTTCTTTGAATGCTTCTGTTAATTAATTAATATTATTATTTCAATTATACTTTCATATAACTTGAGATTAGGTGTCAATAGGAGATGATGTTATTAGCATTATCTGTTTTTGCCAAATTTGGAAATTGTTATTGAATTTACAAAGGCTGATCTAAATAAGTGCCAGCTAATATACTTTGGCTTTCGGTAGAACTGTTTATTGATAAGAAATTTTAGTTTACACATTTTGTCTCCATAATTAAGTTTTAGGTAATCAATTATGATGCAAGGCATAGTATCTAGCTTGTTATAATATTAGCTTTGTAAATTTAACAGGGAATTGTTTTTAGAGATAAAGTGTCATTGCCCTGCTCACTCCCTAGTTTAATACAGCAATTTTCAAATGATATAAAATGGTCATAATCAAAATGGATTTGATGATTTGTTTTTTAATTATATGAATAAAACTTTTAAAAACCTTCATTAATAACAACTAACTTAATCTAATCATACTTTTTAACTAAATTAGTTTTTTGTCTTTATTATCAAGTTGCAGAACTATCCTACCATAACAATTAAAAGTGTCTAAACTTATAACATATATTTTTTTATTAAAACACTATTGATACAAAGTATTATAATTTCTTTTTAATAAGTGATGAATGATTCAATTTGACAATTCTCACAACACCAGAATCCCTTCTACGAAATAAATGTGCTTGTAATGCTTTGAATCTTATTGATTTTATGGATGGTGTATGAGTTGGTACTTCAATTTGCTTCTTAGTCTGTGGTTTCCAGTTTATTTTATGACCAAACACTTTATATGCCGTATGCTATATTGAAAGTAAATTTAAGACAGGTTCATAAAATAGTTCTCTTACTATACAAAGTGATGAAGTGAAGACTATATTATCTTTTAATAATATAATATACTAAATCGTTGTATGGTATATGGTAATTATTAACACGTTAATAACTTACAGTTTCTCAGTACACTACTATGCTCTCAATGTGTTCAATTTATGGTTAAATAAAAAGTAATCAAATCCTACAGTAGACCAATCTATTACGGTTAATAGACATGTAGAATGATTTATACTAATGGTTGCATATTTGTTTACTTAAATTTTTTATGTTTCTTACCATGAGCCTTTAATATTAAGAGTAGTTCTTTGAGACAGTTTACCTTGTCAGAACTGGATCCGCTTGCTTTCTTTCCAAGGTTTTCATAAGCTTTATCTTTAGCTGCTTTCAATGCTGCATCCACAAAGGCTTCTGCCGTTCTCTGTCCCTGATATGGAGTATGTTTACTGCCCGTGAATATTTTAATAGTTGGGAATCCACTGACTCCATATTTCTGACCAAGATCTCTGTGCTGATCCGCATCCACAGCACCTACTTTGACGATTCCCTGAAGAAACATAAGATAAATTAAGGTTAAGTTGTAGTTCAGCTGTAAAAACATTTTCTTGTGTTAAACAAGAATAGATTATTTTTTGTTACATTTATGTTTTTAATTATTTATTACTCACTTTAAGGGCTCGAGCTGCTTTTTTATATTCAGGAACAAGATTCTTACAGTGCCCACACCATGGTGCGAAGAATTCTATGATCCACACTTCATTTGAATTTGTTACGAGCTTCTCGAAGTTACTTGGTGTTAATTGAACCACATCTGATGAAGAGTCATAAAGAGCATACGACCCAACCACCAGTAATAATATTCCTGTGTAAAATCAATAAAACAATGTAAAAACCGGTAACGTCTATCACGTTAATCATAATTTCATGGCTGTTATATGTTTATAAACTTACCTATACAACGTAAATGTATCATTTTTTCAAATTATACCCGCACACTTAATTAAGAGTTCGCTAATATCTATAAATAAATTAGAATTTGCGTGTTATGAACCGTGTGGCATGAAATAAACACGTCAATTATTTTTCCTATAATAACAGATACAAAGGAAAATTCTATTAAAATACTAGAAGTTGTCGATGGATTTCGTGGTTGTGTGTGATTGGCTACGGTAGGATTTTTTTAACTTCGTGTGGAATAATAACGGAATTGTAGAGTATACATAAACGATAGCTCATCATATCATCTAAGATAATACATAATATGCAGCATAGATTTTTTGGCGTTTGGATAATTAAAAGAAAACTTTAAAGATTCTACTGGCTAATGCACAAACCGTGCCAGAGCCATAAAGGAAGAAAAAAGAAAAAAAAGATTCTACTAATATTTTTGGCAATGCAGTGTCACTAAGTTGGCCAACAATGAGAGAATATTTTCGTCAAAAATGTCCTCACTCCTCATGATCACGGTGACGGATAAAAAGAATACCAATTTTTATAAAAGGACGTCAACGACGGCATATCAGTAATAACGACATACTTACAAAACTCGCAATTAATCACAAAATACTTTTGACCCATTTGAAAAAATCTGGGTACACGAAAAAGTTCAATATTTGGATGCCACACGACCTCACTGAAAGAAATATAGTGAAAAAAAAAATGTGTGCGTGTAGTAGGTGTACACACGTAAGAAGTGAAACTTCTTTATGACCTTATTTTTCGAAACATGATCTACTATATGCAACTTAACGAAATTGGCTAAATAAAGTTTAACAAAAGGCTTTTATTATCATAGACATGAATACAAATACAATTATTTCATTTTACCTTATTACTACTAAGATTATTACAGAATTTCATTAATTGTAATAGAATTATTACTATCATTGTTATCGTTATTATATATTTTTGTTATTAATGGCTTCGAATCTCTTCGGATCAACCGTGGTAGGGACAAGAAAAAGATGGCGCGTAACCGAAAAACGTGACGATTTTCTACAAAATTTCTCCCATACGTCGATAAAAAATTCATTCTAACGCCGATAAAGAAGTTTGACTTCAAAAAGCAACATGGCGCGTAACCGAAAAACGTGACGATTTGCTACAAAATTTCTCCCATATGTCGATAAAGAACTTTCATTCCAACGCGAAAAAATGTTACACTAAATTTTTTTCCAACCCCGATAAAGAAGTTTCACTTCAAAAGAATACTCGAATACATGAACTTTCTATTGTTTCAATAAATTGATACCGAACCGTTTTAGAAGTTCACTTTTCATCATCAAAAAATCCACTTCTCATCATCAATTAATAATTGTCGATGAAACGTGGATTATTAAACAAGAACGTCCAAAAAAGGTCTTGTGCCTATGATGGTCAGACTTGAGATTGTTCCAATACCCGGGAAAACTCAATAAGGTAATGTGTGTATAGTGTGATTGAAAGGGCATTGGTTCATGATGGGCTTTACCATCGGGCATATTTAATTGAAGTAAAAGTTTTAAAAAGCAGCCAATTATTGTTTTTCATCTACTTTAAATCTTTAGTTTTATTAGTCTATATAAATAGTGTGATTATTATTTTATGTCTGTGGCGCTGTGATTGTTAGTTGTTTACTCATGTCGATATCATTCTCTGTGTATTCTTATGCGAAAAATTAAATTAAATATCAATTCTAGTTAGGATTTTAAGTAGCTTAAAGCTAAATTAGTCATTGGAATTAATTAAAAATATAATGTGTACTAAACATGATGAAAATAACAAAATATTGCATAAAAACTATTCTACGTGTCCCGACTAAAGTTAGGTTATTTTCATTAATGTCTAAAACATGCTTTGACTTTAAATTGTGTCAGTAACAGTTACTCAGTTGTCAATTTAGTTTGGGCGGGAAATTTTACTTGTATTTCGGCCACTGATAAGATTAATAATTCTCTTTACACTTTTAGGTTCTTTACGGTTAAAAATGAACTGTGCAAATTCAAGACCGTTTACTGTGCTCGTAGAAGGTAATATAGGAAGTGGAAAAACTACTTTCTTAGAGCATTTTAGGCAATTTGAAGATATAACTCTGTTAACGGAACCAGTAGAAGAATGGCGCAACCTCAAAGGCTGGAATCTTTTGGTTAGTACCATATATTTGTAATAGACAGTGTTGTTTTTTAAAAACCTAACAGGATTTCTTAAACATTTCAGGATTTGATGTATAGCGACCCTGCAAAATGGGCGATGACTTTCCAAGCGTATGTGTCTCTTACTATGCTGGAAATGCATCGCAGACCGACAAGCACTCCAGTTAAATTGATGGAACGTTCTATCTTTAGTGCAAAGTACTGTTTTGTAGAACAAATGAAGAGGCTAGGCACACTACATCCTGCACAATTTGCAGTTCTAGATGAGTGGTTTAAATTTATCAACACAGAGATTCCAGTTGAAGCTGACCTCATAGGTAATATAATTTTGTTGTCTCAACACTTATTATGGTAGTTCTTTAAGTATTAATGGTTTTAAATTATGTTTATATTGTAGTGTATCTCAAGACTACCCCATCTATAGTTTATGATAGGATTAAAAAACGGGCTCGTTCAGAAGAGCAGTGTGTTCCACTGAGCTATATAGAAGAGCTACACAAATTACATGAAGACTGGCTTATTAATAGAACTCATGCTGATTGCCCAGCGCCTGTAAGTATGATTGTAAACATGTTTAATACGAAATGAGTATTGATTCCATTATAAATGTATCCTCAAAGTTTGCAATTTTACAATCGCTTAGTAGCTTTTGTCATTTTTCCATATCTTATTACTTTTCACCAAATTTAAACTAATAAAAGTTGTTTTATAATAAATACAATGCGTGATAAAATTATAATGTTATATTATCAATGAAACTTTGATATTTTTTACATAGTTTCTCCAATTTTTCTTAAATCAATGAGAGAATAGTCTTACTTTATGTCATAATAGTTTATAATATTATTAGATAAGTAGATTTTTTAGTCTCAATGCATGCCGGATTCCTCACGATGTTTGTGTAGTGTTAACACATAGAAAAGTCCATTGGTGCACAGCCATGGTTCGAAGCTACAACCTCAGAAAGAAGAGTCTCACACTTAGTGAGCATAACATACACAATAAAGTAATCTACCAAACAGATTTTTGTATGGTTTCTATCAAATGACAGCGTCCATATGTGTATAGATTATATAAATTTTATGTAAATTGATAATGGTTATTGACAAAGAAGTTGCAAAAAGTCTTGTTGCATGGGTTAAGCTTTGGTCAGAAGCTAATAATATATGTATAAACTAATAATATATGAATGACATCAATGAATGTTTTAATTTCAGGTATTAGTATTAGACGCAGATCTTGATTTATCTCAAATAACTGAAGAATATAAGAAAAGTGAACACCAAATCTTAAGAAAAGCTGTAAATGTTGTTATGCAATCACCGAACAAGTTGAGCCCAAAGAAACCAATCAATAGTGATGCTATTCAGATTGCTCCTAAGATAAGATTATAATTAATTTGAATATTTGATAAGCTTAATTTATAAGAAGTTATATTTTAAATTATGTAGGAACGGTAAATATCTGTTTGAAAGGAAATTGTTACTCTAATAACATTGTTTGACGTGAAACCAGTGACATTTAGATAAGAATATCTTTCCAGTATTATATATATTCCATGCATTTTAATTAACAATCAATCTTTAAAAATGTGTAGTTGAAAAAACATACTAACCTTTTTTTATAAATATAAAGTCAATACAACAACATTGCTTTATTAAAATCCTTAGTATAGCATTCTTAATGAAACTAAATTTTGTGAGGGGAATAATACTATATTCTATCACCATTCATAAGACGGACTTAATTTTAATTATTTTATGTCATGTACCCAGACATGGTTAAAAATATAAATATATACCCCCTTGGTCAATAATAAAAATGGCTCTAATTGCACTCTTTTAACAAAAGCATGTTTACCTCTCTTTTTATTAAATAGTGTTTTCAATGACATGACAACACTACAAACAAAACAAACAGTTAAAATGGTGTTATAAGACATATATTTTTAAGACTAAGAGGGTAAGACTAATTGATGTTGCTAATATCCAGTTAAAACGTATTAAATATGCACATTTATTTTATTGGAAAATGAAGTTGTATTAAAAAAAATTGCACTTAAGTTCTCAAATATTTTTGCCAAAAATAGACATCTGTGTGTGTCAATGGACTGTCTTAATAGGCATACAGACTTATTTACAAATTAAATTAATATTTTAGATAAAATTAGTTACTAATATTCTATATCATGAAGGTAATAAACGTTTATAATATTGTGGTACTGTTGGTTTTTATTATAATTTATTTATGTTATTGGAAACTAGGTAAGTGTTAAATATTTAGTGCTTACTGTATTAAGAATATTAAGGTAATAGTTACGTTTATATTTCGTAAACTGTCGCTAAAGTTGTTAGTAATGTAAAGAACATTTGACTCGAGCCCTTCTACGTATGGATTGAGTATCCTGGCACAGAAAGTATACTAAACTAGTCTTTTTTGTTTTAGAGTTTTGTTACTGTTGGCGACGTTAATTTATTTATATTGTCATTTAATGTTAAACACTTAATGTAGCCATGTTAACTAGAATTATGTCAAATATTAGTATTTCAAACCGAAAACCTTAGCATAGTTTCTTAATACTGAACTCTAAAGTAAAACAGTAATGTTTTTTTTTTTTTTTTTTTATAATTTTATGGCCTGGTAACGAGACCTTTAAGCCAAGTCTTATTTTCGGTCACTAAATTTCACTTATTTTCCTTCATTTAATTTCACATGTTATTCTTATTCCAACATTCCACTTGTTTTCTTAAATCTTCCCTACGGTATTTTTAACGTATTTATATAATGCACTATAACACTTTTTGTTTTTGAGTAAATCACACAACTGGCGGCGGGAGGGATCACTAACTTCCATTATTTCACTTGCTAATAGTAGTCTATTAAAAATGAAATTTTGGTTTTGGCATTTAAAAAAAATATGATTCATATCTGCGATCTCGTTAGTGCAGAAAGAGCAAACATTGTTATCTATAATATTAAGTTTAGCGAGGTGTGCGGGTGTAGTGTTGTGACCAAAACGCAATCTGTTGATTGTGGTAACGAACTCACGACTAACTGTATCCAACTCATAATCTTCATACCAGGGTCTTCTCAGTAAATTTTCTTGTATACTTCCATACCATTTTCCTTTAAGTTTTTGATCTTCTTTCCATAAATTTGCCCATATATCTTTTATTGAATTATTTATATTATAATAATAATCGGTCATAGGAACATGTACCACATTTCTGACATTAAGAGTGTTAATCCCTTCATATGCAGCTTTGTCTGCTATTTCATTACCAGTAATACCTTTATGTGAGGGTACCCACATAAAGGCAATAGTTACATCATTCTTATACAACCGCAAGACAGTATCTTTAATTAAATAGAGAATATAATTGGTTTTAAAATTATTAAGAGTAGCATGCTTAAGACTATTTAAAAGACTCAAAGAGTCTGTCAAAATTAGAAAATATTTACAATTGTTTATAGAAGTAATCGATTTTAAAGCTGCAAAAACTGCATATGCCTCTGCTGTAAATATGGAGCAGTTTTTATCTAGAACAAAGCTTTGAGCAACATCTTTTTGGGAATCATATACCGCACTTCTCACAAAATCATTGCCTTTACTGCCGTCAGTATATATAGTATAGTACTTGTTATTTTCTTCTTTGAAAGCCAGTAAGTCTGAATTATTTTCAATTGAATTTGATAAAATCGTAATAGGATGTGTGATACAACTGTATGAATGAGTGTAACACGACCAGTGAGAATGTTTTTTGATGTTTGAATAATGAGATTGTATTTCTGTAAAGATCTGGCACAAAGTTGGAGATGTACCTGTCAGAAGATCATTTGGTGAAGTGAGAGGACCATCTATATTGATTGGGTGAGGTATTATCCTGTTTATAATTTGTAAATTATTTGATGATAATAGTTTCAGACAGTATCTTTCTGTAAGCATAAGTCGTCTCAATATCAATGGCATAATATTAGTTTCGACTTCCATGGCCCTTATGGGAGTCGAACACATTGCTCCTGATATGATCCTCAAAGCCCTGTTCTGCAATATATCCAATTTATGTGTATGAGTGCTATTTAAATAAGCCAAAGAACTGTAATCAAAATGACTTCTTACAATAGATTTATATAATATAGAAAGTATTTTGGGATCTGCACCCCATGAAACACCTGCTAGACATCTTAAAATGTTAACACCTCTTAATGCATTTCTAGATACATATTTAATATGTTCTTCAAATGACAGCTTCTGGTCAATGATAATACCCAAAAATTTGTGTGAGGTGACTCTTTGAATGACATCACCATTATATACAACATCCACTATTGGTGTGTCCTTTCCAAATATCATGGCATTACTTTTGGCAGCATTTATTTTCAAATTTAATCTGTGTTGATAATAATTACTTAACTGCTTTAATCCAGTGTTAACATTTTCAATGGCTACTGTTAAATTTACATCAGAACTATACAACACTAAATCATCTGCAAATTGAAGTATATTTACATTTTTAGTATTTACATATTTACATATCTCACAAGTATACAAGTTATATAACAAGGGCGATAATGTTGCACCCTGTATAGTACCCTTTGATGCAGTTCTAGGTCCATACAAGATATTGTTATGCCTAACCTCCTTCTCCTGCCTAATTTCCTTAATAACAGAATACTATAGTATTCTGTTATTAAGGAAATCATAAATCCATTTAGATAATTGTCCAGGTATACCAGAATTACTGAGTACCTTCACCAGTATGCCAGGATCCACACTGTCAAATGCACCTTGCACATCTAAAAATACACAAACTGTGTGTAATTTATTGTTTTTTGCATTTTTCAGGTCGGATATCAGAGAAATGAAGCTATCGGCACAGCTTCTTCCTTTACGGAAGCCATATTGAATATGTGGTATGACATTATTGGATTCTGCATACCAGTCAAGTCGAGATTTTACCATGTTTTCAAATATTTTTCCAATACATGATGATAACGAGATTGGACGATAGGAACTAATCTGTTCAGGTGACTTATCTGGTTTTAATATAGGTATTACACATTGAGTTTTCCATGAACTTGGTATGAGTTTTTTATGCCAGAGATTATTAAGAATATTCAAAAATATCTTTTGTACAGATTCAGATAAATGTTTTATTAATAAATATGGAAAATCATCTAAACCAGGACTAGTATTTCTTCTAGATTGTATACTCATTAAAAGTTCAGACCATGAAAAAGAATCCAGTAAAAATGTTGATTGAGGATTCTCATTGTTAATATTAAAATAATTGTCTAATGAATCTGAATCAAGTAAATTGTTATTCAAAGTCAAAGTCAAATCGTTTATTTCAATTAGACCATCTAAAATGGCACTTTTGAACGTCAAAAAAAAAAATAAAGATGATTCTAGTTGCCCTTCCAAAAGGTAGTTTCGTGTGGAGAAGAATGGGCAAGAAACTCCACACTTACTCTTTTAAAATAGGTTTACAATATTTTGTTACATTTGTTAAATAATTATATGTGAAGACAATGTACTCTTAGAATAAACTACTATACTAAAAAAGTTAGTATACATGTTCCTCACATATTTACAAATATCGAAACCTTAGAATATTAACATTAAAGAGTAATAAAAATATTAAAAAAACACAACAAAACAGTGTGTGAGATACAAAAAAAATAATTACATTTGTAGCATTATATAAATTAAAAAAAAAAATAATAATAATAATAATAACAAAAATTAACATATTTTTTTTTTAGCAAAAAATCAGCAACCAATTTGATTTTGTCCAGGCTATAGAGCCAATCATAGGATTGTCCTATGGAGCAGGACCAGCATGTTTCCAAGCATTCTTATCTTGAATATAATCATCTAATTTGTAATATGCTTGTTTACAAAGTGTACTTTTAATAAAACATTTAAATTTTCGTTCATTTAGTTTTAAAATGTCACAAGGTATTTTATTGTAACATTTCACACAGTACCCCATAAATGAATTTTGAACTTTGGCTAATCTGAAAGATGGTTGAGCTATTTTATCTTTATTTCTAGTACTAAAATTATGTCTTTCATTTATTTTACTAAAAAGATGTAGATTCTTTCTTACATACATAATATTTTCATAAATGAATTGGCAAGGTACTGTCATAATATTAATCTTTTTAAATAGTTCCCTGAGAGATTCGCAACGACGTAGATTATAAATGGCTCTGACCGCTCTCTTTTGCAAAATAAAAATGGATTCTATGTCAGCAGCCCGACCCCACAGTAAAATGCCGTAAGACATTATGCTGTGAAAGTAGCTAAAATAGACCAAACGCGCAGTTTCTACATTGGTTAAATATCTTATCTTTCTAACCGCATAAACGGCTGAGCTCAGCCGCCCCG